CCCCCCCCCCCCCAGAGCGAAGGTGGCAGCGTTTGTTCGAGCAAAGTAGCAAGCATAGGCTTTCGTCCTGGACCGGCGTTGGCGGCGCACCTCCATGTTCCGAGCCGCGGTCTCCTCCGCCGCACCCCCCTTCCCATTGCCCTTGCTCCTCGCTGCGGCCTTGCGCCGCCCACTCCTCCTTTCTCTGCCGCCCCCCCCTATGCTCTTTAGTTACTCACTGGCATCCTCAATCGCCAGGCCATGCTGTTCCAGCTTGAGCTCGCACGCCGCGCGGTTGCTCCACAGCGTGGCGACGCCCTCATCGAGCGCAATGCCCTCGCCATACTTGGTTTTCGCCGCCTCGTACTCCTGGCGCAGAAACAGCGCGTTGCCGGCATCCTTGAGCGCCAGCGCCGCGGCGCGCCGCTCGGGCGCGGGCAGGGAGAGCGTGGCCGGCGAGGGCGAAGGAGGCAGATCGGCGGACGTGGCGGACGACTGTGTGGCGCTGCCGCTGCTGCTGAGCGCCGAGGAGGAGGAGGAGTCGGGCGAGGAGGGCGCAGACATGGTGGCGAATTGTCTAGCAGGGTGGTGTGGTGGAGAAGAGAGAAGCAGTGTTGCTCTTGCGCTCTCGATCGACAGTGAAGCGCCTGCCGCTTCTGCAGGGCCCGCGGCGCCGCCGGCGCCCGCGTGAGAACTTTCTTCTCGCCCGCGCCATTGAAATCTCCGGCCTCAGGCTCAGCCTCTGCACAGGCAGCAGTCGCGCCCTCTTCTCGCCTGCCGCTTGAGCAGCCAATATACGAGCACATCGAAAAGTGAAGGGAAGCCTTTGCCCTGGCAGCGCATCGTGGCGTGCGCTGCGCGAAGGCAATGGAGTGGGGTGACTAGACTGACTGAGCAAGGCCCCGGTCTCGCCGTCGCGGCCGCCCTTGGCACGTGACGTGCTCCACCAAGTTGACGCCGGAGCGTCCGTGCGCGCGCGGCGCGCCGCGGCGCGGCCGTGGCGAAGCTCGACTTCTCCTTCTCCCGATTGGTCACTCGTTCATCCTCCAGCTTGGCCCACAACTGCCCACCACCTCCAGCCAGCCAGCCAGCACCAGCAACATGTCCTACGTCCTCTCCCCCTCCGCGCACTCCACGCTCCTCGCACACGTCGCCGCGCACCCACACGCCTCCGTCTGCGGCCTTCTCCTCTCCTCCCTCTCCTCCTCCTCCTCCTCTTCCTCTTCGGCGCCCGTGCACATCTCCCGCGCCCTGCCCCTCACGCACACCCACTCCGCCCTCTCGCCCACGCTCGAGGCGGGCCTGGCGCTGGCGCAGGCGCACGCGAGCGAGGAGAAGTGCAGCGTGGTGGGCGTGTACGTGGCGCATGCCAACGTGGCGAGCTCGCACGTGGACCCGAGGACGGCACGGCTGGCGCGCAGCGCGTGCGGAGAGGGCAGCGAGGCGCTGGTGCTTGTGGTGAGTGACAGATGTTGCGATGCGGGAAGAGAGAGAGAGAGAGAGAGCGCCTCGGCGAGTAGAGATGAGAGCAAATGAAGAGGGCATGGGGGAAGCTCCGAAGCTGCAGCGCCCGACGGTACCTTCGTCATGCTCGCGTTCTAGAAGCGCAGCCCGACAGTCATATGCTTCATGCGGGGGCTTGGTACGCCTTGGCAAGAGAAAGAGAGAGAGAGAGAGTGAGAGAGAGAGAGAGAGGGGGGGAATCTACAAAGTCTGCCGCTCTCGAGCAACTCAGATGCAGACAGCTAGTGCTGCCCCCAGCGCGGCTCAGCTGAATCGTGCCACGCTCCGCTGTCTCCCCCGCCTTCTTACGCCGACGTCGAGAGAGGCGACTTAGTTGCTGACTTGCTCTCTCTTTGGCCCCCCCTTTCTTCCGCAGCTCGACGCCTCGGCTCTCCCTTCGCCCCGCGCGCTGCGCGCCTTCTTGCTCCCCGCTTCCGCCGGCGCCAGCAGCAGCAGCGCAGCAGCAGCAGCAGCACAGGCACAGGCCCTGCCCGCCAGTGCGCTCGACGCAGGCGACGAGGCGCGCATGCAGCAGCTGCTGCTGCGCATCCGCGCGGGCGAGAGAGTGCGCGACTGGGACGGTGAGTTTCTTCTTCGGCTCGAGGACCGCGAGGGAAGTGTGATGTGGAACGCCAGCAAAAGAGGATGAGAGTGCGGGGGCTAGAGAAGGAGACAGCTTGGGCGGCCGGCTCCGATTAGGGGGCCCGAAATGCGCCCTTGGAGTTCGGGTGTGCATGGCGGAGGGCAAGCTCAGCTACGCCCCAGCGCTCTCCAGTCGCGCGCGCATCACGCGCGCTTCTCGTAGCGTCTCTCATTTCTCTCTTGCCTCTTATCTCTCTCCCCCATTCTCGAACGTGTGGGGCTTTCGCCCGCGCATACTGGTGCTGACCTTGCGGCCCCCCCCTTGCCGCCGCCGCCGCCGCCGCCGCGCAGACCACCTCGAGGACACGGCGTATGACTGGCTGGCGCCCGACGCTGGCGTGCCTGTGGCATAGGGGCGCGCCGCGCGCGCGAGAGAGCGCAGGGCGAGCGAAAGCAGAGAGAGAGGGGAGACTGGGACCGATTCGAGGGGGGGGGGGGGCAAAAGCGTGGCGGAGGAGACGAGACGGGGGGTATCAGCTCATGATGATTAGACTCCATCCGTGTTGTGAGAGACAAGGCTCGGCTAGGCTGGCCGGCCGGCTCTTTCAATCATCCCACGCGCCCAGCGTCTTCCACGCGCCCATGCCGCCTGCATACGCACGCTCCACAAAGTCGCTGCGGCGCGTCGCCAGGCGGCCCCATGTGCTCTGGCCCCGCTGGTGGATGCGCACGCGGATGCGCTCCTCTCCCGTGCTTCCGCGCAGGCGCGGCGGACTCGCCGGCTCGGCGCAGTGCAGCGGACAGCAGGCGCCGGCGGGCAGGGCGCGCCAGAGATGCGGCGCGTCGGCGCCGAGCAGCACGAGGCTCGTGACGAGGCCCTCGAGGATGGAAATGTCGTCGAGATGCGTGCCCGCAAACTCGGCCAGCACGGCCGACTTGAGGCCCGCGCAGCTCGAGAGGTGCGTCAGGCTGTGCGCGAGATTGGGCGGCGCTAGAGGCGCCGCGTCGTCGTCGTCGGCGGCGGCGGCAGTGTCTGCGGCGTCGCCGGGCGCGTCGTCGTCGAAGGGCGAGGCAGGGGCGCCGCCGCGTGTGCGCCGCGAGAAGGGAGGCAGCGCAAGGAGCAGCGTGGCGTGGGGCGAGGAGATGCGCAGGCGCACCAGAGGCAGCCGATGCAGTGTCGAGAGCAGCGTGAGGACGCGCGGCACGTACGTCGTCACTGGCACGAATCTGAGACCACATGCGCATCAGCATCTCGCAGACGCCCCAGCAGTTCGCTGAGAGACGAGAAAGGGACAAGCAGAACACTCACAGATCCAGCTCCCTGCATCTCCGCCAGAACTTCAGGCGCGGCCAGTTGCGATCCTCGACGTGCGGGCCGCCCACACAGAGACTGATGCTCTGCGGCGCACAGCCCCAGCTCTCGCGCGTCGCCTGTGCGCGCTGGTGCGGCACCTTGAGGTCCTCGAGCGGCTCGGCGGGCAGGTGGGCGCGATGCCGATGCGCCGCCTGCGCATCCGACGCCAGCTCGTCGAGCAGCCACTTTGGCGGCACGGCGCGCGCGCGCTCGCGCGCCGCGGCGGCCGCTTGCCGAGCTCGCAGCGCCTCGTCTGGCGCCGCCGCCGCCGCAAGCTCGGTGCCCTGCCCTTGCGCAGAGCGCTCCTCGCCTTGCTCTTCGCCCTCAGAGGAGAAGGAGGAGGAAGAGTCGGAAGTGTCGTCGTCGGAGAAGTGCAGCCCCTCGCCCCACGCCCACGACGGCTGCAGGCGCGGAATGGCGGAGCGCTTGCCGTTTGCTTGCCGAGGACGCGGGCGGTGCACTTGGGAGTGGTCGCGCAGCAGACAGCGCGACTCGGCGTGCCAGAGAGAGACTGCGGAGTGTGTGTCAGCGAGGCGAGAGAGGGAGAGTGCAGGGGGACACAAACGATGGGTGATGTGCCTAGGAAAGAGGGTGTCAGTGAGAGTAGAGAAGTGAGGGAGAGGACAGGACGCACCGCCCGAGATAGTGCAGCAAGCGGAGGAACTCAGTCTCCCAGCCGCTCGACGCTGCGGTGAGACGCGACACCTGTGAGTGCAAACAGAGCGAGAAGGAGGTCGGATTGAGGAGAAGAGAGAGGAAGGGAGAGGAGAGAAGAGAGAGGAGAGGAGAGAGGGGAGAAAAGAGAGAGAATGGAAGAGAGAGAGAGGTGAGCGAGAAACAGAACGACGCCGGTGCCCCTGCATGCCTCCTGCCCCCTAGCACGGCCCACTCACGTCGTCGAGCCCCGAGAAGAGGGCGCGTGTATATCCCGCACAGACAAACGGCGGCTCGGCGGCGCGTATGCGGCCGTACCAGCGGCGAAAGTCGCGCACGTGTCTTGGCAGCACGAGCGTCTCGTAGCGCACGCGCAGCGCCCAGTGGCGCATGAGGCGCGACGTGCAGGCGAGCGCGGCGAGCGTGCGGTGCGCCAGCGGGTCGTTGGCGAGCGAGGCGGGCGCGAGGAAGGAGACGATGTGCGAGAGGAGTTCTGGTGGGAGACGCGGCAGAGAGGCGACGCCGCAGCTGGCGCTGTCTTGCCGCGGCACGAGGGCGCCGGCGTGCGCCTGGGCGTCGGCAGCGGCGTCGCGCTCGGCGCCGCGGCTGCCGCTGCGCGCAGGCCGCTCTGCTTGCGCCATGGGCGCGTGCGACGGGAGAGGCGGCAGGAGCGAGCGTGCGAGGTGATGGTGGAGAGGCAGGCACGAGCCACGGTGCGCGTGCTGGTGTGGAGGTTGCCCCAGCGCGCATCAGCGGCTGACTAAGCATCGCCGCGCGCGCCAGCACAGGTGCAAAGCGCGCGCGCGCGCGGCCTGGCGCAGAACTGCAAAGCGCGCTGCCTCGCTCCTCGCTCCTCTTGCTTCCTCACCACCTCCTCTGTTCTCGTGAGTACCCTTGCCGCATCCGCACGGCGCACCGCGCGTCTCTTCTCTCTCTCTCCTCTCGAGAGGGCAGTAGCAAGTAGCGCGCGCGCCGCACCGCAGCCAACACACAGTGATGAGAGTTATGAGTAATTTGCGTCTGATAAGCCTCGCGTGCTACCTAAGGACCGGCCCGCCAGCTGTGTCTGGCGCGTGGGGCGGGACGATGACTAAACAATCTGACATTGGTTGCGCATGCGGCGACGCTGCTGCTGCGGCGGCGTGGCGGAGAGATGGGAGAGATGGAGAGATGGCGGAGTGTGTGGTACACAGGAAGCGCTGACGCCCTTCTTCTCCCTCCTTTGCCTCGCCCCCTCTAGACCCGCGACGCCTCGACGTGGGCCTGCCGATGCGTCTCTCTTGCAAATGCACACACATGGACCCTTCCTTCTCTGTCTCGCAGCCTGCATGCAAAGCCCTCTCTCCTGTGTTACCGCAGCAGCAGCGCGGTGGCACGCGCAGGAGAGAGAGAGAGAGAGGGAGAGAGAGGCGCACGCGCGTCTGGCAAACTGAGGCGTGCCTTCGCCAAAGAGGCGTGGACACATGAGCTGCCTTGGCTGGGGTGTGTGTGTGTCGTGTATCTGGATCGGCGCATTCATTGCGACGTACAAGGCCTCCCTCTGTGGTCCAGGCACGCTGCGGCAGTCGAGCTTTGCGCGAGGTGAGAATGCGCGGGCGGGGCAGACGATAGCAATTGATCCTGCCCTCTCCGTTTCCCACATCGGCCCCTATGCCACCATCTTGCCTGCCCGCCCACCCTACGTGCTCTTGGAGATGTAGTACGTCAGCAGGTCGCGCTGGCTCTCCTCGAGCGGCGCGAGGATGCGGAAGAGCGTCGGCGTGTCGTGCATGCGCGCATGCGCCGCCACGATGACCTGCGTCGCCGCGAGGCGCAGCTCGACGGCGGGCGCGCCGAACGCGGCCGTGATGAGCAGCTTGGCGCGCGGCAGCTCCTCCTCGACGAGCTCGGGCGGCAGGCGCAGCAGCAGGCGCCCGAGGGAGCGCAGGCCCAGCGTGTAGACGCGCACGCGCGCCGCCTCCTCTGCGGCGCTCGGCGCACTGCCGTTGCCATTCGTGGCCGCCGCGGCGGCGGCGCGGCGCTTGCCCAGCGCCGCATCGAGCGCGGCCATGAGGGTGCCGAGGCCCAGGATCGGCTCGGTCCGTGCCGTCCACGCATCGACGAGCGCCTCGCAGGCGCTCTGCGTGGCGCGCTCGCGCCGCCGGCGGCGCAGCTGCAAGAGCAGCGCCAGCAGCGCCGCCTCCCTGTTCGTCGCCGCGAGCAGCGCGTGCTGGTGCGAGATGAGGCGCTGCAGCACGACGAGCGCGGCGGCGTGCAGCTCTTCGCTCTGTGGGCGCAACAGGCGCAAAACGATGTGGGTCAGCTGCCCCTGCTGCAGTCGTGCACTTGGCTGCGGTCTCCACTCACCCGGGGTTCTGCCTCGAGTTGCCTGAGCAGCGCGTCCCACAGCTTATCAAACAGTCCTCCTTCAAGCCAAGCACCGATGGCTCTCTCCTTGCCTGCCTCCTCCTCCGCTCTCAGTGCCTCTTTCGCCTCTCGCGCCTCCAGTCTCGTCGAGTACAGGCCCGGCGTCAGCTCCTCCTCCGCCTCCGTCGAGCTGCTCGCGAGCGGCACGGGAAAGTCGGCGCTGAGCTTGGCGAGGCGCCGGAAGATGCGCAGATCGGCCTGGCCGGAGGCGAGGGCGGCGACCCACTCGGCGGCCTCCGGACGCGCCTTGATCGGCGACGAAGAGGCAGAGGGCTCGGCGCCGCCGTTCTCGAGACGCGCGGCCCGCTTGTTGAACCAACTGGCGCCGCCCGCTGCGCCGCCTGGCGCCAGCGGCTTCGCGCCCGGCGTGCCGGGCGGCTCGGCACCAGCGGAGGAGCCAGGCACCGGAGCGCCAGTGCCGCTCGCAGCTGGCGTGTCGAGTGGCGGCAGGGTCGAGGCACTCGGCACAGCTGCAGCAGCAGCGATGGGGCTCGCAGGCTCATCGAGCCGATGCTGCATCTGCCGCGCCTCGTCTGCCGCCGCCGCAGCGTGTCGACGCGCCTGTTCTGCACTCACTGCCTGTCTGCGCGCAAACGCCGACGTCGAGCCCGTGCGCGGGCCAGGGGCGATGGGGCTACTACTAAACGCCATCAGATCCAGCGAGACATCGTCGTCGAGCGCAGCGGGCAGCTCCGTCGTCTCGTCTGCGTCTTGCTGCGCGGCGGCGCGCAGACGCGTGGGGCGCGAGACACTGGAGGCGGAGCTGGAGGACGTCGAAGCTGTCCTTGTGCGCGTCGAGGAAGGCGGAGGCAACGAGGCGCCAGGCGCGACGCCGCCGCGCAGACGAGCGGCAGAGCCATGCGAGGGCGGCGTGGAGGAAGAGGAGGCGCTCGGCGCTCGACTGCGCGAAGCTGCGGTGGCGGCAGCGACGCCAGTGGGCGTGCTGCTGCTCGGCGCAGGATCGCTGCCCAGCCGAGGCGTCGCTTGCTGCGACGAAGACGAGCTGGCGGAGCGCGCGTGTCCCCTTCGCGTCGTCGGAGCAGGAATGCCAGTCGGACTGCTGTCCAGCAAGGACAGCGGCCGCTCTCGTGGCGTCGAAGGCGCACGTGCCGCAGCTCGAGTGGCGGCGACGCGAGCGTAGGCTTCTTCTTCTGCAGCTGCCTGGTCTGCCTTTGCCTCAGCGGCAGCTTGCGCCTCCTCATCGGCAGGCGCCTCTCCCTCTTGCTGCGCCTGCGCCTCGGCCTCGGCTTGCGCCGCCTCTTCCGCCTCGCGCCGCTCGCGCGCCAGCCGCTCCGAGGCGGCGCGCTTGGCGGCGAGAATGGCGCTCGACGGCCCACCCGGCCGACGCGCCGGTGGCACCGCTGCAATGGAAGCCGAGCGAGCTTTGGCCGGCACGCCTGGGGTGCCGGCGGCCGCGGGGCTACCGACAGTGCTTGAGGGAGCAGTGGCGGGTCCGCCAGCCTCCGCAAGCGCAGCTGCGACCTGTTTCTTCGTCGAGGCGTCGAGCGTCTCGAGCAGTCGCTCCGCCTCGCCGGGCCAGACGCGCTGGAAGTGAAAGAAGGCATCGCGGGCCTTGGCGCGCACGTCCTTGTTCTGGTCCGGCAGGGCGCGCTTGAGCGCCCTGTCGAGAATGTCGAGGCCGTTGTGCGCCTCGAGCGCATGCCTGCGCTGCGCGCCGTGCGTCTCGATGAGGGTGCACAGATGCGTGCACATCCAGATGCGCGTCGCGACCGTCTTTTCCTGCAGATGCGCCCAGAGCAAGTCGAGGAATTTGTGCCGGTACGCGAGGCTGCGCAGCAGGCACGCGACGGCTTGCTGCGAGGCAGTGGCGACGAGCTTCTTGGTGAAGCCGGCCATCTTGAGGAGAGAGGTGAGGAAGAGATCGGCAACGGACTCGGGCAGCTCGTCGCCTAGCTGCTGTGCTAGCTCGCCGATGAGCGCCAGACTGTGCATTGCCAGCGTGGTGCGCAGAGTCGAGGCCTGCAGATGGACGCCCCACGTGAGCTCTCCTCTCTCTCACCCACAAGCAGGACACAGTCAGCACCACTCACGCCCTTGACGATGCCCTCTCCCAGCCCCTTCACCTCCCTCCCGATCGCCTCGCCCAGCTTGCCCTCCGCGCCCGGCGCACGCAGTATGCCGCGCAGCTTCACAATGGCCGCCTCGCGCGCCGCCCAGTTGTGCTCCGACTCGCGGCCCTCGAAGCACGCGTGCAGCGGCGCGAGGGTGCGTTCGAGATCTTGGCGCGAGGCAATCTGCACAAAGGAGTGAGATCAAGCGGGAGAGCGGGGAGAGCAGGGCACACTCACATGCACAATGGGCACATCTTCGGCCGCGGCAGCAGTCATGACGGGCGTTGGCACCGCTCCGGGCGGCGCACTCGCATGCACCGCCGCCTGTCTCGGGGCGATGCGCGCCTCCTCCGTCTCGCTCTCCATGGCAAACACACTCGCAAGCAGCGCATCGGCCGTCTGTTTGCGCGTGCCCTTCTTTTCCAGCTCGCGCTTGAGATCTGCCTTTGCGCCGCCGCTGGCGGGCCCGAAGAGCGCGAGCAGGGTGGAGCGTGCGGCTTCGCGCACGGGCCCGTCGGCGTCGGAGAGGAGGTCGACTAGGGGTGAAAGCAACGGACGCAAGGGCAGCTTGTGCGCTGCGCGTAGACTAGGGAGATGCAGCGTGACCTGAAGAGGGACAAGGCATGAGCCGTCTCTCTCTCTCCCGCCTCACCCTGCTGAGCGCAGCCAGCGCGCAGCCCCTCACCTGCTCTCGGACGCGCGGACTCTTGCCCTGCAGGCCCACCTCCCTCAGCAGTCTCTCCAGGCTCGCCGCCGCATTTTCGCCGCGCTGCACGCCCGCCGCGCCCATCTTCCCCATCGCAGCAGCCACGACGGCGTCGAGGGCGCCGCGCGCCGCGACGCGCACGCGCTCCTTTGCGTCGCCGAGGCGCTCCAGCACGGGCGGCAGCCACGTGGCGACGGCGCGTGCGAGGTGCGCGGCGCTGTCCATCGCCTCGAGCAGCGAGGCGAGCGAGGCGAGCGCAGGCACGAAGAGCGAAGGATGCGAATGCCGCAGCGCCTTGTGCACGGGCTCGACGAGCGCCAGCGCATCGGGCGGCTGCTCGCGCAGGCGTCAGCAGAGCCGCACACGGTCATGGAGGCGCGAGACGCACCGGCCCCGCATCGAGCGCCACGCCGAGCGAAGAGAGCGCCGAGGCGCGCCGCTCGACATCTAGACGTGGCGCGCGTCAGCAGGGCGAAGAGACAAGGGGGGATCAGCAGTCGACGCACCGGCGCCGCCGTCGAGCGTGGCGAGCAGCGTGTCGATGCGCGCGGCATGCGCATCCTGTGCGTCTGCATCCATGACGGGCGCTCGCGTGCGTGGAGGAGATGAGCGCGCGGGCGTGGGTGTGGAGAAGCAACGACGGCAGCAGGTGTTGATGTCGGTGCGTCTGTGCGCGCGCCGCCTGAGGGTGTTCCCACGCCTGGCTCTCGCACGAGAGAAAGGTCTCGCCCGCCGCCCACGGCCGCCTCTTCCTCTCTCTCCTTCGCACGCCTGCCGCAGCCGCAGTGACACGACAGCGCTTGACCTGCATGCTGCCAGCAGCCGTGCAGTACCTCGTTTACGACTCAGGCACGCAACGAAGCCTTTGCTCGCGAAGAGGCGAGGGCCAGGCCCGGTCAAAGCGACGCTGCCGCGCGCGTAGATCAAGATTTGGCGGCCGGCCGACTGATTTTGCCGGCTACGGCACGCGAGCAGTGTCGCCGCTGTGGCGGGCGGCACCGGCGGCTCGGGCTGGAGGCGATAAAGCGCGCCGCCGAGTCACGCGGGTGCGCTTCTTCCAGCTCGCCTCTCCTCCTCACCACATCCTCGCTCCACCATGCTCCGTCTCGCACGCACGCCGCTGCCACGCAGCATTGCCTCTTGCTCGCGGCGCGCCTACGCCACCGCGGCGCCGTGCACCAAGTATCTCAGCGTCACGCACCCCGACGCGCAGCCCGAGTCGGCGGCGCCCGACTCGGTCGGCGCCGCGCTGGCGCGCTTCGACGCCGCCACGCTCGCCACGTACGCGCGGCCCTCGGTGCTGCTGACGCGCGGCCAGGGGCTCGATCTGTGGGCCAAGTCCGACGCCCACGGCGAGCTGCACTACCTCGACTTCAGCAGCGGCATTGCCGTCAACTCGCTCGGGCACGCCGACGCGCAGATCGCCGCGCTGGCGGGCGAGCAGGCGGCGCGCCTCGTGCACAGCAGCAACCTGTACCACAACGAGTGGAGCGGCGAGCTGGCGCACCGCATGGTGCAGATGACGCGCGAGCATGGCGGGCTGGGCATTGAGAAGGGCGGGCAGGGAGAGCTCAAGGTGTTCCTGGCCAACTCGGGCACCGAGGCAAATGAAGGTCAGTTGCAGGAGCGCAGCGGGGCGAGCCCACGGTGAAGGGTCAGAGGCACGAGTCCCGCGCTGGCTCTCTGCCAGGTGCGCGCCCGGCGCATGCCGGTCGCCAGCATCTGCTCGTGGCATGCGCGTCGCAGTGCGGCACCTGTCCACGCCCCCAGCTCTCATGCTCACGCAGCGCTCCCTCAGCGGCGTTGAAGTTTGCGCGCAAGTCCGGCATGACCCAGTCGGGCGAGGCCGGCAAGAAGGCCGGGCTGGTCTCCTTCACCAATGCCTTCCACGGCCGCACCATGGGTGCGCTGGCCATGACGCCGAACCCCAAGTATCAGGCGCCCTTTGCGCCTCTCATCGGCGCCGTGCGCACCGGCACGTACAACGACTTTGCCAATCTCGACACACTGATCGACGAGAGCACCGCCGGCGTCATCGTCGAGCCCGTGCAGGGCGAAGGCGGCATCTTCCCGGCCAAGGTCGAGTGGCTGCAGGCGCTGCGCAAGCGCTGCGACGAAGTCGGCGCGCTGCTGATCTTCGACGAGATCCAATGCGGCCTCTTCCGCAGCGGCACGCTCTGGTGCCACTCCAGCTTCCCCACCGACGCGCACCCGGATCTCATCACCATGGCCAAGCCGCTCGCCAACGGCTTCCCCATCGGCGCCGTGCTGATGCGCAAGAGCGTCGCCGACACCATCACCGTCGGCGACCACGGCACCACCTTTGGCGGCGGCCCGCTGGCGTCGCGCATCGCGCACCACGTGCTGGGCCGCCTGGCGGAGCCGGCGCTCATCGCCTCGGCAAAGGCGGCCTCGGAGCGTCTGCTCGAGCGCCTCACGGCCCTGCGCGACATGTTTCCCGAGCTCGTGCGGCACGACGAGGCCGCGGGCGTGGCGTCGCCGCGCGGCAAGGGCCTGCTCATCGGCCTGAGCATGCAGGAGCCAGCACACGCCGGCAGGCTCGTCAAGATGGCGCGCGAGCGCGGCCTCATCGTCCTCTCGGCGGGCAGCGATGCCCTGCGCATCGTCCCCAGCCTCACGGTGACGCTGGCCCAGATCGACACGGCGTGTGATGTGCTGGAGAGCTGCTTTGAGGCGCTGAAGCGCGAGGTGGAGCAGTAGAGGAAAGATAGATTTGAGAAGGGTGGAGTCATCGTCACGCGAAATATAATGATAGAATCTAGGGCGAGGGAGAGGTATGGAGAGCGCGAGAGGGGAGCCGAGAAGGGCGCAAGCTGGGGGCATGGCTCACGTCCACCAGGTCTCTGGCGGGCGCGGCGCAGCAGCGCGTCAGAGAGCGGAGCCTTGCAAGCAGGGCGCTGTGCTGCAACACGAAACTCACTGTTGGGCTTCTGGTAGTCGTTGACCATCTGCTTCTGCAGCTGGCCCTGACGGCAGCCGACTGCGGTCGCACAAGTCAGGGTGAGTGCGGGGGGCGACGAAGAGCCAGCGGCGGGAAGAGGGGGGCGACTCACGGCATGCCTTTGCCGGCTCGTCGTTCAGACTCGTCTTGACGGTGCGCACGTACGGCTTGCCAGGCAGGACCGGGTTCGGCTTGAGCTCCAGCCGCTCCTCCATCCACTTGACCGTCACCGGGTAGCCCGTGAAGCAGAGGATCACATGGGCGCTCCACTCGTCGCGGATGTATTCGATGCGTGCGCCGGCGCGGCCCCAGCGCTGCACCAGATCGTCGACGGGCGCAAAGGGCACGATTTCGTCGTGCAGCGACTGCACGATGAAGAGCGGCGCCACGGGAATCTGCGTCGGGTGCGCGCCGAGGAGGTTGTGCTTCATCACGTCGCGGCATTCCGGCGCGCCCAGCACGTCGGAGACGTTGAAGTAGCCCTCGGACTTCTTGGAGTCGGCAGCAGCCACGAGGCCCAGCACATCCTTGCCCAGCGACGAGGCGACGACACTGTAGAAGCATGACTCGCGCGCCTTGAGAAAGTGCGGCTCGCCGACCTTGTTGATGCTTGCGAGCAGCCACTTGTTGAGCTTCGGGTAGGCGTTGGCCTGCAGAGATGCGTCAGCGTGGCAAGAGAGTGTGCCCCGCCTCGTCCACTCACCAAGCCTTGCAGCACGCCGACGACAATGCCCGCGACCTGTTTGCCGTGGCATCAAGCCGACGTCAGTTTGCACTAACATAGAGCTTTACTCTCGCTCGTACGTACCACAGTGTTGTTGCAGTGTCGCGCGGCCGCCTCGAGATCCACAGCCGTGCCGCCAAACGACCAGCCGACGATGTTGCGCAGTTCGGGCGCGTATGAGCTCTGCAGCTGTGCGGCCCAGGCCGTGGCGATGGCGCCGCCGCTGTAGCCCCATCTGTGCTCGGCGCTGTCAGCAGCAACAGGAAGGTGTGCATGCGGAGGTTACACACCCGACGATACGTGCGTTCTCCTCCAGTGCGAGCTCCTTGAACTGCAGCGCGGCGCGCAAGGCGTCCAGCGTGGCCTGGCCCGACTGGACACCTGCTCCAAAGCTACGAAGTTCGGTCAGCGAGTGCAGCATTGCGAGTGTCGCCCTGTTCGGTGCGACTCACGCATCATTCTGCGACTCGCTATGTCGAGCGTGCTGTCAGCCCTGGCTCAGGAACGGGTGTACGTTGCCGCAAACTCACTAGTCCGGGCAGACGATGACCCATCCGCGATCAAGCAGCGTCTCCATGAAGATCTGCTCCGACAGCGCGCCGTAGCGTTCGGTGCCGCCTTTGCGCAGTGCATAGCTCGTGCGGCAGATCGGGGCTGCAGAGTCCGTCTTTGCTGCAGAGGAAGAGGCAGATGAGCTCCGAGGAATGATTGCTTCATCTCTCGCGTCTGGTCTCGACGCATGCTCACGCTGATACGACACCACGCGATCGCGCTTCCCAGGTCCCGGCGGGGCGATGATAGTCACAATGGTCACCTGTCCTTGCCCCTCCGCTCCTCTCGTCACGTATGCGAGCTGCCAAGCGCTGAGGTTCTTCGCGTCGAAGCCGGGGAACGGGACGATTTCGATCTTGCGCGAACGCAGAATCGTGCCGGGCGCAGCTTGCAGCGAGGGGTCGGAGGAAGGGGTGTTGTAGCCGTAGAAGGGGTCGTACTGGGGCGCGGGGTGGGGTGGGGCGACGCCGAAGAGGCTGGAAGGAGACGTGAGCTGGACGGGTGGTCGGTGCGGAGAGGGACGGAGACTCACGTGAGAAAGCGACGCCAGAGCGTCGGCTTGGGTGCTGCCTTGTTGCACATCTTGCTTGCAGCGAGATGTGAGGGTGGTGGGGTGGGCGAGAGGAGAGCGGCTGTGCTTCGCTTCATATAGGCGCCAGCGTGGGTCCCAGCAGCGCCTCCGGCCAACGCGGCCAGCGAGGCAGCTCTCGGCTCGGCGTGCGGCGCAGCCTCGAGGGCTGTGTTATCGCGCACTTTGACCTCACCGCAGGAGCAGATCCGCGCAGGATGAAGTCATCTCGGAGAGCAGCGAGCGTGCCTGTCAGATGTGCTGCTGGCGCTGCCCGCTTGACGAGGCGGCGGTGTCGCGCAAGAAGCGGCAGCGCCTCATCAGACGCCCGGCCCCGCGGTCCGGCCCCTTGGGCGCGCCCTCATCAGCTCGCATATGGCGGGAACGTGCCTCGCTTCTTTCATCTATCCCCTCCCACTCCGAGAGCGCTTCTTCGGGCTGTGTCGAGTGTACCTCGAGGAACAAACGGCTGCGTGAGAGAGACGAAAGCGGCACCCGGGACGAGCCGTCGTCATGCCCCCTGAGCACCGAGCGCGGCGCGCTCTGCTGCTCAGGTGCGCGCCTGCGCGTGACTACAAATTCGGATTGTAGTCGGATCAAGCTGGCGATTACAGCACCTCCGCGCCGAGTGCTATTCGGCTTGCGCGCCCTCTTCCTCGCCCAGCCCCGGCAGAGCCTCTCGCTCTCAAAGTCGTCCGTTGTTCTTCGCGTGACAATAGACTTGTGATTGCATCCCCTCGCTCCACTTCATCGAGCTTCAATCCTCCATCTCCTCGTCCTCGTCCTGCGTCTGCGCCGGCGGAGCAGGCTGCTGCTCCTTCTCGGCGTCCTCCTGCGTCGCCGGCGCCGCCTGCGCAGCCGCTGTTCTCCTCCGGCCACCTCGTCCCGTCCCCTCCTGCAGCGGCTCCTCATCGCCGCCCTCCTTGGCTTCATCCTCCAGCGCCGCCAGTTCCTCGTCGGCATCCAGGCTCTCCGCATCTTGGTCGTCGTCCGACATGTCCTCCGAGCCCGCCGCGTCCGAGGCTTTGCCCTCGCCATCCTCGTCGTCGTCGTCGTCGGCCGGCGCGTCCTCCTCCGACTCGTCGTCGCGCGACACGGCGGCGCGCCGGCGTCCTGCCGCCGCAGTCGGAGCTGCCTCGTCATCGTCTGACGCTTGCGAGGACGAAGCTGCGGCTGGACTCTTGCGCTTCTCGCCGTTGACTTGACGTTTCGAGGGCGACGACGATGCCTGCACTTCTCCATCGGCGTCTGCGTCTGCGTCGGCATCGGCGTCGGCGTCCTCGTCGGCAGGCGCATCTTCCTCGTCGTCCTCTTGCGGCTCGGGGCTGGGCTGCGCGGGATACTCGGGCAGCTCCTTGAGCTCATCCACCTCCTGCCGCACGTACAGCCGATCAACAAGATCATACGCCGACGGCGCGCCATGTCCCAGACGGCACTCCTCAAAGTAGCGCCACTCGGCCGCCTGTTCGGGCGCCAGATGCTGCGTCTTGCGCTTGATGCGCAGCCCGCCGCGGCGCGCGATGGGGTGGTAATACGCCACGCCCTTCTTCTGCTGCGTCTCCGCGGAAGCAGCGCTCGGCTCGCCGCGTACGAGGAAGTTGGAGTCGTAGGAGCTGAGCGCTGGGAGCGTGCCGTTGGGGCTGGACAGCTCCACGCCCGAGGCGGAGACAGAGGCCGGATCGACACGACTCGAGGCGCCAGAGGTGAGCACGAGCAAGATGTCGGCTGATGGTCCGACGTCTGCGCCTTCGTAGTCGCGCCCATAGCGGTAGTACGTGCTGCGCTCTTTCGACTGCGCGCATGATGAAAGCATGAGCCAAGCACGATCCGCTGCCAGTGAGCCATGGCAAACTCACCAGATCAGCAGGCAACGGTGCCTCCTCCTCCGCCGCATTCTTTCTCGCTTGTCGGCGCGCATACGCCCGCATTGCCTCCTCGGCAGCCTCCATCTCCTTCATGCCCACCTCATCCACATAGCCCGCCGCGCGGCGCTTCTCAAACAGCGCCGCCGCCTCATCTTCCCGCGCTTGGCGGCGCGCCTCTTTCTCCTCTGCTGAGAGACGCGCGGAGGCAGAGCCTTCGGCGTCGAGAGAAGTGGCGGAGAGCAGCTCGTCGGCGTCGAGAGAGGGGAGGTAGGAGGCATACCAGTTGTGCCCGTACAGCCGCAGCAGCATGCTGGAGAGGCGCGCGTCGGATTGCACTTGCTTGTCGTTCTGGAGTGAGAGGAAGATGAAGTAGAGTCAGCCTTGAGAGCAGCAGCAGCGAGAGAGGTAGCAGCAGCAGCCAAATCGCCAGCCAGCGAAGCTTCCTCTCTCCTGCTTGAAAAGCGCGACTCAGCAACTCACCCGTCCCGCGCCCCTGCCCGGCGGGTCCGCGAACCTGAACACAGCAAACTCCGTCGCCCACGTCTCGTTGTCGGGCAGCACGTCGAACGCCTCGACGGCGCGCAGGCCGGGCTTGGTGGGGTGCCGCAGCTCCGCCAGCGGCCGGTTGGCCGCCTCGAACGTCGCCTCGATGCGCGCCAGCTGCGCGGGACGCGAGACGTCGATTTGCTCCGAGGCGGGACTGCAAAGGGGATCAGCTGGGTGCTCAGAGGCGGCGAGTGATGACCAGCTGGGCTGCTGCCATAAAGCATGAAGGCTCCGCGCAGTCCTCCGCTCCATCTCGGCATCCTGATGAAGCGCTCTGACTCACCCATTCTCGCGCCTCTCCTTGCGCAGCTCGTTGGCCGCCAGATACTCGGTGCGGCGCAGCCACGTGACTGCATTGGCCGCCGGCTCGGGCATGGCGCTCTGCTGCGTGCCCTCCATGGCCGCCGCCTGTGCCGCGGCCGCTGCTGCGGCCGCGGCTGCCGCTGCGGGGTCGAGCAGGTCTGCGCTGAGCAGCCAGCGGTCCTCCTCGTCGAGCTCCTCGAGGTTGAGGCTGGCAGCGGGCGCCACATCGTGCCCTTCCGGCCCGCCCCAGCTCGGCGCGTGCGAGAGCAGCATGTGCGCCAGCGGCATGCCTGCGTCTGCATCGACGACGAGCGGGAGCGCATGGTGCGAGGCGAGGCGCGAGGTGAAGGAGGGATGTGCGTAGCGCGACGAGGGCGTGGGGATCGAGAGCAGCTTGGGAGGGTAGGGGGGCAGAGGCAAGGGATTGGGATAGCGCGAACGCTCGATGAGGTCGGGCCGCTTGCGCGACATGGCTGCGTGCGTTGAGCGGGCGGTGCGGAGGGAGAGGAGAGGAGAGGGAAGAGGGAGAGGCTCGAGATGGACGTCGCACCGTGCGAACAGCAGCGTCGCGTCTCGCACGAGAAGGGAGCCGCGCCTCTCCGCATTCCGAGCGCGTCACGTGCGCTCGATTTTTGGCCGTCGATGCGCTGCAGCTGCAGCCGCGCCGACGGCATCGGTCCTTCTCGCTGGCGGCCGGCCTTCTGCGGGCGCTAAGGCGCGCTCTGCGGTGGCTTGCTCTCTCTGCGCAGAGCGAGAGGCCGTCCTCGGTACCGCGCGCGACGCGCCCTCTTTCTTCCCGTCCTCCTTCGTCCGACTCCTTCTCTCCCTTCCTGAAGCCTTGAGAGGACAAGGTCACGGTCGGCAGCACCACCCTACCTCCTCTCTCTACACTCCTCCTCTCGCGTCACCCTTTTCCTCAATCCTCTCACATTCCCTGAACCTCCTTCCTCACCGCCGCTCGCGTGCTTCACCGCCGCAAGCCGGTCTCTAGTCGCCGAAGCCAAATGTCTTCCTCGACTTCCGCCAGCGCCGCTGCTGCGGCGCCGGCGCGTCCGGCGCCCATGGTGCGCAGTGCCACGGTGCAGCGCACGCCCTCGCCCGCTCCGCCGGCCACGTCGGCGCCGCTGGGCAGCGCGCCGGCGCCGAGCATGCTCCTCGAGCTCGCCGACGGCAGCGCACACCGCGGCATCAGCTTCGGCGCAGAGGGCAAGAGCATCTCGGGCGAATGCGTCTTCCAGACTGGTGAGTCTGCGGTGCGAGGAGCGAGGCACTGAGATGCGGCGGAGGACTGGAGAGGCACGAAGCAGAAGAGGAGAGGCAGTGGGCAGCTGCTCCATAGCAAGAGGAGCAGCAGCAGTCTAGGGCTCTGTGCCCACTGCGGCCTGCAGCTGGGACGCTGCACTCCTACTGCCATAGCCCTGCAAGCCGCTTCTGCTACGCCTGCTTCGCCGTGCAGCGCTGACGCACTCTCCAGGCATGGTCGGCTACGTCGAGTCGCTCACCGACCCGTCGTACGAGGGGCAGATCCTCGTGCTGACGTTCCCGCTGGCGGGCAACTACGGCGTGCCGAGCCGCGAGGAGGCCGAGTCGTCGATCGCCTCGCTGCTGGCAAGCCCGTTTGAGAGCTCGCGCATCCACGTCGCCGGCCTCGTCGTCGCGTACTACAGCCACGACTTTGCCCACTACCTCGCCGCCTCGTCGCTCGGCGCGTGGCTCAAGGAGCAGGGCGTGCCGGCCATCTACGGCGTCGACACGCGCGCCCTCACCAAGCGCATCCGCTCCAGCGGCAGCATGCTCGGCAAGCTGCTCGCCGCGCGCAGCGCGCCCGCGCCCGCCAACGGCGTCGCGGCCGACTGGCGCGCCGAGTTCGACGACGTGCCGTACGCCGACCCCAACGCGCGCAACCTCGTCGCCGTCGTCTCGTCGACGCAGCCGCGCCTCTACACGCCCGCCAACACGAGTGCCGGCGGCTCGCTGGCGCCCGCCGGCGTGGCGCCGCTGCAGCACCCGAGCGGCCGCCCGCTGCGCATCCTGGCGCTCGACGTGGGCATGAAGTACAACCAGATCCGCTGCTTCACCAGCCGCGGCGCCGAGCTCAAGGTGGTGCCGTGGGACCACGACTTCCTCGCCGCCAGCGAGGAGCCCTTCGACGGCCTCTTCATCTCCAACGGTCCCGGCGACCCGACGAGCTGTGCGCCGACGATTGCGCGCATCGCCAAGCTCATGGAGCGCACGGGCGTCGCGGCCATTCCCATCTTCGGCATCTGTCTCGGCCACCAGCTGCTGGCGCTTGCCGCCGGCGCCAAGACGGAGAAGGTGCGTGCAGCTGCTGGTGCTGCCAGTGTGGGCCGTCACTGACACCCTGCCACAGATGAAATTCGGCAACCGCGGCCACAACATTCCGTGCACCGACCAGCTCTCGGGCCGCTGCTACATCACGTCGCAGAACCACGGCTACCAGGTGCTGGCGTCGTCGCTGCCCGCGCACAAGGGCTGGGGCGAGCTCTTCGTCAACGCCAACGACGGCTCGAACGAGGGCATCCACTGCACGCAGGGCCCCTACTTCAGCGTGCAGTTCCACCCCGAGTCGACGCCCGGCCCGCGCGACACCGAGTTTCTCTTCGACGTGTTCCTGCGCAGCGTGCAGGACTGCGCCGCCATCAAGGCGGCCGGCGACGATGCCGCACAGCTGCCGCCCGTCGCCTTCACCGGCGGCCTGGCGGCCGAGAACGCGGCCGTGTACCCGCGCGTGGATGTGCGCAAGGTGCTGGTGCTCGGCTCGGGCGGCCTGTCGATCGGCCAGGCCGGCGAGTTCGACTACTCGGGCTCGCAGGCCATCAAGGCGCTCAAGGAGGAGGGCATCTACACGGTGCTCATCAACCCCAACATCGCCACGATCCAGACGAGCGCCGGCCTGGCCGATAAGGTGTACTTCCTGCCCGTGACGCCCGAGTTCGTGCTCAAGACGGTGCGCCACGAGCGTCCCGACGGCATCTACGTGACGTTTGGCGGCCAGACGGCGCTGAACGTGGGCATTGCCATCAAGGAGGAGCTCGAGAAGCTCGGCGTCAAGATTCTCGGCACGCCCATCGACACGATCATCACGACGGAGGACCGCGAGCTGTTTGCGCGCGCCATGGAGCAGATCGGCGAGCGCTGCGCGCCCTCGGCGTCGGCGGTCAACTGGGACGAGGCGCTGGCGGCGAGCAAGAGCATCGGCTTCCCCGTCATCGTGCGCGCCGCCTTTGCTCTCGGCGGCCTCGGCTCTGGCTTTGCCAAGAACGAGGAGGAGCTGCGCCGCCTCTGCGTCGCCGCATTTGCCAACTCGCCGCAGGTGCTCGTCGAGAAGAGCATGAAGGGCTGGAAGGAGGTCGAGTACGAGGTGGTGCGCGACTGTCGCAACAACTGCATCACCGTCTGCAACATGGAGGTAAGTCAAGAAGTGCACGAGATGCCTGGCGCGGCGCTGACGCCCTTCTTTGCAGAACTTCGACCCGCTCGGCATCCACACGGGCGACTCGATCGTCATTGCGCCGTCGCAGACGCTCGACGACGCCGACTACAACATGCTCCGCACGACGGCCGTCAACGTCATCCGGCACCTGGGCGTAGTCGGCGAGTGCAACATCCAGTACGCGCTCAACCCGCACTCGAAGGAGTACTGCATCATCGAGGTCAACGCGCGCCTGAGCCGCTCGTCGGCGCTGGCGAGCAAGGCGACGGGCTACCCGCTGGCCTTCATTGCCGCCAAGCTGGGCCTCGGCATTCCGCTCAACGAGATCCGCAACTCGGTCACGCGCGAGACGAGCGCCTGCTTCGAGCCGAGCCTCGACTACGTCGTGTGCAAGTTCCCGCGCTGGGACTTGCGCAAGTTCGTCCGCGTCAGCTCCAAGCTGGGCAGCTCGATGAAGTCCGTCGGCGAGGTCATGAGCATCGGCCGCACCTTCGAGGAGGCCATCCAGAAGGCGATCCGCTCGATCGACTACCAGTTCGACGGCTTCGGCCAGGTGAGTGTCCGCGGCGGCACGTCGTGTCGCAGCGCCGCTCACACGTCTCGCAGAACGACTACGCCGACCCGGCCGAGATCGACGAGGAGCTGATGAACCCGACGGACAAGCGCATGTTCGCCATCGCCAATGCCTTTGCCAAGGGCTACACCGTCGACCAGATCCACCAGGCCTCGTCGATTGACCGCTGGTTCCTCTCGAAGCTCAAGGGCCTCTCGGACGCCGCCGAGGTGTTCCGCACCTACACGGCCGGCACGCTGCCCGTCGCGCTCCTCACGCAGGCCAAGCAGCTCGGCTTCAGCGACCGGCAGATGGCCAAGTTCCTCAGCAGCACCGAGCTGGCGGTGCGCAGCATGCGCAAGGAGCACAACATCATGCCCTTCGTCAAGCAGATCGACACTGTCGCCGCCGAGTTCCCCGCCTACACCAACTACCTCTGTGAGTCGTCGTGCCGCAGCACCTCGCACCACACCGCCGCTCACGCGCATTTGTGCCAGACACGACGTACAACGCCGCCGAGCACGACGTCAAGTTCGAGGACAAGGGCGTCATGGTGCTCGGCTCGGGCGTGTACCGCATCGGCTCGTCGGTCGAGTTCGACTGGTGCGCCGTGCGCGCCATCCGCACGCTGCGCGAGCGCGGCTTCAAGACGGTCATGGTGAGGGTGCCGCCGCGCGGCCCGTATGCGCGGCCTCTGTTGACCCTTCTCCCCCGCAGGTCAACTACAACCCCGAGACCGTATCGACGGACTACGACGAGGCGGACCGCCTGTACTTTGAGAACATCTCGCTCGAGACGGTCATGGACATCTACGACGCCGAGCGCGCCACGGGCGTCATCATCTCGATGGGCGGCCAGACGCCGAACAACATTGCGCTGCCGCTGCACCGCCAGAACGTCAAGATCCTCGGCACGTCGCCCGAGATGATCGACATGGCGGAGAACCGCTACAAGTTCTCGCGCATGCTCGACAAGATCGGCGTCGACCAGCCGCTGTGGAAGGAGCTGACGAGCTTCGAGGAGGCGCACGAGGCGTGCGCGCGCTTCGGCTACCCCGTCCTCGTGCGCCCCAGCTACGTGCTCTCCGGCGCGGCGATGAACGTCGTCTACTCGCCCGAGGACCTCAGCAGCTACCTCTCGCAGGCCACGGCCGTGAACCGCGACCACCCCGTCGTCATCACCAAGTACCTCGAGGGCGCCAAGGAGATTGAGATGGACGCCGTGGCGCGCGACGGCAAGATGATCATGCACTACGTCTCCGAGCACGTCGAGAACGCCGGCGTGCACTCGGGCGACGCCACCCTCATCCTGCCGCCGCAGGACCTCGACCCCGAGACGGTGCGCCGCATCGAGGCGGCGACGGCCAAGATTGCCGCCTCGCTGCACGTCACGGGCCCCTTCAACATCCAGTTCATCGCCAAGAACAACGAGATCAAGGTCATCGAGTGCAACGTGCGCGCCGCGCGCTCGTTCCCCTTCGTGAGCAAGGTGACGGGCGTCGATGCCATCCAGATGGCGACGGACGTGATGCTCGGCCTGCCCGTCGAGCCGTACCCGCCGCTGCAGATGCCGTCGCGCGACTACGTCGGCGTCAAGGTGCCGCAGTTCTCCTTCTCGCGCCTGGCCGGCGCCGACCCGATTCTCGGCGTCGAGATGGCGTCGACGGGCGAGGTGGCGTGCATGGGCCGCAACAAGTACGAGGCGTACCTCAAGGGCATGATTGCCTCGGGCATCAAGCTGCCGACGAAGAACGTGCTGCTCTCCATCGGCAGCTTCAGCGAGAAGGTCGAGCTGCTGCCGTCGGTGCGCACGCTGCACGCCCTCGGCTTTACGCTCTACGGCTCGTCGGGCTCGGCCGACTTCTACTCGGAGCACGGCGTGCCGGTGATCCACCTCGAGGCGCTGCCCGAGGACGACGAGTGGAAGGGCGAGGAGAGCAGCAAGGCCGCCTACTCGCTCCTCACCCACCTCGACCAGGGCCTCTCGTCGCTCTTCATCTCGCTGCCGTCGAAGAACAAGTACCGCCGGCCCGTCAACTTCACGTCGATGGGCTACCGCGCGCGCCGCCTGGCCATCGACCGCAGCATCCCGCTCATCACCAACGTCAAGAACGCCAAGCTCTTCGTCGAGGCCATTGCGCGCCACCGCGCCGCCGGCAGCAACTTTGACATTTCGCCCGTCGACTTCAAGACGAGCCACACGAGCCACACGTTCCCCGGCCTCGTCAACGTGCAGGCCTTCGTGCCGAGCCTCGCCGACCCGGCGACGGGCGCGCGTGACATTGCCGCCATCACCAAGGCCTCGCTCGCCGCGGGCTTCACGACGGTGCAGTTCATGCCCGTCGGCCTCAAGGCGGGCCACGCCATCACCGACGAGGGCTCGCTGGCGGTGGCCGAGGGCAAGGTGTCGGGCTCGGCGCACTGCGACGTGGCGCTGTCGCTCTCGGCGACGCGCGAGAACTCGGCGCTCGTCGCCGAGCTGGCGCAGCGCGCGCGCTCGCTCGTCGTCTCCTTCGACGCGCTCGGCGCCGACGTGAGCAAGATTGCCACGCTCTCGGCGCACTTTGCCGCGTGGCCCGAGAGCCGGCCGATCGTGACGGATGCGCGCGGCAACGACCTCGCCTCGGTGCTGCTGCTCGCCAGCCTGCACAGCCGCAGCGTGCACGTCACCAACGTGATGCGCCGCGACGACATGGCGCTCGTCGTGCTGAGCAAGGCCAAGGGCATGGACGTGACGTGCGACGTGGGCGTCTACTCGCTCTTCTTCAACACGGAGATGTACCCGCAGGCGTCGTGCCTGCCGTCGGCCGACGACCAGGCGGCGCTGTGGGAGCACATGGTGGACATCGACGTGTTCTGCGTCGGCGCGACGCCGTACCGCCTGGCGCTCGAGCTCGGCGAGACGCCGGCGCCCGAGGCGGGCATCCAGGAGACGATGCGCCTGCTCCTCGAGGCGGTCAACGAGCAGCGCCTGACGCTCGACGACGTGCTGACGCGCCTCAGCACGCGCCCGCGCGAGATCTTCCGCATCGCCGAGCAGCCCGACACGCACATCGAGGTCGACGTCGACCGGCCCGCCGTGCTGCGCCGCCAGGCGCACTGGTCGCCCCTCTCGGCCCGCTCCACGCGCGGCTTCATCCACCGCGTGCTCGTGCGCGGCAAGGCTGTCGTCGTTGATGGCGAGAGCCTGTCGGACGGCACGTTTGGCGCCAACATCGCCGGCGTGCTCACCGCGGCGACTTCGTCCAAGGCCATCGCCGTCGCCACGCCCGGCGTGCAGGCTGCCGCAGCCGCGCGCCGCGTCTCCTTCTCGCAGACGCCCGGCACGAGCTCGCAGCGGCCCGTGCTGCCGTTCGATGTGCCCTCGTCGCCGCCGCAGCTGGCGCTGGGCGATGCCAAGTCGCCGCAGCTCGGCTCGCTCGAGGTGATTGCGCCGCCGGCGGCGCAGCGCCAGAGCGTCAGCCTCATGTCGGCGTTCGCGCCGTCGCCGGCTGCGGCGCCCGACGCGCGCCTGCCGTCGCTGCGCTCGATGCTCGTGCACCCGACGTACACGCGCAAGCACATCCTCACGCCGCGCCAGTTCAACCGCGACGACCTGCACGCCCTCTTCACGGTGGCGCAGGAGCTGCGCCTGCAGGTCGAGCGCCACGGCGTCATCGACGTGCTGCGCGGCCGCGTGCTGACGACGCTCTTCTTCGAGGAGAGCACGCGCACGAGCTGCAGCTTCGAGGCGGCCATGGTGCGCGGCGGCGGCCAGGTTGTGGCCGTCAACACGAGCCGCTCGAGCGTGTCCAAGGGCGAGTCGCTCGCCGACACGATCCGCACCGTCGGCGCCTACACCGACGCCGTCGTGCTGCGCCACCCGCAGATCGGCAGTGCGCAGGAGGCCGCCAAGGCCTCGCCCGTGCCCGTCATCAACGCCGGCGACGGCGCCGGCGACCACCCGACGCAGGCGCTGCTCGACGTGTTCACCATCCGCGAGGAGCTCGGCACGGTCAGCGGCCTCACGGTGACGCTGCTCGGCGACCTGCGCTACGGCCGCACGACGCACTCGCTCGTCGAGCTCCTCGCCCTCTACGGCGTCACGCTCAACTTTGTTGCGCCTGCTGGTCTGGAGATGCCCGAGGCGATCAAGCGCAGCCTCAGCAAGAAGGGCATCCGCCAGTACGAGACGTCGAACATCGAGGAGGTCATCAGCTCCACGGATGGTGAGTCGTGCTTTGCGACAGGGCCAGCACAGCTGTTGACCCCCCGCTCTCCCAGTGCTCTACGTGACGCGCACGCAGAAGGAGCGCTTCGCCTCGCCCGAGGCGTACGAGGCCGTCAAGGGCTCGTACCGCGTCGACCAGCGGCTGCTGAGCCGCGCCAAGCCGACGATGGTGCTGCTGCACCCGCTGCCGCGCAACGACGAGCTTGCGGACGATGTGAGTAGCGCGGTGCGAAGGAGCGAGACGAGGTCCGGCGAGGTGCTGACGCACGGATGCACAGGTCATGTACGACGACCGCTGCGCCGTGTTCCGGCAGGTCAAGGCGGGCCTGTACGTGCGCCTCGCCCTGCTCGCCATGGTGCTCGCATAAAGGGAGAGGCAGCCCACTCCCTCTCTCGCCTCCGCCTCTAGAACTAGACCTTCTGTGCTTCGACTGTAATTTGCCGCAAAAGCAGCGCTTCGCTGCGCCCTTCTCTCCCTCCTCTACTTATCGACTCGTTGAACTAGATGCTTTCGGCTTATCGTCTGCGCGAGACGGACCCTCGATGACAGAGCTCCAGCAAGAGAGGAAATGGGGTCGCGGTGGTACAGGGCAGAGCAGAGCAGAGCAGAGCAGCGTGACGCAAGGAGAGCAGGTGGTGCAAGCAAGGCGGCGAGGAAGGCGTGGCACAAAGACGCCACATCACGCCATGTCCTCGCCGTCGTTGTTGTCGATGAGATGCGCGTAGTCCTCGGCGCTGGCGAACATGGGTGCGGCCTTGCGCTTCTTGCGCTCGGCGCGCTGCAGCTGTGCCTTGCTCTTGCCGGCCGCCTCCTCTGCCTCCGCCTCCTCTTCGTCGCCAGCGGCACGCTTCTTGCCTCGCGGCGCCGCCGCGGCCGCGGGCTCGTCGAAGCCGTGGAACGGCAGCAGGTCGTCTTCATCCTCGTCGCTGAACACGCCCTCCTCGTCGCCCGCGTCCAGCTTGATGAGCCCGTCGTCGTCCGAGCCCGACATGTCCTCCTCCTCGTCCGAACCCTCTGCTGCGCCACTGGCAGCGTCCGAGTCGGAGTAGTTGTACGCCTCGATGTCCTCGTCGTCCTCGTCGTCGCTGCCGCTGTCGAGCATCAGGTCCTCGTCGCCCTCCTCGCGCGGCATCGTGCGCTTCATGGCGGCCCAGATCTCCTTTTCGCCCTCGGAGAAGTCCGAGTCGTCGTCGGACGGCAGCGCCTCTGCGCCAGCGGCCTCCTCGTCCGACGAGTCGTTCTCGCCCTCAATCTCGAGCGAGTCGCTGTCGCTGCCAGACGCGGCGGAGGCCGCCTCGTCGTCGTCCGAGCCAGAAGCAGCGTCGTCGTCGTCCGAGCCTGCATCCTTGCGCTTGCTGCTCTTCTTGGCGCCGGCGGCCGTGCGCTCCGAGCGCATGTTGAAGTACTGGTGGAAGAAGAGCTGGTGGCAAGACGATGAGCGTGAGCAATGGGCCCGGCGCGTGAGCAGACAGGTCATCACGCACCTGGTCGACGGGCACGTCTCCCGCCTTCTTGCGCCAGAACTTCTCCGAGTTGACGTACTCGTCATCCGCAATGCCCTGTCCCTTTGTGCGCACCACGCTCGTCTCGACGCCTGCGCCTCCAGGCCCAGCGGCGGCCGCGGCAGGCTGCATGATGCTGCTGCCCTTGCTGGCGTGCGTCGTCTTGGGGTTGCGGTACACGAAGCGGTCGAGGAAGTGCGCGAGCGTGTTGAGCGACAGGTCGGCCGTAGTGCTGATGCGCTGCGAGAGCAGGAGCTGCTCGGCGTGCAGCGCCACCGAGGGGTGGAAGTGCGAGAGCAGCGGCACCTGCGGCAGAGCATCAGCGCCACGCGTCGTCTCGGCTCGAGATGCGGACAACTCACCACCTCCCACAGGCATGTAAGCTCGGCGCCCGCCCATCGTGGGTCTCGCTTGCGTGCGTCGTAGCGCGTGGGCAGCGCCGTGCCGCCCTCGGTGCGCGTGGTGGCAGCAGCAGCATCGGCAGCAGGCGCGCTCGGCTCGGCCTCCTCGTCGTCCTCAGCCTGGTCGACGAAGCGCTCCTCGCCCTCGTCTTCCGGCTCGCTCAGCATCACGCGCAGACTCGGGCGTGCCTTCATGAGCTGCAAGGGGGGAGCGCTGGTCAGCAAGCATCTGTCGCGCATCCAGCAACACCGGCGAACGCACCTCGCCTAGCAGGAACAGTGTGCCGCAGATCCACGGCGGCTCGCTGTTGAGCGTCGTCTGCAGCAGGCGCTTGACGCACGCCTTGGAGCGGCGCTCGTCGTCGTCGGCCTTGAGGGCCTTGAAGAGCAGGTTGAGGTACATGGCCTGCTTGCTCGTCGTCGCCAGGCGCGCATCGAGCAGCGAGCTGTAGAGCGTCGTGTAGAAGCGGTCGGCGATGTTGCCCGTCGTCGACGTGGGCCCTTCGTTGGACGCCACGGCGACCTGGAAGATGAGCTGCAGTGCCTGAATCGAGATGTTGAACGTGCCCGAGTGCGTGATGCGGAAGAGCGTGTCCATGTGCTTGTCGAGGCTGCGAGCAAGCGTCATGGTCAGACGTGCGAGGCACTGGCGCGCCCACATCGAGGCCATACTCACATCTCCGTGTCAAGCTTGGCAAAGGGAAATGCGCGCCGCACGCCCGTCAGGATCGCCGCCATCATCTTGGCATCGGCGTCGACGACGGCCTTGTTCTCGTCGTTTGCGCCCGCCTTGTTGGCCTTGCCGCCCTTGCCCTTCTTGCCCTTCTGGTCGCGCCAGCGGCCCTTCTTGTCCTTCTTGCCTGCGCCAGCGGCGCCGCCTTCCTCCTCAGCTGCCGCAGCAGCAGCCTCGGCATCGGCAATCGTCTCCTCCTTGCCGCCCGTGCTCTTCTGGAAGTCCTGCAGCACGCTCTCGAAGAGTTCAAAGTACAGGTGGACGAGATTTGCCGCCACCGCATCGTCGCGCGCCGTCAGCAGCGTCTGGTTGAGCGTCAGGACGCCGTAGTAGCGCGCGTGCGTGTTGTACTTGGCCACTGCCGGCTCGCCGTCCTTGGCGGCAGTCGGCGCCACCTTGGGCGGCGGACGCAGCACCAGCTGCGCCACCTCGCGCACGACGACGGCCTTCATGGCCGGATGCGTCGCGAGCAGCTCGAGCAGATGGCCACTGGCCTTGCTCGCCACCGCGCGCTCCGAGTCGCCGAGCTTGTTGACGAGCAGGCGCAGCAGGTTCTGCTCCTGCTCGCTCTTGTCGCGCAGCAGCACGTACGTCTGCGTCACGGCCTGCTTGCGCACAAACGGCAGCGTGTCGTGCGTCTGCGCCTCGAGGAGCTGCAGGAAGGAAAAGTAGAAGTGCTTGAGGGCGTCTTCGAAGGCGTAGAGGATGAGGTGGCCCTGCACGGCTGCTGTGACGTCTGCTGAGGAGGCACCCTGCAGCGCAGCGACGGCTGGCAACATCGGCTGGTCGCGGAAGTAGCGCAGCTTGCGTGCGCCCAGGCCGCCGGCCGAGGCGAGCCAGTCGCCGAGGGCCCGCGTGGCCCGCCCGCTCTCTTCGCGGCCCTTCTTGCTGGCCATGCTGAGCAGGCTCTCCATCGAGTGCATGTTGTGCAGCGGGCTGCTTTGCACCAGCAGCGTCAGGGCTGCGATTCGATCCGAGAGCGTGCCGCCGCCGGCGCCCGTGCCTGCGCCGCCGCCGCTGAGGAGCGACGAGATGAATTTGGCGTCGCTCGAGGAGAGAGTACCGAGGCCGCCACCGGCAATCGACGTGCCCGACGACATGAGCTCGCTGTACGTGCGGTTGTCGGCCTCGAGCAGGGCCTTGCCCTGTGCGTGCAGCGAGGCCACTTGCTCGTCGCTCGGGAACGCCGGCGCCGCAGCCTCCTTGCCCTTCTTGCTCTTCTTCTCGCTGGCAGGCGCAGCAGGCAGCGTCGGCAGCGGCGTGGTGGACCAGTGCGGCGCCGGTGCAAAGAGCAGGCGCTGCTCGCCCTTGGACGCGCCGCCCTTCTTGGCGCCAGCAGCCTTGGCCTTGGGCGGCGCCGCTGCGGCCTGTGAGATGGCGGCGATCTTGGCCTCACGCTCGGCAGCCATCTTGCGCTCGCGCTCCGCCTTCCAGTCGTTTGTGGGCGCTGGTGCCGCCTGCTCCGGCGCGCTCGAGGAAGAGGCGCTGGCCTTTGGCGGAGCAGCGGCAGCGGCCGCCTTTGCCGCCTCGCGCTCCTTCTTGCCCGGCTTGGCCTTCTCCTTCTTCTCCGGCGATGCGGCGGCCGGTGCGGCTTTTGAGGCTGCTGGCGCTGCTGCTGCTGTCGCTGCCGCAGCTGGCTGCGCCTTCTTCTCCGCCTTCTCCTTCTTCTTCGGCGCCGGCGCCTCGGCGGCTGCGCTCTCCTTTGCCGGCTTGGCCTTGGGCGGCTCCGCCTTGGGCGCCACGGCGCTGAAGTTGAGCTGCTTCATGAACGACATGACGTCGTCTCCGAGGCGTGGCTGCGAGACCACACGTCTCAGCGACACGTTCCTTCTTGGGCGCTGGCAGGCCACTCACATCATCGGCCTCCTCCTCGGCCTTGCCCTTGCCCTTGCCCTTCGTCTTGCCCCGGCCGACCAGCTCGAGGTCCTCCTTGCTGCCGCCCAGGGCTGCAATCTCGCGCATGAGCGTGTCGTCGTCGACGTCGCTGCTGTTGCCGCTGTCCGTCGGCGCCGCCGCCGCCGCAGCCGGCCGGGGGGCAGCCTTGACGGGCCGCGCCATGGCCGGGCGCGCCGGGGGCGCCGAGCTGCCGGCCGCCGCGGCATCGGCGCTGGGCCGCGGCGCCTTCTTCTTGTCCTTGGGGCGGAAGTCGCGCGCCATGGTGGATGTGAGCGGGAATGGGTGAGGCCCGGCGGATGAGGAGCGGAGGGCAGCAGCCGGCAGCGTGCTGCTCGAGAAGGTCGCGAGTGCCTCTTGGCGGCCGCCGCCAAAATTACCTGGCGGGCGCGTCACGTGATCGGCCGGACCCTCGTACTTCCTGCAGCCCCCCCGGCCCGCCTCACCTGCCGCGCACAGTCACCCAAGGGAGATGAAGATGCCGTCGGAATCTTGCAGCTACGCTCGGGGCTCTGTGTCTCAGAGCGCCGCCTGTGCCCAAGCAGCCCGTGGATCGAGGCCAGCTGCACCTTGCTCGAAGGCGCGCCGCAAAGGCGGGGCGTCGGAACGCAGTGCCTGCCCGCGCCAGGCGCTCGTCCACCCTCTCCGGCTTCAACGGTCACTCGAGTCTTGGTCGCGTGCGCCGCGCTCTCGGCCAGGCAGCACGGCTGCGCGCTCGAGCTGCGACGAGGCCGAGAGAGCAAGAGGGCTCTGGCCTTGAGCTCACCATGGGGTGCACCATGTGCTACACGCGTGTGAGGCAAGACAGTAGTGCAGCGCCCGTCGACTTGTGTCATGCGCCGCGTCTACGGTACTCAGACTCAAGCAGGCAGGCAAGGCAGGGCACATAGTAGCCAACCCCCGAACACACGTGCTCGAGACGCACGCGCGGGCTCTCAAAGTCTGAGGCTGTCCTCGCTGCTTGCCCCTCGCTGCGCACACGTCGCTGCATCTGCGTGCCGCACGTGGTAAGGATCGTCGTGGCATTGCCAAATCCCGTCGTCGGCAGGCACAGGCTCAAGACGCCTTGCCTCGGAAGAAGAGAGGTATCGAGAGGCTCCATTGCGTCGCAGCGGCTGCCTCTGCTGCGCGCTTAGATGTTGCTCTTCTTCGCCGGGACGATCTCGCTGTGCATTCGCAGCCGGATGAGCACATGGCGACGGGCAGCGCTGAATTGGGTTGGCGGCGGCGGCGGGGGGGGGGGGGGGGACACTCACATCCAGTAGTTGTCCGGGTCGAGGATGAACGCAATGTGGCGCATCTTGCCGTCGGTGGTGCGCTTCTTGAAGTTGACGCCGAGCGAGTCGAAGCGCTTCTCGGCCTCGGCGACGTCGTCGACGGCGATGGCCAGGTGGCCGAAGCCTGGACAACAAACGCAGAATGTTAGTCGTGTGCGCTGACGAGGAAGCAGCACGTGGGCAGACGCACCCTGCGGCTCGTCGTTGCCGTTGTGGTACTTGAAGTCGGCCTTGTCCTCGGTTCCCTTGTTCCAGCTGTGCATGCACACTCAGCCATCAGCCCGATGCTGGCCGCCTGCGTCCGCGCGCCACACTCACGTCAGCTCGAGCAGCGCCTCGCGCTCGCCGCGGCTCTTGCCCTCCTGGTGCTGGTAGCCGAGGAAGAAGAGCTGTGCAGGGCACACCGCGTCAGAGATGCAAGTAGCTGCGACACGTGCGGCCATGTGCCTCACCTTGAAGTCGCCGGCGTCGTGCTCGTCGAGCAGCGTCATGCCCAGCACGTTCTCGTAGAAGTCGAGCGACTTTTTGGGGTCCTGCGGGGGCACACAAGCAATCAGCAACTCGTCCTAGGCACTGCGCAAGTGTGGTCTGCGGGACGCACCTTGATGCGGATCATGGTGTGGCTGGCAGCAGCACAGGCATGTCAGCGAGCGGGCACAGGAGAGCAGCACAGCGTGCGCGGGCTCACTTGAAGCGGTACGACTGCGTCTCTGCGCTCGCGGGCAGTGCAGGAGCGGGAGAGGAGGAGAAGCAGCGGGCGTAAGAGGGAGCAATTGGAGCAGGCGAGCGAGCGCCGCAGCGCTGCGTCGTCGTCGGGAGCGCAGCTCGCAGCAGAGGAGCAGCGGCGGCGCGCAGGCCGAGACGCGCGAGCTGCGGCGCTGCGGAGCGCAGCAGGAAGGGCGCACCTGCGGTTGCGGGCATGTTGGGCAGGCTTGAGGGGGGGTGCGAAGTGGGTCTGGGTGCGGTGGTGGTGGTGCGAGGAAAGGCAGCGGGCGGGGCGAAGGCGTGCACACGACAGCCCGCGCCGCACGGACGCATCTCGGCAGAGAGGGCCGCCCGCCGGCAGGGCGAACGGAGCGGGGCAGCAGCATCTCGGCTCCGCAACAGCGCAGAGGCCTGTCCGATGACTTCACTCTCCCGCTCCCTTCCTCTCGCCCGTCACAAGTCAGCTCGAGAGCGGGCAAATCGTACCACGGCGGCGGCGGGGCGGCGAGGGCGGAGCGGAGCTCTCTTAGCGCGGCGGCGGCGGCACGTTGCGAGGTGGAGGTGCCGCCGGCTGGCGCACGTGACGCCATCTCGCCGCCGGCCTTTTGCTCTGGAGCTGACTTTGAAGGGCCGCACCGCAGATCTTGCACGGGACAGCAGATCTCCGCTGCTGCAGCTGCGTCCGAACGTCAGAAAGGCAGAGGGACATCGATCGACGGCGCATTCGTGAGCGGAGCCGGCTGTTGGCGCTCGGCAGGCAGCCGCCGAATGCTCTCGAGGAGCGAGCATGCGCAGGAGTGCAGATGGAGGCTGCGATGCACCCGCCTGCATGTCCCCTGAGCGAAGCAAGGCTGGTCAACGGTGGTGCTCGGTGGCCCTTGACCGCCGCAGCGTCGCTCGAGTCACCGGAGAGTCACGGCGCTGCGGCCGTGGGGGCCGCGGCGTGCATCGCGGCCGCGCGTGTACGCGCGGTGCCCCGCAGCTGCGCTCCCAACCATCACGTCCGCAAGCAAAGCACACCTCAAGCAGTGTCGCAGAGACGCAGAGACGCAAGTCATGGCCGTCACATTCGATGTCGTGCCGGCGACGCAGGCCGACCTCGCTGCTGGTGCACGCTTGATGGCCGCGAGGTAAGAAGCGGGCTTGAGAGAGGCGGGCCTGCGATCTTCTGATGCCTCGTCTGGCGCAACAGCTTTGCCGAGCCCATGCTTCCCATCTTCCACGACTCAACATCAGAATCCATGATGGCGTACCGGGCATCACAGCTGCAGCGCTTCCTAGTCGCACAAGCACAAGGCACACATCCACCCACGCGCTTCCTCGTCGCGCGCGACCGCGACGCGCACGCAGACGAGCCATTGCTCGGCCTCGTGGTGTGGCAGGTGCTGCATGAGCCGCAAGTCGAGGGCTCACAAGACTCAGAGAAGGGAGGTGTGCTGCCAAAGACAGCGCCGATGCCGCACGACTCCGACGAGGAGGCGTTTGCGGCGCTCAAGCGCGAGGCGCAAGCTGCGCTCGATCGCTGCACTCAAGGGCGGCCCGTGTGCTGTGCGTGCAACCTCGCCTCTATCGCCGCAGCATCTGCTAACTTGCCCCTCGCACAGACGTGCCCTACCTCATCGTCGCGCCCCACGCGCAACGGCGAGGCGTAGGCGCAGCACTCATGGCGCGCGCGCTGGCGCATGCCAAAGAGGGAGGCAGGTTGTGCTACCTCGACGCTGCGCCCACGCCCAGCGCAGAGCCGTTCTATCGCAAGCTGGGCTTTGTGGCGCACGGCTGGTTCGGCAGCACGGTGCAGCTGCTGGCTATGACGTGGGAAATGTGACACGTTGCAGCAGCGGCAGCTCGGCGAAGAGCTACGTCGTCTGCCGATGCGGAGCAGCCAGCTTCCCTTGGCAAACGGCACGCAGGCTGAGTAGTGATTTGGTTGCATTCCTGTGCTCTCGCTCAGAGGAAGGCTGCCTGTCCGCGGCGTGCGAGCTGTCGCGGGGCACAGGGGGGTCAGCATGATGCTCCGCAGCACTTGGCTCTTCCAGCCACTGCTCCACTCACCTCCACCACCTTCCAGCCGCCGGTGATCTCATTGTCCATCTCCTCCTCGACGCGCGTCAGCACCATGGCGTAGCGGCACATGTCCGCCTGGTCTTCGCGGCCCGCCATGACCTCTCCCGTCTTGGCGTCCTTGAAGTACATGAGCTCCTGGCTCGTGAACGACACGACCACGACGGGCACGTTGTTCTCCAGCAGGCGCGCCTGCAGGATCTCGATGTTCTTGAGGTCCAGCAGGCGGCCGTGGGCGATGGCGCCCTTCTGCACGTACGGGTCGATCGTGGCCATGAGCACGTTGTACGTCGCCTCGCCGCACCACTGGCGCAGCAGGTGGCGTGCCGCGCCGTGATAGGCATCAATGACCTCGGGCACGACGTACTCGCGCAGCTCGCGCTGGAAGCCCTCGAGCGTGAACGTCGGGTCGAGCGCCTTGAACGCCGCCACGACGCGCGCCGTCTCGTTCTCCTGGAACCAGCCGCCAATCGTGTCGGTGATGCTGCGCAGACGCTCCACGACCGGGTTCTCCGACTCGTCGTACGCCATGCGCATCTCGCCCAGCTTGCGCATCAGCGGGTTCGTCTCGCGGAACGACGCCCACGCCTGCTTGTACGCCGGCTCGGGGCGCAGCACCAGGGCCTCGCCGGCGGCGGCGTTTTCCTGCACCGAACGCACGCGCGCGGCAAAGCCCAGAGGCCGCGGCTTGTGTGGCTGCGGCGAGGGCGCTGGGCCCGGAGCGGCGGCAGAGGCAGCAGCAGCAGCGCCTTCCGGCTGGCCTTCTGCATCGGCTTGCTCGCTTGCTTGCTTGGCCGACTCGGCGCCCGCAGCGGCGCCAGCGGCCGCAGCAGCCGCGACGGGCTCCTCCACCTCCTCCTCTCGCGGCGCCATGGCCTTGGCAATCGCCTCTTCGCCCTCCACGTCCGCACGCGGCGGCTGGCGCCCGATGGTGCGCAGGCGCGCCTCGCGCTTTATCCGCCGCACCTCGCGCGCATCGGCGGCGCCGTCGGCGTGGATGCGCAGCGCCGAGCCGCCGTCGTCAAACGCATCGGCGAGCGTCTTGGAGAGCTCCTTGTACGCCTCGGTATTCCGCACCGGCGCCGTGCTGTCGGCCAGCTGCCGCGCCAGACGCGACGAGATGGCGCCGAGCTGCACGGGAATGTCAGCCCTTTGTGCTGCGCTGCGTGTCAAGCGCTACTCACGCCCTTGATCAGCTCGCTCTCCTCCATCTGGCGCAGCGTGGCGCCCACGGCGTCGCCCACATTGCCGCCCGTCTTGCGCAGTGCATCGGCGGCCGCCTGCAGGCGCGGGTTCTCCTTGATGCTGGTGACGATGCGTGCGCGCTCGTACGCCTCGCGCATCTTCTTCATCGTCTCGCTGTCCTGCAGCTTGCCGGCCTCGCCCTGCAGCTGGCGCATGTTGTCCTGCATCTCCTGCGACTTGCGCAGCTCCTCGCGCAGCGTGTCGACGAACGCCTGGAACGGCGACTTGGTGCCGCCCTCGCGGCGCGCGTGCGACGAGGAGAATGGCCGCGCGGCCGAGGCCGAGGCCTGCCCGCCGGTGGCACGCCGCGCCGCAGTGGCACCCGCACGCAGCGACGGCCGCGGGGCCGCACGCGCCCCGCGCACGGCGGCGGCGGGCAGCTGCGCACGCGCCTGTGCGAGGGCGGAGGAGGAGGGGCGTGGCATGGTGTGGGGTGGGGTGTGGGAGGCAAGCAGTGGAGGCGCAGTCAGCGGGACGACACCGGAAGAAGGCTCGAGGCGAAATGTGCCGGCGCGGCGCAGGTCACGTGGGCCGCGCGCCGCTCCCGGCCTGTGCCGCTGCCCAGCGGCGCCAAGGTGCAGGCGGCGCCGCCCCCTGACACACCACCACAGCCAGTCAATTCGATTGCCAGCATGAGCGAGCAAGAGCAGCATCTCGCGCAGATTCGCGATGTGAGGCTGCTGTGCCAGGCGCGCCTGGGTCGCCGTGGCCGCTCATCACGCCGCCGCTGCAGATCCACTCGGGCATCGTGCGCAACTCGCCCATCTATGAGTTTGCGCTCAGCGGAGTGAGCACGCTGCCGCTCGATGCTGCTGCCCGGGTTGGCAGCCTCACTCACGCCGGCACCGACAGCTCACCGTCACCGAGGCCAGCGGGCCCGTCGTGCGCGCCGTGCTGCCGCTCACCGCCACACAGGTCAACTCCAAGGGCACGCTGCACGGCTCGGTGACGGCGACGATCGTCGACTGGATCGGCGGCCTCTGCGTCGCGTCCGCCAGTGCGGACCCCGCGAGCGCAAAGCGCGGCGTCAGCGTCGACATTCACGTCTCGTACATCGGCGGCGCCAAGGCGGGGCACGAGCTGCTGATCGAGGGCAAGGCCGACAAGGTGGGCCGCACGCTGGCGTTCATCAGCGTGGAGCTGCGCGTCAGAGAGCAGGGCGCGAGCGACCAGGGCAAGCTGGTTGCCAAGGGAAGCCACACCAAGTTTGTCGGCTAGACGTCACACACACAAGTCACCGCGCGGGAGCAATGAGAGGATGAAAGCCAAATTGGCATTAGGCGGCAAAGGCGCGGCAAGGCGCGATGCGCTAGAGTAAAGAGGTGGTCCTGTGTGAGGGTGGAGTATGTGCAGCACAAGGCCGCGCGATCATGAGATAGAGCAGAAGCCGAGTAGATGCGTCGCTGAGTAGAGCGGCGAGACGGAGAGTCGCTTAGTTGAGCGGCAGGTTGGTGCAGCCAAAGTTGACGAGGCCGCTCTGCGTCACGTTCTCGCAGCACATGGGCGTCGACTTGCACGTGTTCTGCGCCGCGAGACTGGAGTTGAGGGGAGGCAAGTGTCAGCTCGAGTTGCGGGAGAAGAGGTCTGAGAGCGTCGCTTCTGCCGGGCAACACTCACGCAGCACCAATGACGTTGACGGGCAGCTGGAAGCAGTCGAGCGCAATGGGGCCCGTGAGCTCCTTGATGCCGGCGAGCGCTGAGAAGACATCCTTCTTGGCCTGGTCGTGCACGACCTGGTTGCAGCACTGCGGCGTGCCGACGCTGCACTGGCCCGTGGCGTGGCGGCGCGCCTTGGGGCGCATGGCGCGGCCCGCGACATTGCCGATGTTGGCCTGCGCCAGCAGAGACTTGGCGAACACCTCGGCCGCCTCGGGGAGCACGGTGAGCTCGGAAGCGTCGCGCAGCTCGAGAGCGGACGCGGACGCGGCGAGGCCGACGAGGGCGAGGAGAGAGACGGAGCGGATGGAGAAGAACATCTTGAAAGAAGGAAGAGCGTGGATTGAGGTGGAGAAGAGAGCTGGAGTGGGAGAGCTGGATGAGGAGAGAGAGGGGGAGGCAGCGAAAGGACGCTGCTCTTATACGCTCGTCAGGACCCACTCGACGTCTGGCTGTGCGTGCCCTGGCCCGGCCCCGCTCGGCATGCCACGCAAGACCTCAGCTTCACGGCTGCAGTCTGGCACAGACACGCGCAAGGTAGGAGCCCTCACTTCGACGCCCTTGCTCCACTCTCGCCTGGCTGGAGTGCGCCCAGCTGCGGCTAGGATGTTGCTCGCTCGGCACTGTCTCGTCGAAAGGTCCATCGGAAGGGCAGGCACCGTCCCCGGCATCGCTAGCAGCATACCGTCGGGCCTCATCTCGCAGCGGCGCCGGCAATGTGGCTGCTCGATGCGGCGGCGAGAGAGGCGCTTGAGGCTCGACGATGCCGGAGAGGCGTGCCTGCGGGCACGGGCGCGGGCATGTGCGCCAGCCTCGGCAGAGACGGGGCAGCATCTACATTGCTCGGCCTGCTCCTCGCCCATCGGGTGCAAGCATGCATATCGCCCAACAAGACTCTTGCGTTGCGCCGCCGAGCCTTGCTGCTCGATTGGCAGCCAGAGTCTGACGTTGCGGCGCTTGCGGTGTGGTGGAGAGAGAGAGAGAGAGAAGGAGAGGCGCGCGCCTGGTGCTAGCTTAGCGCGCATGCGAGCCCCCATGGCGCGCCCCAAGCGTGGCGCGCGGCACGCACGGCGCGTCAAGGCACGCGCCCGCCACGGCGCCGTTGCCAACGTCGCTCCAGCGCCCGCCGTGTCGCTGCTTACTGCCTGCAAGACAGCAACACGCAGCCGATGCCGATGCGTAGAGAGCGCCTGACGCACGTCGCACGTCCGTCGCTGAGCATCCCCGCATTTGGCCGCTTGCAGGCGGCAAGCTGCGCGCCGTGAGGGAGTGCCGCAGCGGCAGAGGGTGGGCGCCGCGCGCTGCAGGCCCCTCTCTCACGCCGCTGGCCCTCTGGAGCAGTGTCTCGACACGACGGTCCGTCGCACTCCAAAGCCGGACACCCGTCGCACTCCAAAGCCGGACAACCAGGCCTGCCCATCTGGCTGCCCGGGCCCGGCCAAGGACGCGCCAGGAAAGGCCGCACCTTTCCGTCTCGTCCCTCCCGTGCCCCTTGCGGCAAGGACGGGCTGCCCGCGCCATGGGCCCCCGCACACACCAGTCGGGCAAAGAATCCGACGCCAAGATCTTCAGTCGTCGTTGGCGAGCGTGGAGCGCGCGCGCGAGAGGGTGATCTCTGTCTGTGGTACAGCGCAGCTTCGGCCCCCCGCATGCGAAGGCAGGCTCATCGGATGATCAGCACATCCTCCGCGCTGGCGGCGCTCGGCATTCTCTGTGAGCGACAGAGAGTCTGCGCTTCCAAGTCGTGCACGGGCAGACAGACAAGCGAGCAACGATGACAAGCAATCTATTTGCCCTCCGTCTCGTCCTCCTCGGGGATGAGTGACTCGACATGCGCCGGCCGGATCTCATGCAGCGTCTCGTTGAGGATGGGGCAGAGAATGTCGTTCTCGCCCGAAATGTCCACCACGTCCTGCTCCACGGCGCCGAGCGCATCCATGAGCGCCGCGGCCGCGTCGAACTGCCACTCGGCAAAGTCGGCCGTCTCGTCGCTGAAGGGTGCGACAGCGATGGGCGACGAGGCCCGCTCGACGACGTCGAGCTCGTCCGGCGCGTCGCTGCTCCTCACGACGCCGCGCAGGTCCATGCGTCCGCCAACGGGCAGCGGCAGGCCAAAGCGGTCCTCGTCGGCGTCCTGCATCGCCGTCTCGTCCGCCTTGCCCGCGCCCTGCTGCCGGCGCGCCGAGTGGCCAGCCGGTGCCCGGTCGAGCGTGCCGGCTGCGGTGCGCGCCAGACTGCGCAGGATGAGCGCGGCAGTGCCGGCGATGCCGAGCGGGCGCGACGAGCCGTCCATCGGCGTGCGCGTGACGCGAAAGGCAATCGGCTCTGGGTTGTCCACCGTGCCGCGCCGCTTCTGGCCCTTCTTCGACGCTGCGAGATCGGGCAGGAGCAGCATGCGGCCGCGAGGGTCCTTGTCGATCACCTTGGCCTTGACCAGCGAGTCGGGCGAGCGCTCTGCTGGCGCCTCGGCCGGCTCGGGCGCCGGAGCGAGGTGCGTGAGGACGTGCCGACGCAGCTGCTCAGCACGCCCGCTCTCGGCGACCTCCGGTGGCACAGCGTACGCGCAGGTGTGCCACGCGCAGGCGAACGGCGCATCCTCGAGGTGGCTCTGCAACACGTGTCGGGTGAGGGATGCAGCCGTCTCGTTGTCACGGTCTGCGCAGCCGCGCCAGCAGCACTGGAACTTCCGCAATGCTGTTGAGGCCGGATCAGTCTCTCTCAATGATTGAGCATGCAACGCCTGTCTACTCACAGCTGCGATCGCGCCGCGCAACGCCAGTGATGACGAAGCGCGTGCCGTTCTGCACCATGGCTGTGGCGCCAGGAAAGGCAACCGAGGCGATGCGGATTACCTCTGCGGCCGGCTGCACGGCCGTGGGCGTGCCGTGTTGCGAGTAAGGCGTGAACTGGTCGCGGTACGTCTCCCACAGCTCGACCTGCGTGACCTCGGACTTCGCGCGCGGCTCGTAGATCATCTTGAGCCTGCTCGCCGTGGTCAGCGCAAAGCGGCACGGGGTGGGAGCGATGTGTACGCACCAGGTGGTCAGCCGCTCCGGCTCCGGCAAGCCAGCGACGCGCTGCACCTCCCACTTGGTCAGCCATCTGTTGGACGCCTCCTTGGCTGCGGCCTGCTCGGGCGCCAGGCCCGCAAAGCGCGCGCGCCGCTCCTGCTCCTCCAAGGCGCGCCGGGTGGGGATGCCGGCGTGCAGTTGCGGGTGCACCTGGATGTTGTGCGTGCGGGGCCACGAGACTCGCCTGCAGGCCAGGCAGCGCACGAGCAGACGCACGAGGCCGAATGCATCCTGTGCTGCCGGCTTGTGCGAGATGACGACGCCGTCTGCGGCAAGGCGCAAGGCGTTGAAGCCGTCGATGCGCAGCAGCTGGTAGAGACAGTCGAGCGCGGACTCGACGAGCGCGGGATCCGCAGAGGCGTCGAGCGCCACAAGCTGGGCGCAGCGCTGCACCACTGCCTGCACCGTAGGCCCTTCGGGATAGATGGGCCTGCCGGACGCGAAGAGGTGCTCGTTGCGCTCCAGCTCGGCGAGCACGCCGATGATGCGCAGCGATGCGACGAGCAGTTGCCGGTCCTCGGCGTGCACGATGAACGACACCACTGAGCCGAGAATCGCGTCGCCGGCCAGCTCGGCCGCCTTCATGTTTGCCTTTCCGGCCGCGACGAGGGGCGCCGGCGCGTCGGCAGGCGGGCTAAAGATGAGCATCGGCGCGACGGACTCGCACACGTCGAGCCAGATGCCGCGCATCTCGCGCAGCGCCTCCAGCTCGGCCCACGCGTCGGCCTCGAGCGCCAGGCAGTCGAGCGTCAGCACGTCGGCGATGAGCGTCGGCATGCCGCGCGTGTGCGTGTACATGTGCCGCACGAAGCTGCCGTGCAGCGAGAGGTTGCGCAGGATCGTGCTGGCGAGCACAGCCCAGCGCGCCAGTGCGGCGTGCGAGTCGTCCTGCGCCGGACGGAATGCGCCCGCACCAGTGGACAGCGCGCCGAGACGCGACGTGCCCGGCAGTGCGGTCTCGTCTGCGCGCTGCCGCTTTGCGGGCCTGGTCACGCCCAGCATCGGCGGTGCCGAGGTCCATCCAAGCGCCTCGTCTGCATCCGCCTGCTCCTCCGTCTCGAAGAAGCGCGGCGCCCACTCCGTCTCGGGCGCGCCCTTGACGGCCGCCACGACGCGCATGGGGAAGCGCAGCAGCGTGTCGGTGAGGCCCGGCCACTTCTCCCACGTGAAGCGGTCGGCGTGGTTGAGGGAGGCGTCGAGCAGACGCGCCAGGGCCCAGTCGATGTGCGACGGCAGCCCGGAGCGCAGCGAGAGTAGCAGGAAGTTGCTCGGGCCACCACGGAGATAGTAGCCTGTGATCAGTGCGTCAGTCGGCGTGGAAACGCAAGTCTCAGCGCTGCCTGCACTCCACTCACGCTCGCCGCCGTCCTTGGGCATGCGCTCGCGCTTCTCGGCGCGCGCCGAGGCGTGCAGCAGGCCGTTCTGGCTCGGCAGCGCCGGTGCCGCATGGCGTGGCGGCATGGGCGCGCCGCCGCCAGCAGCGCGAGGAGGCAGCGAGCTGGGCATGGGCGAGTAGTGCTGCTGCTGCGGCGTCTGCTGTGGAGCGTGCACGGCCATCGGCACGCGCGGCTGCTGCGGCGGCAGGGCATGTTGCTGCTGAGCCTGCAGGGCCTGCTGCTGCTGCTGAGCCTGCAGTAGCTGCTGACGTTGCATCGCCTGCTGCTGTTGCTGCTGATGTTGCAGCATCTGCTGCTGTTGCAGCTGCTGCTGGTGCTGCTGGTAGTGCGCCTGGCTGATCGGGAATGTCGGCGCGCCGGGACGCGGCGAGGCGTGCGACATGCTGGGCAGCCAACGGCGTCGCAGCACGCACTCAGGCCGAAGCGAACCTGCCGGTGCTCAGAAAGGCCGTGGGCGACGCGAGAAGGGCCGAAGCGAGGAAAGGAGAGTGACGGTGACGGTGGGAGGAGGAGGCGGAAGCTCGAGAAGCAGGCGGCCGTCGGGAGGCGGGCAAGCGGCGCGCGGCCCTGAGCTCTACGCGACGCGCCCCGGCTAGCCGGCCGAATGTTCCCGCGCCTCTCGCTGCGTGCCTGGCCGTTTCCATGTCGCCCTCCTTCTCTCGCCTCCACGCCTTTCCTCAGCCATACCCAGCAGCACACAGACTACAGCCGCTGTTCAGTATCTCTGGCTAGACGGAAGAAAGTATGTCCACGTCTTCTTCAAAGAACAATGCCCGGAGGTCACGGTGCGCATCAACGTCGACCCGCGCTCACCATCACACACGCGCAGTCGGAGGCAAATAGAATACATCATCATTGCACAGCTCAAGCAGGCGAGCAGGCAGCATGCGAGCGTGTCCGGAACGCACAAGACTCAGGCGTTGTTGTAGCACTGGAACGACTGCTCCTGCTCGTTGCCGTCGAAGCCGACGCCCTTCCACACGATGAAGCGGCCCTCGGGGTCGTAGCGGCGCTTGATGGAGAGCAGGCGCGCGTAGTTGCTGCCGAAGAAGGCCGTCTGCCAGTCCTGCTCCTGCGTGTCGGCCTCGTTGACGTAGGTGCCCGTGCCGTACTGGCGCAGGATGTTGCCGCCCTGGTGCACGGCGTCGGCAATGGCGTTGCGCGACGCCTGCGGCGTCGGCGTCGTCCAGCCGTTTGCGACGACGACCTCCCAGAAGGAGTTGCGCCACGCCGGGTTCACGCCCGTGTCGGCGCCGCTGGGGCCGCCGAGCGACGAGGGCAGCGCGCCCGTCGAGTAGACCTGCAGCGGCACCTGGCGCACGGCCTGCGTGGCGAACGACGGCAGGTTCGACATGGTGGCGCGGTACGAGGCAATGACATCGCGGCCGAGCTTGGCGCGCGACTCGGGCGTCTTGAAGGCATCCGTGGGGATCAGGCGCGAGGCGAGACGCTGGGCGGTGGCAATGGGCGTGATGCTGGAGAGGATGTCAGTGCAAGTCCGGGTGGCAGCTTCGGACGCGACTCACAAGTCCGAGGCCGGCTTGAACGTGTTGCGGTAGTCGTTGAGCGTGTTGTAGCGCGTGTACTCGGCCGAGGCGACGACGAAGCCGGGCACGGCGCGCAGGTACTCGACGATGGGGTCCATCTGCGCGTGAGCGGCAGCCAGGTCGCCCGTGGGGTGGCCCATCGAGACGACGATCGTGTCGCGGTAGATGAACTGGTAGGCGGCGATGCCGGCCTTGGTCCAGCCCTCCTGCAGCTCGGCCCACTTGGCGACGACACCGGCGAGCGCGGCGTCGAGGTTGACGCCGGCGCCCGTCGTCGAGACGAGGTAGCGCAGGCCGACGAACGGCTCGTCGGGGTACACGCGGATCACCGTCTCGGTGACGACGCCCCAGCTGCCGCCGCCGCCGCCGCGCATCGCCCAGAAGAGGTCGGCGTCGCTGCCCGAGTTGACGCGGCGCGTGCGCCCGTCGGCCGTCGTCACCTCAAACTCGAGGATGTTGTCGACGGCGAGGCCGCGCTTGGGGCCCAGCGGGCCGTGGCCGCCGCCCATGGCGAAGCCGCCGGCGACGCCGACGGTCCCGACGGCGCCGAGCGTGATGCTCTTGCCGTTGCGGTTTGCAAAGTCGTAGGCGTCGGTGGCGTACGTGCCTGCGCCCATGACGACGGCGTTGCCCTTGCCCTTGTAGTTGTCGACGTACTCGAGCTTGCGCAGGTTGTGCGTCCAGATGAGGAGCGAGTTGCGGCTCGTGCTGCGGCCGAGGTAGTCGTGGCCCGTGTTCTTGACGACGATCTTGATGTTGCGCGCCTTGGCAAAGGCGATGGCCTTCTGCACGTCAGCGGCACTGCCGACGTTGACGGCGTACGGCGAGACGCGGCCGGCGCCGCAGGTGCGCAGCGGCGCCAGCAGCGAGAGCTGCGGCACGTCGGCGTTGATGGTGCAGTCACTCTCGCTCGTGCCGTCGTAGCAGTACGTCCAGTTGTCGATCTCGGCGTAGCCCGGCTGGTCGGCGCGCGCAGGCCCGTTGGTGTACTGCGCCTGCACGAGCTGGCACTGCACGGGGTCGGGGCGCGGCTGCCCGAAGCACGGCTCGGGCCACGGGCGCACGGCGATGAGGCGGCCGTTGAGCGTGCTGTTGAAGCGCAGCCAGTCGTCGTTGCTCGGCCAGCACGCCTGGCCCGGCTGGCAGTAGTTGCGCGCCGCACGGCGCACGTTGCTCGTCTCGAGCGACGGCGCCGCCCAGCTGGGCAGCGCCAGGGCGAGCACGCCGAGGGAGAAGGGCAGGATCATGGTGCGCGTGCGAGGAGAAGCGGTCCGGGAAGAGGGAGAAGGGGAGAGGGAGCGAGGAGTGGGGAGGGGAGCCTGGAGCGGCAAGGACGTGGCGGCGAGGGGCGCCCTTTATGTACCCCGACGCTGGCCCCTGTCACGACCGCGTCTGGCAGATGGCGTGGTGCCTGTGCGCTGCTTGTACGGGCAAGGAGCGATGGCCCGGCGGACGTTCTGTCGTTCGCGAGGCCCGGTAGCGGCTGGGATGCGCGAGAAGGAACGGCCAATCGTCGCCCCATGGGGCAGGCGGCGCACTCACACGGCGCCTGGCCGCTCCGCACCCCGCACTGCACGCGGCCGAGACGTCACCAGGAACCGAACAAGTGCTCGGCCTGTCATGCGCCAGGCGGTCTCGCGCTGCGACTGCGCTCGTGCACGAGTGCGGGGGTGCGTTGGGCCTCCGCTTGGGCACAGCGAGGGGCCCAAGGTTCGCGGCGCGCGGCGCAGGTGCGGAGCCGAGCTGAGGGACAAGCGCGCAAAAGTCACCGACGCATCTCAGCTCGTGCTTGCCCTTGTCGAGTGTTGCCAGGGCATGAGCGCGGGGCACGGCGACCGCCGGGGCGGAGATGCAGAGACGCTTGGCGGAGCACGAGGCAAGGTGATGCGCCCCAGCATCAGCGACCGCGGCAGCAGCAGGTGCGGGCGACAGCGCGGGGTGCGGATGCGGGGAAGGCCAAGACCGCATCAGCATCAGCCCACCCTGAGCCTTCGCTGCGGTACAGCGCGCCTTGGCCCCACGCTGCGAGCGCGACCCTTGCCCAGGTGCCTGATCGCTGTGTGTTGTGCTCTGCCTCGCCACCTTTCACAAACCGGCGTCCGACAGCTGCACGCGGCGGCACAACGTGGGCGGCCGCTGCAGCCTTAGCGCGGCTGAGCAGGAACGGGCGAGACGAGACCGCTGCTGAGATGCCCGGCGGGGTCAGACGCAGCGCGCGTGGGCCGCTGCAGCGTTTGCGAGGGTGCGGCAGCGCGCGGTGGCGAGGCAGCGGCGCAGCGAGAGGAGCGCCGAGGCCGAGTGCGGGGAAGGGCGCAGCTTCTGATGTCTCCGCACCGCATCTCTCTCGCTGCCGCCTTGCCGCCGCCGCTCTTCTCTCCAGCTTGCCTCGCGCCGCTCGCTTCGCCAGCTCGCTGCCGAACAAGACGTGCGCAGGCGTCCTGCGCGGTGCGGAGTTCAGCCGCGTGCGTCGCCTCGCCGCCCTCACCGCACTCCCACCGCCCAAACGACATCCTTCGACGAGCCGAACAACGTCGCTTTAGCGCTGCCGATGCTGCATCTGCGCTAGGTGCACCCTAGCGTGCCTGACGCAGCTCCGTCTAAAGTTCAGCACGGCGAGCCGAGAGCGTTCGGGGCCGAGAGCATGAGCGCAGGATGGGGGAGGGGCACGTGGAGCGCAAGACAAAAAGACGGGAGCACGAAGAGCACAGTCGCTCTCGCGGGCCATGCCCGAGTGCCGGGCTGGCCTGTCGCACGAGAGATGTGTCCTCGCCTCGAGCTGAGGGACCCCTCCACCCTGCCGCGGCCTGCCTTTGCGCAGCGACCACCTCCTCATCTGCACGCAGCAGCCGCATCACGACGGCGCCGACATGCCGCCGCCAGCAGCACCCGCCGGCAAGCAGCCGCTCTCCGTCGAGGCGCTCCTGGCCGCGCAGCAGGACAGCCAGGCCTTGCGTGTGAGTGCATCACGCGCTTGGCTGCGCCCAGGAGCCAGCTGACACGATGCTCCGCAGCCGCGCTTCCTCTCCAAGGCAGAGCGCCAGAAGCAGGCCCTCGAGAAGCGCGACGCCGAGGTGCGCGAGCGCCAGGCACGCGAGGAGAAGGAGCGCAAGGAGCGCGAGGAGTTTGAGCGGCGTGCCCAGGCCGAAGCACGGCGGAATGGCGGCGGCGACGATCGCGGCAGAGGAGGCCTTGACTACAGTGAGACGCGCCTTGGCGTGTGCTGTGGGTGGGCACGCTGACGTTGCTTCCGCCAGATGGCGACCGCTCGATGCCACCACCGCGCGCTCCGGCAGGGCGCAACGCCGCACCGCACGCTCCTGGCAGAGCACCGCCTGCAGGGCCGAGCAGCGGGGTGCAGTACCAGCAATACGATCCCCGCCGCGACCGTCTGCAGGGTGCGCGTGACCGGCAGCAGGCACCAGCCGATGCACCCGCTGGACCTCGCAACGGTGCAGCACCTGTGGCCAGCAGCAGCAGTGCAGCGACGAGCAGCGCCTCCACGCCAGCCGGTGCCGCGCCGGTGACGGAGGCAGAGCAGGCGCTGATCCGCAACCGCTACCTGGGCATTGCCGAGGTGCACAAGAAGAAGACGCGGCGCATGCTCAGCGACAAGCGCTACATGTTCACGCACGACATGGCCGAGGACACGAGCGACCGCGTCAATCCGGAGCTGTTTGGCAGCAGCATCGAGGCGGGCGTGTTTGGCGCGGGCGGACGGGCGGGCATGGATCCGGCGCAGAGGGGCGCCATCACTGCGAACGGGTGAGTAAGGTCACACAGGGAGCGTGCAGTACTTGCTCACTCTGGTCGCAGCATCGACCCGCTGAAGCGCAGCGGCGGCAAGTCGGCCTTTGCGGAGAAGCACTGGACGGAGAAGAGTCTCGAGGAGATGAAGGAGCGCGACTGGCGCATCTTCCGCGAGGACTTTGCCATTGCAGCGCGCGGCGGACACATTCCGCGGCCGCTGCGCAGCTGGAAGGAGTCGACGATCCCGCGTGAGATTCTGGCGAGCATCGAGGACATTGGCTATGCCGAGCCGTCGCCTATTCAGCGGCAGGCCATCCCGATTGGCCTGCAGAATCGCGATCTGATTGGCATCGCCGAGACGGGTGAGTACGCACGCCAGGTGCGTGTGCTGGCGCATCTCTGACGCCCTCGCAGGTTCCGGCAAGACGGCGTCGTTCGTCATCCCGATGCTGGCCTACATCTCCAAGCTGCCGCGCATGTCCGAGGCGAACCGGCATCTTGGTCCCTACGCGCTCATCATCGCCCCGACGCGCGAGCTGGCGCAGCAGATCGAGGTCGAGACGCGCAAGTTCACCGAGTCGCTCGGCTACACCGTCGTCTCGATTGTCGGTGGCCGCGACATGAACGAGCAGAGCTTCAACCTGCGCGACGGCGCCGAGATCGTCGTGGCCACGCCGGGACGTCTCAAGGACTGCGTGGAGCGCCACGTGCTGGTGCTCAGCCAGTGCCTCTACCTCGTGCTCGACGAGGCAGACAAGAGTGTAGGTCTCGGCTTTGCCGACCAGCTCGACTACATTCTCGACTCGATGCCTGCGTCGAACCTCAAGCCCGACACCGATGAGGCCGAGGACCCGACGGCGTTGGTATCCGCGGGCGACATTGCGGGACGCTACCGCGTGACCAGTGAGTCCATCCACCTCCTTCAGCTGGCGCTTTCGCTGACCCGCCTGCACAGTGCTGTACTCCGCCACGATGCCTGCGAGCGTCGAGCGTCTGGCGCGCACCTATCTGCGGCGGCCAGCGACGATCACGATCGGCGACGCCAACGCGGCCGTCGGCACGGTGGAGCAGCGCGTCGAGTTCATCGCGGGCGAGGAGAAGAAGAAGACGCGCCTGATGCAGATCCTGCACTCGGGCTTCGAGCCGCCGATCATCATCTTCAGCACGACGAAGCAGAGCGTCGACTCGCTGGCGCGCGACATCCAGCGTGCGGGCTACAGCACGGCGGTGCTGCACTCGGGCAAGACGCAGACGCAGCGTGAGGAAGCACTGGCGAGCCTGCGCAGCGGCGACTGCCCCATTCTCGTAGCGACCGACCTGGCCGGCCGTGGCATCGACGTGCCGGACGTCTCGCTCGTCGTCAACTTTTCGTTCCCGACGATGTTCGAGGCGTACATCCACCGCATCGGTGCGTGCCTGTGCTCTGTGTCTGTCGCCTGCAAAACGCTCACATCTCTTGCACAGGCCGTACGGGCCGAGCGGGCAAGCGTGGCCTGGCCATCACCTTCCTGGAGAACCACGACGAGGAGTTCTTGTGCGTCCCGCATGTTCACGCTGTTCTACTACGCCGCTGCTGACCCCTACTCCCCGCCAGCTACGACCTCAAGAACGAGCTGGCGCGCAGTCCCATCTCGTCGGTGCCGCGCGAGCTGGAGCGGCATCCCTCGGCGCAGAAGCGTGTCTCGCGCGCCGATATCAAGCGCAAGCGCGACGAGGCCGACTGAGGCACGGCCGGCAAGGTCGCGGGTGGTGCTCTGCAGCATGCAATGCAGTGCCGTGTCATCGTCGAGTGTGCTGCGTGCGGCTGGCCGAGAACTGACCGCCCGGTGCGCCGGCATGGTTGAGACACGCCTCCAGGCTGGCGGCAGGCGCGTATCGTGCTCTGGCGCTCTTGCTGGCGCTGGCGCTGCAGCGGTACGCCTGTGCCGCGGCGGTAGCGGGATCTTGCTGTGGCGCGTCGGCGCGGGAAGCGCGCGGGAAGCCAGCGCTCCCCAAGGCCGACGCGAGGGGCGCGTGCCAGCGGCGCCCGGCGAGAGCATCACCTGAGCGCGCCTCGCACTCGTGCCTCGTCTCTGCGTCCATCCCGGCCTCCTTGACCTGTCTCTCTGCCTCGCTCTGCCCTCCAGGCCTGCTTTCCCACTGTCGCCGCAGCTGCCTCTGCTGCGCAGTGCGCCGCTCTTGTCCTCCATACTTCTGCGCCCAGCCACCTCGCTGTGCCTTCTCCGCCGCCCGGCCTCGCGCCGTCCCATCTCTCTCACCGCTCGCACCGCGCGCCTCCGCCGCAGCGATGCGCGTGCCCTCGCTCGTCTCGCTGCTCCTGCTCGCCACCGCGGCCGTGCATGCCGCACCGACGCCGGCCGTCGAGGGCGCCGCGGGCGTGCAGCTGACGCCCGAGACGTGGGAGGCGCAGCTCAAGTCGGGCGCGTGGTGAGTTGGCGGCGAAGCGACGGTGCTTGGGCATGTGCTGCAGGAGCGGCACGCCGTACTGCTTGAATGCACAGTGATGGCTGTGACACCTCGCAGCGGGCGACGCTGTTCCGCAGTGCTGCCGTGGCTGGGCGTCTCGCACCCCCCTCGGCCCTTCTTCTCGCGCTCCACTGCGCCTCCTCGCTGACACACCCTTGTGCAGGTTCATACAGTTCCTCTCGCCCGCCTCGCCGCGCTGCCGCGAGCTGGCGCCCGTGTGGGAGAAGCTCGTGGCGGGCACGGAGCACCTGGCCTCGCGCTTTCCGGCGGCACCGCTGCGGTTGGGCAGCGTCGACTGCATGGCGCATGCGTCGCTGTGTGCGCGCGAGGGCGTGACGCAGCTGCCGTGGCTCAAGGTGTGAGTAGCGGGAGTGCCCGACGAGGTGGCGGGGCTGTGGTAGCGGGTGGCAGCGTCGATGCGGCGCCGCGCAAGCGCAGCGCATGCTCTCAGCAGCGCCGATGAGATGGGAGCTGCTCTGTCTTGTGCACGCAGTCGCTCAGGCATCAGCGTCATCGTGCCTGCGCTGACGCATTGCGTGCCTCCAGCTACCGCGATGGCACGCAGCAGCCGGGCGAGTACCCAGGCGACCGCGAGTACGGCGACCTCTCGCTCTTCGTCGAGGCCGAAGCGCTGGCGTACCGCACTGCTCGCGCGGCCGTCGACCCCAAAGCGGTGCAGGAGCAGCCTCCTGCCGCGCCGGCCCAGCCTGCCGCAGCAAACCCTGCGGCACCAGCGGCGCCTGCCGCTCCTGCTCCGGCCGCTCCTGCTGCTCCTGCGCCTGCTGCGCCAGCCGCTGCCGCACCTGCGCCTGCCGCAGCGCCGGCAGACCAGGCCAAGCAGCCAGACGCGGCTCCGCCTGCCGCTGCCGCACCGCCGGCCGCAGCTGCTCCTCCGGCCCCACCAGCGGCCGCCGCACCACCGCCGCCACCGCCGCCGCCGCCGGCTCCGGCGCCGGCACACGGACCTGCTGGGCCGAACCCCAACGGCGAGCTGCTTAGCTTCGGCAAGGCGCCGCTGGAGAACGATGCGGCGCTGCAGCAGTGGCTGTCCAAGGAGGGAGGACGCGGCGCTAGCTTTGTCAAGTGTGAGTGCGGCGTGAAGGGCGTGCGTGTCGTGCGATGAGGTCCGAGGACTCGCCTCACGCGGATGGAGATGCTCGTGGCCATCTGGCCGCGCCGAGTCGCCTGCCGTGGCCTGCGTGCTGACGATAGCTCTCTCAGTCTTTGCGCCTTGGTGCCCGCACTGCCGCGCGATGGCTCCCGCCTTCAAGCAGCTGGCCGGCTCGCTGCGCTCGCGCGTCAACGTCATCGAGGTCGACTGCGAGAAATACTCGGCGACGTGCCGGACGTACCGCATTCAGAGCTTCCCGACGCTGCGCATGTACAACGAGGGCGAGGCGACCGAGTACCACGGCGGCCGCAACCACGATGCCATGCAGCGCTGGGCGCTCAAGGCGGGTGCTGGACATGGGCTTCCGGAGATTGACGACCGGGAGCTCGGCGATCGTGCGCGCGAGCAGGACGTGCTGTTCCTGTATCTGCACACGGCCGGCACGCCGCAGCGCGAGATGGTGAGTGCACGCAGAGCTTGCGCATCCTCCACCGAGCTGATTCCATGTCCTGCTCTGCAGGAGGCTGTCGCGCATGCCTCGCGCGTGCTGCTCACCACGCCTGCGCACCTGTACCGCTCCAGCTCGCAGCTGCTGCTGGACCGCTACAAAGCGCGTCTCACGCAGGGCAGCAGCACGCCCGGCGCCGGCGCCGCCGAGGCGCTCAGCGGCCTCCTCGTGTTCAAGGACGGCAATCTGGTGCGCCCCGCCGATGCCTTCTATCCCTCGCGGCTGGCTGCCGGCCTGTCGCTGGAGCAGTCCTCCGACGAGGTGGGCGCTTGGCTCACTGAGCAGCGCTTTGCGAGCGTGACGGAGGTGACGGGCACGACATTCAGCGAGGTCATGGAGAGTGAGTACGGCTCGCGCGTGATGCACATGCGGAGGCGCTGACTGGTCTCCTCTCTGTCGCTGGCAGACAAGCACGGCGCACGGGTCGTGCTGGCTGCGCTCTCCGACATCAACCACGAAGGCACCACGCTCAGCACGGGCAGCGGCGCCGCCGTGCGCGATGCCGAGCTGGCGACGCTGCGCGAGCTGGCCAACCTGGCGCGCGACGTGCCCGGCGGCGTCAGTGCGTCGCCGCGCAAGGAGGCGCCGCGAGTCATCTTTGCGTGGATCGACGCTGACCGATGGGCGAGTGCGCTGCGCAAGTGTGAGTACGCTGGACAAGGAGCGCGGCCGCACCAGGCTGACGCGCGAGTGCAGACTACAACATCAAGCCCGAGCGGCTACCGCGTCTCATCCTCGCCGACGGCGCCACGCTCGAGTACTGGGACCTGCCCTCGAAGCCCGTGCGCCTCGACCACGCCGTGCTGGCCGACGACGCCAATCTGGCCGAGGCGACGAAACGCGCGCGCTCCTGGCTCAGCCCGCCCGACGTGCTGCGCGCCCTCGACGACCTTGCAAAGGGCCGTGGCGGCAAGAGCCGCAGCAGCCGCACGTACATCGACCGCGGCGTTCGGAATGCTGGCGGCGCGATTGAGAACCTCTTCGTGAGTGCTGCCGCTGCGCCGCACTGCCTGCCCCGCTGACGCCGTGTGCCCGCCATGCAGGAGGCCACGCTGCGCCACCCCTTCCTCAGCTTCGTCTTCCTCGCTGCGCTGGCCGCGGGTCTGGCGGCCTACATGCGCCGCGCCACGGGCGCCGGCCTTGCCGGCCCGCGACTCGACGGCAAGTTCGACTGAGCAGGTACGCGCGCTGCCACAGCCTCCATCCGGTGTGACGCGCCGAGGTCCACGTCCTGCCATGGACGAATGTCATTCTTTATTGCATCGGGACAGACTGGGCGCGAGGCGGCGCTCTGTGAGGCGCGGATGAGAGCACGCTGACGGCGCCGGCCGGCTTCGTCTTCTCGCTGCCCGACTCGAGCTGCACTTCGGAGCGTTGCGTGCACGGGCCACATGACGGCGTGCGCGCCTCGTTCTTCCAGGCGCACAGGCTCCGCTCCTGCCACTCTGCAGCCAGTATCTGTGTGTTCCCCGCGGATGAGAGGTGCAGTGAGGCAGTGCCAAAGGGTTGCAGCTAGCTGCGCCGGAGCTACGGCAGCCGGCGGCTTGAGGCCGGCGGCGGCGCGACGGCCGGCGGCACGTCGAGCTTCTTCCTGTCCTGCGCCGCTGCTGCTCTCCGTCGATCCTGCGAGCGTGCTCCGCTGCCCGTCTGCCAGCTCAGGCTGCGCTTTGATGGCTGGTAGGAGCATGTTCGACAAGGTGAGGGGGCTGTAAGCAGGACCGGCTCGGCCGTAGCGTGCAGAGTGAGCGCGGACCTGGAGGGTTCGGAGTCCTCGTCGGGGCTGCGCAGCCGGCGGCGTGTTGCTCTCGCAGCGACGCGTCAGCTGCGCATGCGCCTCGCTCAAACTTTAAAGGCGCGCCGCTCGCCTGTCATCTCTCCTTCCCACCTCCACACCCCACTCCTCTCTTCGCCTCACTTATTCTCTCGCCCGCCATGGTCTCTGCCATTGTCTTCTCGCTGCCGCCCGCCTACCCGGCCGTGCTGGGCGTCGCCGTGTCGACCGTCTTCCTCAACATGTGAGTGGCTCGCTGTGGAGGCGGGCCGTGCACGAGCCCTGCTGGCGCGCGCACAGCACGTCCTATCCGCTCGCGCGGCTCGCCATCACCGCGCACACTCGCTCACACCGCCGCAACAGCTGGCAGAACTTCCTCGTCGGCAGCGCGCGCCGTGCCAGCGGCATCAAGTACCCGCAGGTGCGTCTCGCCGGCGCGCGGCGCACACTGGTGCTGCCCCGCCTTGCTGACTCGCTCGCTGCCGCCGCACAGATCTACGCCGAGCAGGCGGAGCTGGCCGCCGAGGCCGAGGCCGTCTCGGCGCCCGAGAAGCGTGTCAAGTATATCTTCAACTGCACGCAGGTGCGCAGGCGCATGGCCCTCTCACACGCACTCGTCGTGCTCACTCCGCCTCGTCGTCGCAGCGCGCGCACCAGAACACGCTCGAGTCGCTCCCCGGCTTCCTCACCGTGCTCGCCGTCGCCAGCACGCGCCATGCGCGCGTCGCCGCCTGGCTCGGCGGCCTGTTCGTCGTGGGCCGTGCCGTGTACACCGTCGGTGCGTTGCGCTCCCGGAATGTGCCGCATCTGCTGTGCCGCTCACCCTCACCCACGCGCCAGGCTACATCCAGGGCGACCCGCGCAAGCGCATGCCCGGCTCGATCCTCAGCCTCATCCCCATGCTCGGCCTGCTCGGCACGGCCACGACCGCCGTGTACCAGCTCGCCAACACGCACGGCCTTGGCCTCTTCTAAGCGGTGCGCTGCGACGCAGGCACGCAATGTCATCTGTGAGACACACGCTGGTGAATGGGGGCAAGGGTATGGGATTGAGGATGCGGGAGTCTATATCGACGAGCACTGCGATGCGCGGCCGCTTATACGTTGAGGGATCGACTCGCTCAGTCGTCCTGCGCCTGCTTCTTCTGCTCCTCCTCGAGCGCCTTGGGGCCGTCCTTGTGCTCGTCGAAGTTGTAGAACGGGAACTGTAGGGAGCATGGTGTCAGAGCGAGAATGGACGGTGCGTCGCAGCGGGTCACACGTACATCAAGCAGCACGGTGCGCTTGAGCCACGTCGGCAGCGGCTTGTAGAGCGCCGGCGGCAGCGGGATGAGCAGGCTGGTGCGGTTGCGGAACGCCTGCATGCGCCGCCACGGGTCCTCCTCGCGCTGCCGCTTGCCGAACGGCTCCAGGCTGCCGTCGCCGTCGCGCGGCGCGTGCGCCATGAGGTAGTACTTCTGCTGCGTCGGCTTCTCGGCCTGTTGCGGGTCTTAGCGTGACGCGTGCAGATGCGGTGACGAGCGACTCACCAGCGGCACGCCAGACAGGAACATGAGCAGGCAGAAGGTGAACAGCGGCGAGACGACACTGCCGAGCAGCGCATCGTGGCCGCGGCGCGAAATGTCGGGCGACGAGGCGGGCGAGATGCAGAGCAGGTAGATGCCGAGCCAGTGCACAATCTCGCCAAAGTAGTTGGGCCGGCGGCAGAGACCCCAGAGGCCCTTGTCGGTGATGGCGCCCTGCGGCGGCTTGCTCTGCTTGAACGTGTACTTCTGGATATCGGCCAGCGCCTCGACGCCGAAGCCGATGGCCCAGAGGATGACGCCGACAATGTCGCGCGCCGTGCCAAAGGAGACGTGTGCGCCGCCCCAGTTGCCCTCCACGCGCGACACGGCCGGCGAGTTGAGGATCGTCAGGGGCACTGAGGAGCGTGTCAGCAGTGGACGAGGCGGTATATGCTGCAGCGCTTGAAGTGCGTGCGCTGCTTTGCGCTGCTTTGCGTCCGCCGTAGGTCAGAGAATGCACTCACAAGAGACAGTCCACACCCAGAGCGCCTGCGCAGCCCAGAACTGCGCAAAGGAAAGCGGCTTGGAGCGCATCTCATCGAAGCGCGTGTCCGATCCCACTGCGAGTGCCATGGTGAGCAATGCCGCCATTGTATGGCCACAGGTCGCAGACACTCACTCTGCAGCAGGCGGAAGAGCTGCCAGCCGCCGAGGCGCACGGCCCACAGCAGCACAAAGATCGTGGCGACGATGTTGCGCGCCTCGTACGCGGCGCCGAGGTTGAGCGTGAGGAGCGCGAGGAAGCCGAAGTTGGTGGCGCTCCAGAAGTCGGTGATGGTGTCGATCTGCAGGCCAAAGGCAATCGCAAAGCCGGCCGCCTGCCAGCCGATCGTCACGAGCGCCGTGATGGCGAGATAGTACGGGTCGAGGACCGCGTGGAACATGGCGGGCAGCAGCAGCCGGCGGGCTCGAAGGTGTGGATTTGAGGAGCTATGCGGCGGCGGGGGTGCGCTGCGCGGCGAGAGAGCGAGGAGCGCCGACGAGAGGGTATCGAGGAGACAAGGAGGAAGCGCGGCGTCGCGGAGCACGCCGCTTTTGACGCTCTCTGGCCGCTCGGCCGCCGCGTGGTGGAGGCGCCAACACGCGCGCCGCTTGCCTCACCCCCTCAGCCACCTCACTCGGCCACAACCCTCTCGCAGGCGGCAGCCGAAGCCCATCAGGGACCAGCTCGCATCCTCATCTTTCATGTCAGCGTGCAACTTCCGCGGCCGCGGACACGTCCGGCGCAGCGCTCCGGCGCGGACTGACACTGCCCGCTGCGCTTGGCGGCCGCGAGGTCAGCAGCAAAACGGCGCACGCCGATGACGCACACGCGGCGAGATCGCGCCACACGCGCGACGCGCAGCGAGTGAGTGCCGCGGCTTTCGCTTGCGGCCGCAAGCGGGGCGCCGCCGCGGAGCAGTCCCACGCTCGCTGCCTCCTCGCTGCCCCTCTCTTGCGGACGACGAGCGCATGGCGCGCCTCGAAGCTGCGTGCTGACCCGACCGGCAGCTGTGTGTGGCTCAGCGCCGCAGCGCCGCCCAGCTGGGCGCAGCAGCCCCTCGCACGCGACGCGCGTCGCCTCCGCCTCCACGCCATCACCGGTGCATTCTGCCCTCTGACGCTTGAGAGGCATCGAGGCGCCCGATGCATGAGCTTGGCCCAGCTTCGCGAGTCCGGCATGGTCTCGAAATCTTCTGCTGTTCTCGCTGCTCTTCCTTATGGCATTGCTGCCGCTCACCCTTGCCTTACTCGGCATCGATGTCGAGAGAGACGGTGCCTGGATGCCCTGCTGCTGGCGCGGCGCGTGCTTGCGGCGCTGGCCAGCGCCTCTGTCTCTCACGAGGCCAGAGCCAGGCTGCGAAATCGGGTGCCCTACTTCACCCCACTCTGCGGTCCCGAGTGGCACAGATCAGCGTCGATGGATGCGCCTCTGCACTCTGCGAGGTGGCTGTTGCGAGCCGGCTGTGCGCGAGCCATACGGATGGTCGAGCGCTGTGGCGGTGCACCCTTTGCTGGACCGCATGAAGTGCCAAATTTAGCGCGCGCCGGCTCGCGTCGTCCGTGCGCACCGCCTCCTGACGGCAACGCAACGTGGGGCCGCTCTCTTCCTCACCACCATCACCTCGCTTGGCGTCAAGGCCCCTCGCGCGCCACCTCTACACTGGAGCACCACTAAGCACCACCTCTGCCTGTCTCGACGCCTCTGCGCGTCTCTCCTCTGCTGCCTCCTCTGCTTCTTCGCCTGCACCATGGCTGAATACGGCGCTGCTGCGGGCGGCGGCTGCGTGAGTTGAGGCCTGAGCGGCGCTGCTTCGGCGCTCCTGGCTGACAGCGGCCGCAGTGCGCCTCCATCGTCGGCGCGCTCGGGTACTGGTGCGGCCTTCGTGAGTGACAGTCGGTGCATTGGCAGTCGGCGTGTCTCCGTAGCTGGCGCACACGAGCCGCCGGCTTGGCTGCGCGACCGCGAGCTCATTTCTTCACCTCTGCGCCTGGCTCACATGCTGCGGCCGTATGCAGAGCGCTACGGCGCCGAATCGTCGTGCTGCGACAACTGCTGCCGCTGCAAGTGCGGCTGGGACGAGGGCGAGTACGTGCGCGAGGACCAGGAGGCGGCGCGGCGCCCCAAGGAGGGCCTCGCGGGCGCCGCGGGCGGCGACGCCGCTCCGCCGGCGTACAAGGCGCAGGAGCCTATGGTCGTGCCCTGTTCGGCTGAGGCGCCGCCGCCGATCGAGGTGCCCACTGCGCCAACGCCAGTCACTCAGCCTGTCGGTGACGGCGTGGCTGCTGCTCGTTGATGCCGCGTTCTTGCTCATGCTCAATCTATACCCGTGCCGCGTCTCTGACCCAGTGAGCTCGCTGCTGGACGAAGTCCGGCTGTTCGGACTGATCGACGAGTCTCTTGCTGTCTGATGAAGAGAAGTACGCACGCGTGGCATGAGCCTTGCCGAGCCGAGACGAGGAGGACTCGCGAGCGTACCGCTCAGCTTCCATCGCTCATCTCCTTTCTTCAGGCTACGCAAGCGGTCACAATCGATGAGTGAGCGTCCTCCACTCGGTATGGTGATGTACGTCACCCTTGAGGGTCCGCCACGCTTACCCACCTGGCAAGGAGCACCATTCTCCATCGACGTCGAGCACGAGTACATTCGGTCACCACCCTCAACGTCGGCTTCCGAGCCTCATCGGGCCCACGTGGCAGCACAGGAAGACGGACAATCCCGCTTGTCCCTCGCTGCCCGCAACATCCTCTTCGCCTTGTCGGAATTTGGCCTGGAGATCTTTCCTCGCGCGGCACACAGCACAAACCTTGCTGAGCAAGGCCCGTCCCGGAGCGATCGGCATAACCACCTGCACGCTGCACGCAAGGCAGAGCGCAGGGCAGACCGCATGCGCCTGGCGGCCCGTCTTGCATCGGCGAGACTGTCATGAGTTCGCGATGCATGGCGGTGTGCGACGGCCGATCGGGTCCTCTGCGATCAAAAGGACGGCGCAACGGAGTATCTATGCGAGGCCCGCACGGCTTCGTTGATCCGAGCGCGCAGTAAGACTCAGCTGTCGGCTTTCCGCGGCGGCGAGCTGGAGGCTGTACCTTGCGGCCTCGGCGTCGGTCTGTACCGGGACACCGACTTGCTCCAGCGAACTCGCCACTTGGCACTCAGCTCGACCTGCCTGTGCCTGCGTCTCGTCAAGCCAACCTGGTGCACGAGGCACACGCTGCCTTTGATTGTCCGCTGCGGCAGCGCGAAGCACGCAATCCTCACAGCCAGGCCACGCCGAGGTGTTCGCTCGTCGCTGAAGGATTGATGAGCGGCCATGATTCGCATCGCAGCCCCACCGAGTCGGTGCGATCGAGCACACGCAGCTCCGACTTGGAGCCCAGCGGTTGAGAAAAGCGCGAACCTGGACGCGGGGTGCGCAGGCAAGCAAGGGGCCCGCCCTCGAGCCAAGACCTCGAGCGGCGCCGATGCCGACGCACGGCAAGCCGAGTCGCACGCCGCGGCCCAAGCCTTGCAGATGAAGACGCCGAGGCCTCTCCTCGTCGCGCGTGCCAGCAAGGCACTCACATCAAGCGAGATCTCTGGCCGAGGCTTGTTCGGGACCGGGCGCTCGGCCATCTCGCCCCGGCGACGTGTCTGTGCAGCGGCGAAACTGGACGGAAGAAGCACGGCCAAAGCAAGGTGCGGTCGGACAGTGAGCTCGGGAATGAGGGACAAACGGCGGAGGCTCTCGCACGAGATGCCCCGACCGGAGCTCGGAACGGCGCTTGCTGCTCGAGCCCGGAGTCTGAGTGTGGCATGCGCGCAGCACAGCACCAGCCCCAGAGCACGACATACAGCACCCAGCATGCAGGGAACAGGGTGTCTCCTGCCTCGCCTGCCGTCTCCTCTCCTGCATCTAAAGTGCATCTGCGCACCGCATGGCACGCGTGCGAATGGACTTCGGAGCGGGAGCGTCGCCGCAAGGGCCAGCCTCACGTCCGTGCGGCCGGCGGGACGCATGATGCCGGGCTGCACGCCAAGGCACAGCACCGTGCGAAATCCACTAGAACACGAGCGAGGGGACACGCGTAGCCACCCGTGGTGCTGTTCCGTCGGAACCGGATGCAGGCGATCCGGGCATCTCGCCCACGCTAGGCTACTCCACTGCACTGCGGTTGCAAATTCGCGATGCGCTCCCGCGGACGCTCCACACACCAGGCAAAAGTGCGAGCCGCGCAGAAGTGCAAAGCGACGGCACCGCAGTGGCCTCTCGACGGCACGGTGATGCTCCTCTGCTGGCCCGCATGCCGGCGTCCAGGTGCAGGTCGCAGCACAAGCGCGGCTCCGTTTTGCCGGGCCCGCTAGGCCAAGCACACGGCGCAAGGCGATGGTGGTGATGTGCACGGGATGCTGTCCCACATGCTGCGTCGTCAGGTGCCTCCGCAGGCGCATCTGGACGAGACGACTTGGCCGCGCGAGGAGACGAGCGAGGCGGGCATGCCAGGGGTGCAGGAGCGCAGCCGACGCTGCCGCCACCACGCGCAGCTGGGAATCTGACGACTCCGACTGATGCGAGACGTCGACGTGGAAAATGAAAACCTGCGCGCTGGCGAGCGAGGGGACAAGCGGAGCCTTCGTCCCTCCGACACGCCTTCTCCTTGCGGCCGCAGCGCAAGGCCGAGGCCGCGTCGCTTGCTGCACCCTGGCATCCGCCTCTTCCGCACGAAGGACAGAACATCGTGACCGCAAGGCGGAGCATAGCATGCGCATCGGATCGGAGCGCTGCGGCTGCGGCGCGAAGGGCCAGGCGCGGCATCTCCTCGGCCCGAGGATGGCGCTGCAGCAGAGCGCGCGCGTGGCCGCACGGCGGCGGCGAAGGCGTCCTGGGGCTGGGCGTTCTGCGTGCTGCTTATTTGGCGTGGGCTGTGCTTCCCGAGTCATGCGTCGCTGACGCTGCCTGGCCTGCACCCTTCACTGCTGCCTGTCACACGCTGCCACTGCCGCTGGCGAAGCTGCAGCGCAGGATGCATTCCGGGCGCGGCACCGCACCTGCGGCGAGCACGGCGCTGGCGTGGGAAGGCAGGAGTTCCATCGGGCCCGCAGCCGCTGCAGGTGCAGCTGCAAGGCCAGCAAGGCGCGATCATCGCCGGCAGCTGCAGCGCCACGAGCTGCTCGGCAGCATGTCAGCTGCACCCTGGCGCCCGACGGCTTGCTCGCCGCGCGGCGCGGCGCGACGCCCGTGTGCCGCGGGAATGCCCTCGATGCCTCCGCTCGCAGGGCCCACGGCCAGCGCTGGGCAGCAGACAGTGCCGTCGATGAGCAAGGAGCAAGGACTAAAACTCGGAGGGTGCAGCTGCCACAGAACATCGTCGGGAGAGGCGTGGGTGCGAGCATGAGCGCTGCGGCTGGGTCAGCATCCGTCGGGACGCGCGCCGCCAAAGTGGTAAGGTCCGCGCCGCAGTGGTGCGGCATGCAGGTGCGGATGCAGCGAAGGAGCACGAAGGGCAGGATCACCAGAGCGCAGGTGCTCGACGCTGCACCTGGCTCTGATGCTGGGTGCCGCATGCTGGCGGCTGCATCCTCTGGCGTGCTGCCGCCACACTCCGCCTGCGCCGCCGAAGAGCCCAGCGGCGGCTGTGCGTCCAATCGTGCTGCCCTGCATCAACAGCCGCCGCACGTCCGATGGGATCGAAGCGTGCGGCGGTGCACGCGCTACACATGCGCCCGCGCCTAGCTGCGTTTCTTTTCCTGCGGCCCTCCGGCGCGAGCGAGCGAGCCTAAGGAAAGGACAGAGGAGTGCATCAGCGTGCAGGTGACGCACCACGCTACGCGGCGAGGAAGGAGGTGCGCAGAGCCGCCATCCGGCTCGTCCCGCGCCCCGATGCAGGCGCGTCGCAGCGACATGTGCCGCTCGGAGGGAGGCTCGTGAGCGCGTGTCCATGGGCGCGCCCACGCTACGCCGCTCCTTTGTTTGCCGTCGGCTACATACCACGCGCCGCATCGGCAGGCCAGCTGCAGCGTGAGGCCTCTGCGGCCGCGTGCCTCGCTCGCTGCTGAGCCGCGCACCCTGGCTGTTTGGGCGCCGTTCCAACCGCAGCCTCAAGCGCGCCTCCTCGCTTGTGTGCGCTGCGTCCGAGCAAGTTCGGCCTGCGACAGCGCCGGCCGCGACGGATGCTGCCGTCTCGCCGCTGCGTGCGGCACCGGAGCGCGGCTGGCAGCAGCAAGGCACTGCCCACGGCGGACTCCGAATCTACCGGGCGCCCGCATGGGCGATGTTGACTGGCTGCATGCCCGCCCGGCGCATCTGCGCCTGGCTGCTCTGTTCTGCAGCGCACATCTCGCCTGCCCGTATGCCGTCTGCACGGCGGAAAGCTTGCTCGGCGCCGTTGCACCGCGAGCCTGCGACCCGAAGCGCACGCGCGGACTCCGCCGCAGCGGTGGCATGTGCCTGCGTCTGCGCCGCACGGACTCCGCTCGGCAGCGCATGAGCTGCCATGCTCCCGGCGAGCCTGTGCTGGGAACGAGGCGATAGCCCGCCGCCGCTGGGCAGGGCAGATGCACCCAGCATCGCAGGAGGCAGCAGCCGCCAGCCCCCAGGCGCACGCGCACGCTCATCGGGTGCGGGACACCTGTCAGGTGCCTTGCTGCTGGCGAGAGTGATGCTGGGCGCGGAAGCTTCGTCCGTCGCCGTGCTCGTCCTCTTCGTCTTCCTCGCAGCCCGCAGAGTGCACTGCGCCGTGCCCGAATCACGCCAGGCGTCCCTCCTCAGAGCACCACGCCTGCCGCTGGTGCCCTGCTCCTTGCACTCGCGCCCGACGGCACGCCCCCATGCCTCATGTGCGCCTCTCGCACGCTAGCAACTCCGCAGCCGAGTCAGAGAGAAGTGCCACCGCAGATGGGCCGCGCCTGCATCGCGCACGCCGCGCTCGAGGCACATGTCCGGGCGCCAGAAAGTGCCGGCCGGGCCAACCTGCGAGTGCCGCTCTCGTCCTGCGCGCGTGCGTCGAAGGCGCGCAGGTGACGACACGGCCTGCGCGCGGGAAGGAGCTGCTCGGGCTCGGGCGCACGACGGACGGGTGCGGAGGTTGGGCCGACAAGGTGCACAGGCACACGTCCCGCCGGCATGGCACCACCGTAGGAGCGCCCACGGCGTGCGCGGCGGGCTCGGCGTCATGCGTCGCGCGGCGGCGCGCGCTCAGGTGCAGCCGCGCAGGCCCAGCACACGGCCGCCTGCGACGCGCCATCGGGCAGATCAGCGCCTGCGACGCTCTGAGCACCGCCGCTGCTGCGCGCCGGGCCGTCTCAGGGTGACGCAGCTGCTCGCCGTGCGCCGTGCGGAGCAGCAGAGGCTCGGCATGCCTGCCAGGCCGCAGCGCCAGCACGCACCGCTGCGCATTTCGCGGCGACCCGGTGCGCCTCGGCAGCAAGATGCAGCCCGCGCCCGCGCGCCGTGCCGCATCCCGCGCGCCGCACCTGTCCTTCCGGCGGGGGCAAGCAAGCGCCAGTCGAGTGCTTGCCCGGCGCGACCCACGCAGCCGGCACCTCGGGAGCCGCTGGGTCCGAATCAACTGGCGAGCAGCGGGTGCGGATGCGCGCAGATGATTCGTGTTGCTGCGGAGTCGAGGTGCGATGGCACGCGGCGAGCAGAGCAGCTCGGCACCCTCGTTTGCGTCCCTGGCAGCGCCGCCTGAGACTCGCGCGGGCAGCGCCTTGCCGCCGAGGCCGCCTCCCGCACCCGCAACCGTCCGCCGTCCGCATCGCCGGGCCGCCCTTGCGCGCGTTGCTGCGCAAGCGCGGAGGCAGCTGCCGCTTGCTGCGGCGTCGGTACGGCAGCCGGGGCGCAGGCACGCCGCAGCGTCGCATGCAGCGGCCGTCAGCAGCAGCCGTGCGTTGCGCTGGAAGGCATCGGGGCCGCCCGCGGCTCGGGCGCGCCGCGGACCCGATGACACCGCAGCTGCTCGGCGCGCGGCGTGGCGAGCAAAGCTTGCTCGCAGCGCCAGAGCGGCCGCTGTGCAGCACGCAGACGCAGCACGCCGCCGCTCAGCTTGGGAGACAGCGCCGGCTGATGCATGAGAGGAGGTGCATGGCACATCTGGCGGCTGCCTCGCCTCGCCTCGCCCGCCGTCGAGGCCTCCGACGCTGCCCTCGCCGCCGCCCGTCGCTGCATGCGCCGTGTGCCTGCATGCGTGGCGGGCACTTGCTGGCGAGGCAACTGCCCTGCGGCAACGTGAGACCGGGCTACGGGGCAGCGCGGGAGAGAAGGGGGTGCTGCTCGGCTGTGAGCGCTGCATGTGCTGCTTCGTCCGGCCGCCGCACCGCACGTCAGCGCAGCATCAGCTGCTCAGCAGGCGGCAGGCACCGCACACGCAGCGCCGCATGGAGGGATAGGCCCGATGGCAGGCGCCGTGCCCGCCGCTCAGCTTCCACTCCCGCGCCCGTGCCCGCCGCCCGCCCGCAGCCGCAGCTGGCTCACACCTTATTACCCGCACCTGCCATGGGCCATGCCTGCGTGAGCCATGTTGCGCCACACACCCTGCTCTCCTCCTCTCCACCACCTGCCAGCGCCACGCCGTCTCCTGTCGTCCGTCCGCCTCGCCCTGCCCCTCCTCTACGCGCGCCTTTCCTCGCAGCGCCTCGAGCCTCCAGCTCGCCGCTCGCTGCGCGCTCCGCCGCTGCCCACGCCTCTCTGGGCCGCGCCGAGCCGCTGCGCTTGCACTTGCTCGCGCTGCTGTGAGCGCCGTCCGGGCCCGCGTGCACCGCTCCGCCTCGCCGCACTCTCGTGCGCCGGCAATCAGCAGCTTCTGCCTCGCACACCCCGTTGCTCTGCCGCTCCAGGAGCGTCAAGGCAAGCGACTGTCGGCATCTCCGAGCCGCATTTCCGTACCCGCTGCCGCCACGGCCTTGCACCTCTCGATCTCAGCAGGGCGTGGCCGATGATCCGATAACACCTGCCGGGCTCTCCCTCCTCCTGCGTTCCTCTTCGCACATTTCAGATCCTCTCAGACCCCTCTCGCCGCCCGACGATACTCTCCGTCCGGCCTGCACTTCTCTGCAACCGTTCCGCACCCTCCACACACACTCCACCATGTCTTCACCACGCTCCAACGCAAGCGACGGCGGCAGCGGTGGCAATGTGTTCCGCCTGCCACGCCTCGCAGCCATGGACGAGCCGCGTTCCGCCTCACCGCCGTCGGCCGCGTCGGACCTCTCGGCCCGCTCGACGTCGGCACATTTTGAGGCCGCAGCTCGGCGTGCGTCTGTGACATACCGGCCTGGTGCGTTGCACGTCTTTTGCCGTGCTTGCTGGTGCTGATCCTTCTCATCAACAGACTACACTCCGGCTCCGAAGCTCTCGCCTCTGGGTCTCGGCGGCCTGCCACCGTTTGGCGGCCGGTCCGAGCGCTCGGCCTTCTTCCAAGACATGCCGCCACAGCGTGCACCGCCTGCCAACGACCTGAATGCGTCGCCCTCGGCGCGCTCGTCGGACCGGCTGCCGGTCGCCGAAGGCTCTGCTCGCCAACACCGTGCTCCAACGCTGCCCGAGCCGTTGTCGCGCTTCAAGCGTGCGTCCGACGAGGCATCCTTCGGCGCCACACGGCTGCCGCCTCTCTACAGTCGCACCATGGCAGCGGAGAGTCACCTTCCGGCGCACAGCCCGCACCGTGCTTCGTCGCCACCGCGCCTGCATCCCGCCACGCTCACGCATCCCAGTGGCACGGCGCACCCACGGGGCGAGGAGGCGTTCCGTCAGGACCGAGTCGTCCGTCCGCCCGGACCGGTGCACTCGCACTCGCAGCCGCATATCAGCGGCATGCACCTGCACATGGCGAGCACGTCGTATCAGACGGCCACTGGCTCCTCGGGCTCGACTGCGATGCCGTTGAGCGGACGCAAGGCTGGCAAGCAGCATGTGCCCAGCGCCTGTCTCAACTGCAAGCGGGCTCACCTTGCATGCGATGGTGAGCATCATGACTGCTCGCCACTTACACAAAGCTGATCATCAAGCCTCTCTTCCAGTCGGCAGACCATGCCGCCGTTGTGTGAACCTCGGCAAATCAGACACCTGCATCGACGTCGTGGTGAGTCGAGTAAGCGCACCCACCTTCACCGCCTGTCCACTCACGCTTCCTGTCGCAGCAAAAGAAGCGCGGTCGACCGAGGCTGAAGGATCGCGAGGCCGCCGCCGCCGGCTCACCGCTTCCCGTCATCAGCCACCAGCCTGCGGCACACGGATCAATGCAGCCTCGCCAAGCGTCCGGCGCCGTGGGACCGGCGCACCACACGCCCAAAGGCGTCCATGTCGCCTTGCACCGTGAAGCTGCGCCGCCACAGCACAGCTTCCGACGCTACTCGGAAGCCGGCGACACGGGACCGTGGGCCGCCGCAGCAGCACACCATGGACCCAGCCAAGCGTGGGCTCGGCGCGAGTCCATCGACGGCCACGACGCCATGCATGCGCCGCGGTCCATCCCTCAACAGCTGCAGGTCAATCATGGCCGTGGACGCAGCTGGTCGTCAGCAGCAGTGCTGCCGCACGCCACCGAGCCGCCGGTGCATGCACGCGAGCTTCCGTACACGCCTGCTGCATCGACGCCAGCATCCGAGGTCGTGCGCCATGCGCCGACCGTCTCTCTCATCTGCTCGACGGAGCTGCAGTGCGTCCGCTCCTCGGAGGAGTGCAGCACGCTGCTTGGTCTGCGGCCTGAGGAGCTCCAGCAGCTGAGCCTCTTCGACCTCGTCCACCCGACGGAGGGCCCGCAGCTGGAGGACCTCTGGCAAAGCCTTATCCGGCCCGTCGGCATCCGGCCGTCGGGCGCCCCGGCACACCCGGCCGTCATCCTCAACGCTCCGCCGGCCCAGCTGCTGCTGCCCGCCGCAGGCACCGTCTTCGTCGAGAACACGTTCCGCGTGCGCCTGCGCAGCGGCACGTTCGACTTCTACAGCGTGCGTCTGCACCTCGGTGGCTACTTTGGCGCCGACCTCTTCCTGCCCGAGACGCTCGGCCGTGCATACGTCGTCGCCAGTCTCCTCAAGCTTGGCAACGACGCCACGCATCCGTCGATTGCGGTGCTGCGTAATGCAGCACAGGACGAGACGCACGAGCGCAGTCCTGCCTTCCGCACGCCAGTCGGCCTTGGCGAGTCTGCCGCCGCTCGCGAGCGCTCGACGCCTCGCGCTGCGTATGGCCAGCAATTCGACGAGGTGCAGCAGCGCGGCAACATCTCTACGCACGGCTCATCGAGCCACTCGGGCAGTCCGCGCGACAGCCTGCCGACACGCCGGACGACGGTGAGCTCCATGGCGTCGTCGCCAAATCCAGCAAAGCGCTCCGACGTCGGCGATGCCCTGCCCAGTCCCAAGCGGCAGCGCACGGCCGTCGACACGCGCATGTCGCATGTGCCTCGCTACGTCGGCGAAGGCATGCCGTGCTGAGCGTGCCGCCATCGTCTTTCTCTCCTCCTTGTCAGGGCCCACTGTGCCTCTGCGCAGTGCGCTCTCCTCCTTCGCCTTCTCCCGTCGGTCATACACATACAGATACCGCCATTCACGTACCCGCCTGCCACCACCCGCTGATGCGCGCGACTGCTCCAAGCTCTCCCGAGTCCTGCCCGCCCGCTGCATTTCCGAACGTCTCGTGTGCGCAACACTCCTGCAACTTCAAGCTCATCGCCCTTCTCCCACTCATGCATTACACACACATTCAGCCACGCCTCTCGCTCCCACCTCCTCCTCCGAGGCAGCGTTTCTGTGCTGCCTTGCATGTTTGCCTGCTCTCTGTGCAAATTCACCGTGCCACCCGTGCCGAGCGGACCCCTTGTGCCGCGCTGCATCCGACGGCGCCCTTGGCCCCTGCAGCGCCTGCGAATGCCCGCATGGCTCGTGCCTAGCCCCGCGTGGGTACTGTAGCGGATCTGCGTGGTCCCAAGCAGGCACGCATGGGTGCTTCTGTTGACGAGGCCGCACCTTGCTGTCTGTCACCTTCCGTCGGCGGCGTGGGCAGGCGAGCAGGGGTGCACCGATCACGGGCCGAGATGCCCACGCTTGTGCGCACGCAGCGGCTGAACGTGATCGCCTCGCCTGCGCGCTGCGGAGCGAGCCGATGCGGCTTCTCCGCCGGCTGCTGCTCGTTCATTTGCGCAGCCCTCGCCGGCGCTAAGCTGTGCGGCGCTTTCAGCGCGTGGTGCAGCGCAAAAGTGCCCGGGAGCAGAGGAAGCGAGCGGTGAGAGCGGTGAGCGCTCGGCAGCGGTGCCGCAGCACCCGCCGTTCCGCACCTCCGCTGCTCCGGCTTGCGGCGACTAGCCTCGGCGTCGAGTGTGCCGGTGCCGGTGCCGCAGCACGCAGCGCTCCTTGGCCGGCTCGGCGTCCGCTTGTGCGGCGGGCGGAGCTGCTGCTGCTGCGGGTGACGTTTGCCCGCCGGGATCTTGTTGAAGCGAGCGCCCTTCTGCCCGACGCCGACGCTGCGCTTATTTTCGAATCTCCCCGCATTGCGCTGCCGCAGCAGCGGAGTGCTCCATTGCGCATGCTCCTCTCACAGCCCCTCGTAGATCAGCGAAGGCGGTCCTCGAGACACACTACAGGCGCCTGCGGCTGTGTGAAGGTGACGCTTTCCGCGCTGGTGCGGGGGGCCTGTCGTCATGCTTGCCTGCGCTTCATCTGTGCTCGGGCACTCCGCCGCTGGAGAGGGCAGGTGCGCCCGTCTAGCGCGGCAGAGCGTGGCTAGCGCATCTGCGGCTGCAGCCTCTGCAGCACGACGCTCTCGCTCGCCTCTCTCGCTGCGACGCGGTGCCCCGCCGTGTGCGCGGCGCCTTTGCTTCCATCAAGCGAGCACGCCCATGCATGCGTAGTGCAGATCCGCGGCCGACGAGGGCGAGACGAGGGCGAGCCTCTCGCTGCTCGTGCTCCCGCGCGCGTCGTGGCGCTCCTCCGCGCCGAGGTGAGACGCTCGCATGACGCCAAACGGCGGCGCGGTTTCGCCCGCCGCTCGCCGCCGGCCACGCTCGTCTGCCGCTCGCTGTCACGGCGCCCGGCTGACTGCGCCGCCGCAGCCGCGGCGACGACGACGACATGGCTGCGAGGGGTGCGTCCTGCCGTCCCACCGCCATCCCTGGACCCCTGCGACACCTCTTCCCTCTCCACCCGCCGGCGCGCTCGCGGCGTGTCTGCAGCCGGCGCGCGCGCGAACCTTGCACCTGAGCTGCTGAGCGTGTCTGCAACGGCCGCCATCCGCAGCCTCACGCCATGGGCCTCACGCACTTCAACGCCACGCTGCCGGCGGGCGTGCTGCCCGAGGACGATGCGCAGGCGCTCGTGGGCTTCATGCACCTGCTCTTCCACCCGGCGCTGCCCCACAGCTTCTACGTCCAGGTGCGTGCGAGGCAGCGCGGTGAGGGCTGTCACAGGCTGAGATGTGCTCCTGTCCAGATGTACGTCGTCGCCGGCATCACCATCACCTTCGTCCTCGCCGCCCGTGAGTCCGTCGTGGACATGCTACGCTGCAGCACTGACCGGATCGGCAGTCACCATCGTGATCCGCCGCTTCATCAAGCGGAGCGCCTGGCTGGTGCAGTTCTTCCCCACGTCGGCGGGCACCTACATCATCCCGAATGCCGTCATGAGCCTGTGCAGCTGCATCTTCATCTACACGGCCGTGTACAGCGCCTATGTCTTCGTCATCGTCCAGGTGAGCAGCGCTGGGCGTCGAAGGCTTAGGCGCAGCTCACATCGTCGCCGCACAGCACTACCAATCCGACGCCTTCCCGAAGCGCTTCTTTCTGTGGCGACAGCTAGTCTGGTGGCCGCTGTGGCTGGGCGCTTGGCTCTGTGCCTGGGGTACGCTGAGTGCTGTGAGTGACCTGTCCTCGAGGCACCAGCAGCCGACTGACGCACCTTCGCAGTTCCCCGACGCTCTGCGCATGCGTGGCAAGGGCGGCGTGCGCCGCAACTTCATCCAGCCCGCGCTCTTCAACGTCATCTGGATGAGCGGGCCGGTCGTGTGCATTGCCTCGCTGCTCGGGCCGACGATCCTGGCGTCGAACCTGTACGACGCCCAGCTGCCGCGCCACGAGGCATGGCGCGCCGCTGCATTGTCGACCAACCCGCCGGCGCTGCCGCAGCTCGTGGCCGAGGCGCGAGACATCTGGCTGAGCGTCACGCGGGCCTACTGGTACTACGCCTGGACGATGGCCATCTGGACGACGTGGGCCTGCATCGTGGTGCTCGTCTTTGTGCCCATTGGCGCACACACCATCTGGCGCGTGCGCGCCCAGGTGCAGCTGGCACGCAAGCGCGACGAGGCGCTGCACTCCTTCCACTTCTTTCCCTCTGCCGAGCTTGACGGCCGCGACGACGCTGCGAGCGGCATGCGGCCCGTGTTCTGCACCTCCGACGGCGATGCCGGCGCATACGGCACGGGCCGCAAGCACGCCGCCGCGCAGGGACCTCCTGATGCAGGCAAGGAGGTCGGCGTGGCGACGCTCTACCCGCCGATGAAGCAGCAGCGCACCCACCTGTCTGCTGGCACTGCAGCGAGCCGGCGCAAGGAGCTGCTGCAGCTGCTGTACCGCAACATCGTCATCCAGTACTTTGGCATCAGCGCCGGCGCCGCGACGTTTGCCACCTCGGCGGGCATCCTCGCCGGCGAGGCGTACCACAGCGCGCGCTACAACACCATCGGGCGCAACCAGATGATCGCCAACCTCATCGCCGGCTACGCGGCCGCCGTCTTCGGCTCGGCGGTCATCGTCGCCGTGCTGTGGCGCAGCTTCGACTCGTCCCTCACGCTCTCGCCTGAGCCAGAGGAGCGCGCGGCGCCCGTCGAGCGGCCGCGGCCATTGTTCGGCCTGCTTGGCGCGCACAAGGCCGAGTCGGAGAAGCAGTCACAGTCCGTCGGCGTGAGGAGCCAGCAGTCGGTGGCACGCTCTGTCGCCGCCTCGGCGCCGTTCCTGTCGCTCACCGGTGAGGAGGAGCAGATCGCAACGCAGCGCAGCGGCGGCATGCGGCGAGGCTCGGCCGCCACGTCGTCGGGCAGCTACCGCAGCTCAACCACGCACACGCACGAGCTCGCCGGAGGCAAGGCCAAGAGCAGCGACGCCGGCGATGACTCCTCGCTCACAGCGATGCCCAGTCCGGTGCGGACACGACGAGGCTCGGCCTCGCGCGCCAAGATCCTGCGTGGCACGCGGTCGGGCAGCGAGCTGTCCGGCGCCGGTAAGGGCTCGCCGCGCAAGGCCACCACGGCGCCGTCAACGCCGACGAACCCCTCCAGCATGCAGTTCGCCACGCCATACGGCGTCATCCGCGCCGAGCCGGCGGAGCGCTCACCGCCGATGATGAGCCCGCCGACGATGTCCGCCTCGCCCGGCGGCGGCTCGTGGAAGAGCAGCCGGCAGCAGGTGCTCGACGCCACGCAGCACGCCAGCATCCTGCCGCGCAGCCGCTACGGCGCCTGGCGCAGCCCGCCGGGCACCGAGGACAGCAGCAGCAACGCTCTGTAGCGCTCGGGCCCGGTACCGCTTGACGCCTCCTCATGCTTTCCCTTGCTTTGCACCGCACCCCGTCCTCCGTACTTGTATGCAACACGCACGCAGCCCGCACTTTGTAGCAAAAGATGATATCCATGTGAAGCAGACCGGAGACGACAGAGGCGGTGATGGGTCGCGCAGCTCGGAGGAAGGAGTCGGGTATGCATCGAAGACGAGGAGAGGCAGGGCAGCGGCCGCACGAACGAAGAAAAGGCGACGCTCTGGGCCACGCGCGGTGCCTAGCCAGTGTGTTTCTCGAACTTTTCCAGGCCGCCGGCCTTGGTCGTCGGCCGGTCGGCGGCGGCAGCAGCCAGACGCTCGGCCTCGCGCGTCTCCTCGTCATCGACGTCGTCGTCGCGCTCAGAGTCGACACTGAGGTCGTCGGATGTCTCGGCGTCCGGTGTGACCGTCTGCACCTTGCGCGCATCGGCCTCGGCGCGCGCGTGGCGCAGGCCGGGATGCCAGTGCTCGGAGCCCGTCTTGCTGACCAGGTGCTCGGCGTTTGTGCGCCCGAGACTCTCGGCAAAGCGTGCGTTCTCGCGCTTGCCGCGCGCCTCCTCCTCATCCTCGTCCTCATCGTCGCCGCCGTCGAGGCCGAGCACCTTCTTGCGGCGGTCGTCCTGCATGCCGCGCAGACTGGCGTTGCCCAGGAACGCGCCCGTGGAGAGACGGCGCGTCATGCCGTTGCGCGGCGTGCGCGCGCCCTCGGCTGTGTGGTCGTCGCCGTCGGCGAGGTGGTACGAGTGCGGCTGGCCGCCCTCGGGCGGGTGCGCCTCGTCCTTGGAGGTGCGCGCAGCGTGGTCAGGGCTGCCGGCGCGGCGCGGCGTGGCATCACCAGCGGCAGGCGATTCTGTTGCCACCTGAGGAGCAGCCGCTGCGCCCTTGCCGTCGCCCTCGGCCTTGGCCGCCGGGCTCTCGGAGCGTCCGCCGCGCACCTTGCGCCACGCCTTGAGCGCACCCTTGCGCAGCTCCTCGCCGACGTCGACGACGTCGTCGGGCTTCGGTCCGCCGTTGTACCACATCTGCGTGTTGTGCTTCTGGCTGGGGTCGACCTGGCCGGCGCCGTAGCCGTAGCTGGGCGGGTGCAGCTGCGCCTGCTGCCAGCCGGCGGCATTCTGGCGCGCGGCGCCCTGCGAGGAGAGCAGGTGCGAGCGCGCCGCGACGCCGATGGTGATCGAGTTGGCGCGCTTCAGGCGGCCCGACGACGGCAGCGGCGCAAAGCGGATGGCGCACTGGCTGCCGCTGCTGCTCGACTCGCCGCCGGCGCTGCTGGCCGTCGTGGCGCTGCTGCCGCGCCGGTGCCACGCTGCCTCGTCGCCGCCGCTCTCCGAGGCCGGCGAGAGCATGGCACCGTCGCTGCTCCATGCGCCGCTGCCGTCGCTGCTCGGCGGCAGGCCGTCGACGGAGCTGCCCGTGCTGGCGGCACTGGCGGCGCGCGCCCGCGCACCGGGGCCCGCAGCGTCGGGCGGCAGGATGCCGTCGCCGGCGCTGGCCGCCTCACCGCGCGGGTCGTACGGCAGCACGTCGCCGCCGGCATGTGTGCCACCAGGACCCAGCGGCGTCTGGCGCTCAAACGTCTTGCCGAGCGGCTTCTTGCTCTTGGGCAGCTGCTTGCCCGGCTGCGGCGGGATGAAGGCCGTCTTGAGCGCCGCTGCAAAGCCGCTGCCCTTGTCGGCGCGCGAGCGCGGCGTGGCCTCGTGGGCGTTGGCGAGGATGCCGCCGCTGCCGCCCGACGACGAGGTGCCGGCGAGGCTGGCGGTGCTGCTCAGCGGGCCGCCGCCATGGCTGCTGCTGCCGGCGCCGCCGCTGCCGCTGCCGGTGCTGCTGGAGAAGCTGTTCTGCGAGACGAGGCTGGTGCGCGAGGCCGTGGCCATGGCAGGTGTGCGTGGTGCGTGTGCGTGTGCGGATGTGCTTGTGTGGATGTGTTGCGGCTGAGGTGACGGGCTTGCTGTGCGGCGGATGTGAGTGTGGGGTGTGAGGAAGGCAGAGTGCGGAGGTGGAGACGAGGCGGAAGGCTGCACCCGGGCGGCGCAGGTGCAGCAGCAGCAGACGAGAGCACGGCCAACGCGGCGCCTGTGCGGATCCTGGGGCACCGCGCGCCGCGCCTTCTCCACAGCGGCAGCAAGCGCCGCTGCATCCGCGGCCGCGCCGGCGAATTTGCGAGCGCACGAGGGCACGCCGCCAGCCAGCATGTCTCGATTGGCGGGCGAGAGCGCGGCACAGCGCAGCCGCAGCACGGCTCACTGGCCGCGGCGGGCGGACCGAGGGCCGGCCTCTCTCCCCTCTCCGCTGCCTGCGCGGCGCTCGCCGCACGATGATGATGCGGGGAGAGCGGCGGCCGCGTGGAGAAGAGCGGCGAAGCGCGCGGCGCGGCGAGCAGCAGGCCCGATGCGTGAGCGCTGCCCGGCGCTTGGCGCGGACGCGCGCCGCCGCGATGACGTCCTCCCCCAGCTGCTGCAGCGGCATCGGCTGCGGCGTTCGGCACCGCAGCGCTCCCCGCACGCGCTGCCGCTGCCCATCGCCGCTGCCAGACCCCTCTGGATGGATGGCATCCCGACACCTCGACGCGCGCAGTGGGCCGTGCGCTGCGATGGGGCGGCAGGCCGGCGTGTAGCTCCTCGGGCCTGACGCAGGCGGATGCGATCGCAAGCAGAGCAAGCGCACTCACCGCAGCGGGCGCCCTAGAGCGTGCGCAACCGACTCATGCCGTGAACGAGCTGTCGTCTAAACGCTGCAGCGTAAGCGGCCGCGTAGTCGTGTGGTGTGAGCTGAGCGATGATTGATGAGAGCGAGGGCGCAGCGCTCAGGTGCGGGGTGCAGATGCGCGAATGCGTGAACAGCCTGGGGAGAGGGACAGGAGCAGGAACAGGATGTGCTGCCACGTCGTCCAGGTCCGAGATGGATCGGATAGAAGCTTCGTCTGCTTCCGCACAGATCTCGAGCAGAAGCTTATCTGCAATTTGACGCCAAACGCGAGCGCCCTCGGCAGAGAGACAGGGGGCCGTAGAGCGAGAAAGGGGCGGATGGAGAGGGTGGTGTGCTGCACCTGGCTGCGCTGCGCAGAGCTCCTCCGTCCCGGCACCCGCTGCCGCGATGAAGCATCTCAAATCCGCTGCGGATTGAGTTGCAGCGCTAAGCTGAAAGCTGGCACGCCCCGGATGGTGCAACGTGCGCAGGATGGCCGTGCTGCATGCTGGGGCTCCGGAGAGGTACAGGAGGGGGCACTGCGAGGCGGAGCGGCCGCGCTCAGGCACGCAGCCGGCGGCCCGGCGCGGCTCCGCTGGCGCGCTTCGGCACGTTGCCGGCCGCGGCGGAGTGTCTAAATTGGTGCCTGGCGCCGCGCTGCGCCCGCTCGAGAGAAGGCGCTGCGCCGCGCCTCCTCGCGAAGGCGGCAAGGGACCAACACGAGCAGCTCAAAGCCTGTTCAAGCGCTCTCGACAACGGCGCTTCTCTCCATCCCACCACAACAACACAATGGACACACTCAAGAAGGTCATCTCGCCCGTCGCGGCGCCCGTGGCCGAGGCGGCGGCGTCGCTGGTGCACGAGACGCAGAGCGAGGCGCACCGCCTCTTCCGCGAGCAGCCCGGCCACCGCGCCGCGTCCAAGAAGGGCGCGCAGCCGCACGTCGTGCCCGGCATCGAGCACCCCGGCTCCGTCGGCGTCGTGTACGTCTCGGAGCGCGCGGCGGCCAACGGCTACTACCCGGGCAACAAGGAGGTGAGGCAGGGCTGATAAGGGGCCTAGCAGCGCGGCACCTGGCTGATACAGCATCCGCAGTGGGCCAACTTTGGCCAGGGCGCGCCAGAGACGGGCCAGATCCCCGGCGCAGCACCCAAGCCGACGCAGCTCGAGGTCGAGGACTTTGGCGACGACATCCACGAGTACGGCCCGACGGCCGGCATCCCGGCGCTGCGCCAGAAGATCGCGGGTGAGGGCAGCATGGCGCGCGACCTCAGCATTCTGCTCACTGGCCGGCGCAGACTACTACAACGTGACGTTCCGCAAGGGCATGATCCCCTTTGAGGCAGAGAACATCTGCGTCGTGCCTGGCGGCCGCGCTGGCCTGAGTCGCCTGATGAGCGTCATCTCGCCGATCATGCTCGGCTACCAGGTGAGGCCGACGCTAAAGCCCACCGTCACGCCTAACTAAGCACCTCCTCAGGTGCCGGACTACGCCGCGTACGAGCCGCTGCTCGGCTCCTTCGGCAAGGTCCAGAGCATCCCGCTGCAGCTGGCTGAGAGAGACGGCTTCAAGCTTAAAGTCGAGCAGCTGCGGCAGGAGATCCACGACCGCGGCCTCACGGCCGTGCTGCTCTCCAATCCGCGCAACCCGTGCGGCACGCTCATCGAGGGCGAGGAGCTGCGCGAGCTCGTCGAGCTTTCGCTGCGCTCCGACACGACGATGATTGTGGATGAGGTGCGTGCGGCAGAGGGCTTCTGAGTCTGCGCGCTGCTGACTTGCCGCAGTTCTACGCCTGGTACCTGCACGAGGGCCCCGTCGGCCGTGCCGTGTCGGCCGCGCAGTACATCGAGGACCCCAACGAGTGCAACCTGGCGCTCATCGACGGCCTGACCAAGGGCTGGCGCTGCCCGGGCTGGCGCGTGGCCTGGGTTGCCGGGAGCAAGGACCTCATCTCGGTGACTGCAGCTGGCCCATCCCCATCGACGCGTAGCTGACACCTGCGACAGGCCATCTCGCAGGCCGGCTCGTACCTCGACGGCGGCGCCAGCCACCCAATGCAGGTGCTGGCGCTGCAGATGCTCGACCCGCAGCGTGTCGTGCAGGACCGCGAGGCGCTGCAGAAGCACTTCCGCATGAAGCGCGAGTACATGCTGAAGCGGCTTGAGCGCATGGGCCTGCCGGTGACGGTGCCGCCGGTTGCTACGTGAGTCTGCCGTGGGCAGAAGCGAGGTCGTAGTGCTGACTCTCGCATCGCAGATTCTACGTGGGCCTGGCGTGGGCAGAAGCCAGAGGTCGCAGTGCTGACTCTCGCATCGCAGCTTTGGCTTAATCTGAGTCAGCTGAGCAGCCCGCTCAACAGCGGCCTGGTCTTCGCCGAGGAGTGCCTGCGCGAGAAGGTCATCGTCACGCCGGGCATCGTCTTTGACGTCAAGTGAGTCGGCACGCAGCTCTGTCGCGCAGCGCTCTGCTTACTGCGCCATCTTGCTAGCCCGTCGCACCGGCGCAACATCGTCGACAGCGCGTCCGAGCCCTTCGTGCGCATCAGCTACGGCCCGACGATCGAGGAGTGCGAGCGCGGCTGCGACGCCATGTGAGTGCCGCAGCGGCGTGCGTCTGGCCTGTCTCTGACACCTTGCCTGCAGCGAGCGCGTGCTGTCGAAGGCACGCAAGGGCGAGAAGCTCGGCGAGGGCTACACCCGTGCGGCGACCGATACCAAGGAGAAGCACAATCCGCAAGGTGCGTGCAGCGCAGCGCCTCCCGCCGCAGCCCGACACTGCTGACCATCACCGCCTCTCAGCTCACGGCTAGGCGCCGATCAACACGATACACGCCCGAGCATGCCTGCCCCATCCGCTTATAGATGCGTCTTTATTTGCTTTGCCTTGTGAACCATCTGTCGGAAGTCCGCTGCTTGCGGCGTTGCAGCGTGTAGTGGGAGGCCGGATGCCAGAGGGCGCGCGTCTGGCAGAGGTCAAGGTGTGCCTGCGCTGTGCCGCGAGCACCTCCACCTGGCTCGCGTCACGCCGCTCGCCTGCGGTGCTGGCGGCTCCTTCCCTTCTCACCACCACGTCAGACCTTGAGTCTATCTCATCGCGCCTCTCTTACCCCACCTCGCTTCGCACCATGCCCGCAGAAGCGGACGCGCGCGAGCGGCACAGCTCACGGCACAGCCGTGACGATGCCGACGCCGGCCGCGAGCGCCGCGAGAAGGACGAGCGGCGCTCGCACCGCGACCGCGACGAGCGCGAGCGCAGCAGCCGGCGCCACGACGAGCGCGAGCGCAGCGACAAGCACAGCCGCAGCGAGCGCCGTGACAAGGATGACCGGCGCGAGAAAGACAGGCGGCGCGACAAGGAGGAGCGCAGGGAGAAGGACGAGCGGCGCGAGAAGAAGGAGCGGCGAGAGCACACGAGCTCGTCGCGCCGGCGCTCGCGCTCGCCGCGCCGCGAGCACGGCAGTAGCAGCCGTCGCGACCGCAGGGATGACGACGACTCCCGGCGGGATGGCGGGGTGATCGACGACGACGAGCGGGAGCCCGACCCGTCCAGAGAGATGGACTTCTCCATGCAGGTGAGCGCCGCGCTGAGGCGGAGAAGCGGACTGAGCTGGGCTTGAGCTCACTGGTGATGCTCTGCAGGATCCTGCATCCACCATCCCCACGTCCGCCTCGCTGTCGCTGTCTGGTCCCATGACAGCGTCTCGCCTTGCGTCCGATGCACTGCCGCTGCCGCGCGACGCACCGACTGCGACGAGCCACTCCGAGGCCGGGCCTGAGCTCGAGCCGCCGCCGCCGCGTCTTGACCCGCTCACCGGCGCACCAGTCGGTGAGGGCGACATGTTTGCGCGCCTCGGCCGCGACCGCGAGCGCAAGCCGCGCGAGGAGAAGCCGGACCCGGAGAAGCTGCACGTGTCGAAGCGCGAGCTCAATGAGCAGCTCGTGCAGGGCAAGGCGCTGGACGACTACAAGACTGAGAGTGAGTGGCTGGCTGCTGCGGGGGTGATAGAGCCACGGCTCGGCCTCCATGCTGCACTCCTTTGCCGCCTACTGACATGCTGCATGTGCAGCCAAGGCTGCTGTCGCGCCAGGCTCTGCCGGCCACCAGTGGCGCATGATGAAGCTGCGCCGCGTCTACGAGGCGGCTGAGGAAGAGGGACGCGATGTCGAGGACGTGGCGAAGGAGCGCTACGCCACGCTGGCCGACTTCAACGAGGCTCGCGCCGAGCGGCAATTCCTCGACGACAGAGCAGGTGGGCGCGCCGGCAGCGGCGGCGGCGGCAACACCTCGAGCGGCCTCTCGAGCGGACGCAACACGCCTTCGGCCAGCGCGCGTCCTAAGGGCTTCATGTTCAGCTCGCCAGGCGGCGAGGGCATCAGCCGGCCGTCGTCGCGCGCGAGCTTCCGCAAGCCGGGCGAGTCGAGCGCGCCGGGCACACCGGCGGCCGCACCGACGCCGGCCGTGCGTCGCTTCCAGCAGAGCGGCTACGACACGCCGGGCAGCAAGCCGGGCACGCCGGTGCCCAGCGTGTTCACGCCGACGATTCCGCGGCGTGCTGTGCAGTCGGGCGAGAGCGCCGGGCCCACCGATGCCACGCGGCAAGCGGCTGAGCACGTTTCAGGCTCTGCCGAGACCAGCGGCCCCGCGCTCGACACGTCGGCGCTGAATCGCCTGCAAGCCAAGGTGATGCGCGCTGAGCTCATGTCGGCGCCAAATGCAGCGGCTCTGCGCGAAGAGCTCGAGCGGGAGCGCGCGAAGGCCAGCGGCGGCGACCGCGGTCTGGGCACCATGGACTCGCAGGGCCACGTGCGCAGTGCCGAGCAGAGCGCAGACGTACAGGTGCTGCCAACTCTGGATGGACACGGCCGCCTGTACGACGTCGGCACCGGACGTCCTGGCGAAGACGCGCCTGGCATCACTTCTGGGAACCGGTTGCGCGAGAAGAACAATCCTGACCGGCAGAAGGTGCGTCTGGCGTGCGGCCACCGCAGTTGATCTTAGACTGACCTCAGCTGCCTGCTTCAGTTCGAGACGCACGACCCGAAGACGGGCGAGCTGCTCCGCGTCAATGCCGACGACGACAGCGTCACACTCGCAGAGCTCGTGCGGCAAGAGCGCTTCGGCGCCGGCAGCGCGGACCAGAAGAGCATGGATGCCGAGCTTGCGGGCCGCATCATGAACGATGCTCGCTACGACGTGCGTATCGCGACGAGCAGGTGGCAAGACTGATTGCTGACGCGTCCTCTGCAGCACAACTTGGACTACATGGACGAGAACGCAGAGCGCCTGGCGCGCAAGAAGATGAAGACCGGTGCGTGACTGCCGCAGGTCGTCTTTGCCATCCGCTTACGATGTCGCCGCAGATGCCATGAAGCGGCAATTCGCGATTCAGGGTGCGTGCAAGCCGCTAGCAGCGAGAGGATCTGCGCTGACCCGCTATCGCAGACTTCGCCAAGACAAAGAAGGCACTCGACACTTGCCGCTTCTGCTGGCAGGACGAGGGCGCCGCACCGCCGCGGGCTGCGAGCGTCAGCACCGGCACGCGCGCCTACCTGGCCTTGCCAGAGGGTGCGCCGCTCGTAGACGGGCACTGCCTCATCGTGCCCATGCAGCATCATTTGAGCTCACTGGAGGCGGACGATGACACGTGGGACGAGATCAAGGTATGCGTCTCGAGGCTTGCCTCCTTCTCACTGCGCTGACCCGCGCTGCAGAACTTCATGAAGTGCCTCATGCAGCTCGCACACAAGCTCGGCCAGGCGTACGTCTTCTATGAGACCGTGGCAACGCTCAAGCACCAGAAGCACACGTTCATCGAGTGCATGCCGGTGCCGCAGGACGTGCACCCAGTGCTGCCGGGCACGTTCCGCCAGGAGATCCTCAGCGTCGAGACGGAGTGGTCGCAGAACCGCAAGCTCATCGACTTCTCGAGCGCGCGCCCCTTCCGCCGCGCCATGGTGCCGCAGCTGCCGTACTTCATGGTGCAGTGGGACTACAAAGGCGAGAAGGGCTACGGGCACGTCATCGAGGAGGGCGAGAACAACATGGACGCCGATGGCGACGACTACGGCTTCGCCGAAGGCCAGCGCAGCGGCGGCGCGTTCCCAAAGTGAGTGGGACAAGCGCTCACAGAGGCGGTGTGCGATCTGACATCGGCCCTGCAGATGGTTCGCCAGCGAGATCATCGGCACGCTGCTCGAGCTCGAGCCGCGGCAATGGCGCAAGCCCGGCCGGCTCGACCCTCGTCAGCAGACAGCTGCCATCGCCGCCTTCAAGCAGCGCGGCTGGGACGCGCTCGACTGGACGAAGATGCTCAGCCAGCAAGCGCAGCCGTCTGCAGGTGCCGGCGCTTCCGGCTCAAGCTGATGCGCTGTAGAGCAGAATCAGATCACATTCGCATCACCGAGTCGCCCGTGTCACGTCAGAGTATGGCGCAGCAGCTAGTCCTAGTCGTCTCGGCCATTCACGCGCACAGCTTGCGCATCGTCTTGGCCGTCGACGCTCCGCCGTCCGATCGTCCGATTGCTCAGGTCACTCGGGCCTCGGCTGCGTTTGCCGGCCTCGTCGTTCTCTGAGCGCCTGTTGAGCACTGAGGCAAGATGGCACAGTCAGCTCCGTTCTGGCCTGCGGCTCGCGCTGCACTCACTCTCGCGCGAAACTTCCTTGCAGATCCGTACCCACTCGCCCTCTGCGAGGCGCACGCCGCCGTCAGGTGCACCCTCGAAGTTGGCCGTCGCCTCTTCCATCAGCAGCCACGCGCCGCGAAGGATCGTCTTGGCGGCCTCATTGCGGCGCACGATTGCGTCCATGGCGAGACGCCGACGACGCGCGGCATCGGCGCGTGCCTCGCCGGCAGTCGGCAGCCGACGGGGCGTGTTTGCCCGCTTTGGCTGCGGCCGTTGTAGACTCCTCTTGGCCGGATACTGGCCGAGCGCAGAGTTGTCTGTCGACTGGCCGCCCGTCGTGGCGAGCGCTGGCGAGAGAGAGTATGCCTCGGATGCGCGCGGCGGCACGGGCGAGAGCAGAATGTCGCGCTGCTGCTCCTCTTCCTCCGTGACGTGGCCGTCCTCGTCGGGCAGCGGCACGTCTGCAGCAGACTGCGAGTCGTCCTGGCCAGAGCCGATGCTGGCGCTGCCTGCGCTTCCCGATGCGCTGCCTGCGCTTCCCGATGCGCTGCCGGCGTTGCTGCCGGCGTCGTCGCCGCTGAACTCATCGCCGCTGAGGCCGTCACCGCTGCCGCCAGCATCATTGTCCGAGAGCTCTTGAGGCGTGCCGTGGTCCTCAAGATCAGAGGCCGGCCCGTCCGCAAGGCCTGGAGTCGCGACATCTCCGTCGCTCTCCTCGTCACCGCCGAAGACGATCTCGGGCTCGGTGCCGCCGGCAGAGAAGGTCGAGGGCGAGTCGAGCGCGTTGAGATTGGCTGCGACGCCGATGGTCTCGTCGATGCCCAGGTCACTCTCGGCGTCGCTTTCCGGCCCGCCGTCTCGCTCGGGCTCGCGCTCCGTGTCCTCGTCGTCGAAGTCGCCGTCCTCCGGAGACAGCTCGCCCTCATCGCGCGGAGCGTCCTCGTCCGAGACGTCCTGCTCGTCGCGCGGCTCACTGCCACCCGAGCCGCGGCCGTCGCTACCGCCTGAGCCGCCGTCGTCGTCGCCGCCGGACCTGTTCTCCTCGTCGCTCGCTCCGCCTCCGTTCGACCCTGCCGCAGGCGAACGGGCGCCTCTGGGACGCACAGTCGAGCCGGTGCCCGACGTCACGTCTGTGATCTGACGCAGGTTGTGCGGCCGCACAGCGGCACCCGGCGCCCCGCGTCCACGTCCGCGGCCGCGACCGCGGTCGTTGAGCTTGAATGGTGCGCGCTGCTGAGCGCCACGCTGCAGCGGCAACGTGTCGAAGTTGAAGTAGCCTGGGTCCTCAGACCGACTCGTTTGGCTGCAGAGCGAGTGTCAGACGACATGGGCTCGAAGTCACGCACAGCGAGCCAGACTTACCCTTCGCGCTGCTTCTGGATTCTCTCTCGCTGGATCTGGAGCGCTTGAGCACGCTGCTGGCGCAGGTAGTCGTGGCGCAGGTTGGCGGTGCGCGCGGACGTCGAGCCCGGAGGGGGTGCGGCGCCGCGAGGGTTCGGCGCTATGCCGACGGCGCCCGTGTCCAGCGAGCTGTTGATGGTCGAGTTGCCGAGCTCAGTCGACATCGAGTTGGGGCCGCCGACGAGCTCATCGTCGATGCCGAGGTTCTGCTGGAGCGAAGTCTCGGAGCGTGCGTCCTCGTCGTCCTCGTTTGGCGCATCGGGCAGTCGCCGAGCTAGCTTGGTGCTGATTTTGACTCCATGGGCGGCAGGCAGCGAGCCCGTGCTGGGCTCTGACGGGCTGCCGGGGTAGGCGACACTGCCGAGCAGCGGCTTGACGGAGGCATCCGACGCTGCGCCCGGCAGAAAGCTCTCACTCGCAGCAACGCCCGCGACCGAGCTGGATGCGTCACCCGAGTGGCGAGCCTGGTGCAGCGAAGAGAGATGGCTGAATGCATCCTTGTACGACGAGTATCCGCTCGAGCGCTTCGATCCGTTAGAGTTGCGCTCGCGCGTGGAGGGCGCGCCGGTCACGTCGTCCTGACCGTAAAGCACCGCCACGGGAGAGCTGCTCTCGGAGCGCGCCGTCTCGGGAAGGTCAGACGTCTGCGAGCCAGTCGAGCTGCCGTCCGCGACGTCGAGACTCTGCGCCTCATCGAGCGACTCTTCGATGCTCTGCTCGAGCTCGGGAGACTCCGGTGGCGGCTCTTGGGCGTACGAGGCGGACGTCAAGTCGGTCACCTCGCTCGGCGCCATCTGCAGGAAGTTACGCTTGGAGATGCCGCTGGCCTCGCTGACGGTGGCTCGAGCAGACTTCTTGCTGGCCTCGCCGTTGTCCGCCATCTGGCGCAGCGCTTCCATTGAGGCGTTGCGCGGCACGGGCCGGTGCTGCTCTCTTGCACGCTGAGCCGGATCTTCGGCGAGGCCGAGCGCGGTGATTGGGTCGAGGTCCTGCAGGCTTGGCGGCTCGCGCCTCGGCGACTTGGACGGCTCGGTGGAGGGCTTCTTGCCACGCGTGTCTTCCTGCACGTCGGTGAGGCCGGGGATCCTATGCAGTCTGGTCAGCGACGTGAGAGCGCTGGAGTCCACGGGCACTCACTGTCCTCCGCGACGGAAGCGCTCGCGCGCCTCTGCTTGGCGCTGCAGATCACGCGAGCGGTAGAAGTCCTCGAGGTCCTTGAGGCCCATGTCCTCCGGCGTCTCGTACTGCAGGCGTCCGTCAGCAAAGAGCTGTGAAGGCGCGAAATACTGCGACCCACAGAAGAGATGGCGCTGACGACGCTGCGCGGCGCTCTGGGCGGCAGCACGTCGGCGTACGATGTCGCGCGAGGGCGGCCAGGCGAGCCGGGGCTATCGATCAGCTCTGCCTCCTCAAGCTGCGTCTCCTTGCTCAGCTCGTCGTCGTCGAGAAGAGCATCAAGCGAGCTCGGGTGCGTCTGCTCCGTCACGCTGTCGTCCTGCGCGTCGTCCGCGTCCTCAGGCTCGACGTCACTGCTCGGGGCATCGACCTCTGGGAGAGGCGTGGCGGAAATGCTGCCAGCGTGGCTGTTCGGCTGCTCGGCGGTGCCTTCGGTGCCGAAGTCGGTTGCGTCAGACACCGGCGAGGCGGCACCGGGACGTCCTTTGCGAGCGTTCGTCACGCCATTGGGCATCTCCCACCAGCGTGGAGGAGCAGATGCAGCGGCAAAGTCCCGCGCGTTGAGCCCAGCAGTAAGGCCGCCGGGCATCGGAGCGTCCTCCTGCTCGGCGTCCTCGAGGTCCTCGGTCTCGCTGGGCACCTCGGCGATGACGTTCTCGTCGGGCAGGCGCTGCTCGAGCTCGCGCTCCGCCTGGCTGAAGACGCCGCCGACGCTGCCAAAGTCACGCGTCAGGTCGCCGCCGCCGGTCGACGACGGCGCGCCGAGCGTCGACATGCTCTCAGCGTGCTCGAGCGAGGGCTCGTTCATGTGGCCCTCGTCGAGCACGGGAGCGGCGCGCGCATACGAGTCCCAGTACGAGTCGTGCTCATCGGCGCCCGAGACGCCCTCGTCGTCGCCGCCCGAGACGCTGCCGGCGCCGCGCTCCGTGCGCGCGTCGCCGTCTTCGGCACGGAAGTGCGATGAGGATGGCTCGGCATCCTCGTCGTGATCCTCCACGTCGTCGTCGAAGCCGCCCCAGAACTCGTTGGGGTCGCTGATGTACTCGCCCTTGCCCTCGGACTCGGAGAGCGGCGTGCGCTGCGGCGAGTCGAAGCTCGTGCCGGCGGTGTTGAACGACGCAGACGTGACACCAGTCGTGTGGCTGCTGAAGCTGCGCGTGCGCTCGTAGCTATCCGACGTGCGCTCGTAGCTGTTGCTGTACTTGCTGTACTTGCTCGCCGTTGAGGCGCTGCGGTCGCGCGAGTAGACGTCGGCGTCGTTGTCGTCTTCCGTGGCGAGGCGCAGGGCGTCGTCGTACTTCTGCTGCCAAATGCCTGGCACGCTGCCGGCCGGCAGGAGATTGTCGAACTTCCAGTCTTCGCGAATCGAGTTCTCGTTGACGGGCTTGCGCAGCAGCAGCGCCAGCAGCGGCTCCTGGCCTTCGCTCGTGGCGCCGAGCGCGACGCTGCAGAGCACAAAGTCGGGCTCGGGCGCAAAGAAGCTCAGCTCGCCGACGACGACGTTCTGGCTGACGAGGATGATGCCGTGCAGCGCCTCGACCTGCGCCTGCAGCTCGCGGAGCAGGCCCAGCACGCGGCTCGCCGTGCCCGACGGCATGTTGTAGACGTTGCTGAAGAGGTAGCCCTCCTCGTCTGGCTGCATGTCGAGCTGGAGATGATTTGTTAGCATCGAGAAGCGCACCGTCATACGCCACATGCACTCACCACCTGGTGACGCTGGTTGAGCTCATCGGACTTGAGGCTCGCCGGAATGAAGGGCGGGTTTGAGAGAAGCAGCGGCAGGAGCGCCAGCGAGACGGCGCGCGCCTTCTTGACCTCGCGGCCGTGGGTAGGTGGCTGAGGTGCCTCCATAGTGGCTGCAAAGCGTACGAAGGAGAGCAAGGCAGTGGTGGGGCCGAGCTGGACGCTCGCCCGGCAGCTGCGCCTTTAAGACGAAGCCGGGCGAGCGCGAGCGTGCTGGCACCTGTGTGCAGCTGCTGCGGGCCGTGATGTCACTCGCAGCGGCCCGGCAGCACACATGCAGACGTCAGGCCCACAGCCCCGGCTCGTGCGCGAGTGGCGCTTGACAGGTGCTCGAGCAGCTGCCGCGATGATCGAGGGGCCCGAGCTCAGTGCGCGCTCGAGGACGATGAGCGCCGGACAGCCGGGCTGTGCGTGTGAGCCAGCCTGCCGTACGGATGGGTCGAGCCCCTCGCTCCGAGCACAGCTGTTCACAGCTAGTTGCCGCTGCGTTCTTGGACACCGCAGGCTCGTGCTCGCCGGCAGATCAGCTTGGGGAGCGTCGTGGGACGTGGGAGTGGAGAGGCGCGCCGCGGACCCGCAGAGAGCGCGCGTAGAGATTGCGGCGCGCCCTAGCGCCTCCAGAGACCGATGCTTCACGCTCTGATGCTCGTCGTGGTGTTGAGGATCCCTCTGTTCGTGCTCAGCTCGAATGCGGATACTCGTGAGCTTGTGGAGCCGTGCAGCAGCGGCTGGGGTGCAGCTTGGCATGCGAGAGCTCTGCCGCGCGCGGCGAAGTTGGCCAGCGCCGCAAAAATTGGGCGAGTCGCGCTTTCTCACGCCTCACCGCCAGACGCCGCCGCCGCGTGACGCTCGCCTCATCTTCCGAGCCACCCGCATCCCTCCATCCCTCGCGAGCCATGTCCGCCAGCACCCTCGGCGCCGCCTTTGCGCGGCTCAGCGTCGGCTGCAGCCGCAGCGCCGGCGCGCGCCTCGCCGCCTCTGCGCCGCGCGCCGTCATGGCCCACGCCGGCGCCTCTTCCTCGCGGCAAGCACAGGCGCAGGTGCTGCGGAGGTATGCCAGCAGCGCATCGTCCGCCCTCGCCTCGGGGCCCGTGAAGCTCGGCGCACTGAGCCCGGCCATGCCGACGAAGAAGGTGAGCCTTGCGAAGGGAGGGAGTGTGAAGCAGAGCAGGGCTAGAGAGGCGGCGCGAGAATTATGCCACCGCCCGGCTCCCAGAGGGCTCAGCCGCAGGGAGACAAGCCGGAGCATGACGGGATGAGAAGAGCGGCATAGAGCGGCATAGATGGCAGTCCGTGATTCGTTCCATGGAAGACGGGAAGAGGAGACGTCCGCTGCGGCCAAGGCGCAGCCGACTCGCAACGCATTGAGCTGCGAGCAAGGCCGCTTGCTACGGGTTAGTAGCCCAAGCAGCGACGCTGACCCTTCTTCACCTCTCAGCGCAAGCGTGTGGGTCGTGGTCCCGGCTCCGGACGTGGCGGCACTGCGACGCGCGGCCATAAGGGTCAGAAGGCCCGCGCCGGCAACGGCAAGCCCGTGCCCGGCTTTGAGGGCGGACAGACGCCGCTGGCACGCCGCTTCCCCAAGCGCGGCTTCGTGAATGCGTGAGTGACCCAGGGAGAGCATGTGGGCGGGCGTAGAGCAGACAGTGGAGGTGAAGCAAGGAGTCAGGCGCAGCATGCCCTGTGGCGTGGGCCGGACGTGCCAGCAGGAAGCAGGCTGCAGCCAGCAGGCTGATGTACTCTCGCTGACACTGGGCTTGCAGACACGCGCGCAAGTATGTGCCTGTCAACGTGGACCGTCTGCAGCACTGGATCGACCGCGGCCTGCTCGACCCCTCGCGGCCAATCACGGCGCGCGAGCTGTACGAGTCCAACTGTGTGCACTCGCTGCGTGACGGCATCAAGATCCTCGGCGAGGTGAGCCATGCTTCTCACAAGCCCTGTCGCGCGCCTGTCTGACCACGGTTGTGTGACAGGGCTCGCAGCACCTCACCACGCCCGTGCACCTGGTCGTGTCGCGGGTGTCTGAGAGCGCCGCTGCTGCCATCGAGTCTGCCGGCGGCAGCGTCGTGGCGCGCTACTACACGGCCACGACGCTGCGGGCGCTCGTGAAGCCGCACACGTTCCTCGACGCCGGCAAGCTGCTGCCGCGGCCCGCCGACCCGTCGGACAAGCGTGACTTGAGTGAGTTGCTCTCCGTCGCAAGGTGAAGAATCTCCTGTGCTGACGCCTCGGGTGCAGTCTACTACAGCGACCCGCGCAAGCGCGGCTACCTGGCCATGCGCCCCGTGCCCGAGCTGCTGCCGCGTGTGCCCTCGGCGGGCGCAGCGACCGAGGGTGCGGCCGTCGAGGCTGCCGCGGCCGCAGCGCAAGCGGCTAGAGCCGCTGCTGTGACGGCAGCCGAGGAGTCCGCTGCTGCTGCTGCTGCTACCGCTGCTGCTGCTCCGGCCGCATGATGGTGGCAATAGATGCTGTACAATGCCAAAAGGCTGAGACGGGGATCCTGGCGAGGGGAGGAGGGGGAGGGGGACTGGCCGGCCGAATGTTCTCGCGCGCACGCCAACGATGCGCCGCCGTGGCGCCCGTGCGTGTCGCGCGCCGGCGACGTGTCGACGGACGTGCTCCTCCAACTCGACTCCTGCCCCATCTTCCTGGCACAGCACATTCCCCTCGGTACTCATCAGCAGCCGCCTGGCACCCCTCTCCGATACTCCGCGCTCTCGCATTCTCCCCACACCGCGCCCGCCGCACCATGGCGCCCGCTGCTGCGTCCGTCGCCCCGGAGGCGCCGCGCGCCATCGAGACGCACCACGAGGACATGATTGTGCGTCGCCTGCAGCTTTGGCAGTCCGGGGCAGGGAATGGCAGCTGCGAGCCAACCAGATGCGCGGCCTCTGGCTGCAGTGTATGTGCTGCTGGTGCAGCGCGACCAGGACTACAGGCGCCAGCCCTGCAGCTCGCATCTCGCCAGACCCTCAGAGCGCCCTCGCAAAGCCTCACTGACACGCTCTCCTGCAGCACGACGCCCAGCTGGACTACTACGGCCGCCGCCTGGCGACGTGCTCGAGCGACCGCTCCGTCAAGGTCTTTGACGTCGTGGATGGCAGTGCGGCAGGGCAGGGCGAGACGCTGCGCGGGTGAGTGCGACGCTGGCGAGGTCTGGGGGGCTGGGACAGGGCGCAGCAGGTTGCATCCGGATCAGCTTTTGCCGGGCAGAGCGTGGGATGCGCTCTGCGACAGTGTTGCTGGGCTGCAGAGCTCTGACGCGAGGGCAGCAGCGGGGCGGGCTATGCTACCATGCGGCCAGCGGAAGGAGCAGGGGTCCGCACACCACTACTTGAAGCGCGTGCAGTCTCGCCGCTCCGGTCGCGAGAGAACTTGGGCGCAGGTGGCTCCTCAATTTTGTGCGATCGTAGGACTCGTCAGCTCGCGGCAAGAGCCTCTGCGCGGTCGGAAGGGAAGCACGCAGATCGCGTCGTGCGGTGCCGAGATGCGCGAATCAGGCTGACTCGATCGGTGCTGCGCAGCCACGAGGGCCCGGTGTGGCAGGTGGCCTGGGCACATCCCAAGTTCGGCCCGATCCTCGCCTCGGCCTCGTACGACGGCAAGGTGATCATCTGGAAGAACGACGGCGGCGCCAGCTCGGCCGGGGCCGCCTACGGCGCGCAGAGCTACGGCCAGCCTGCCAGCACGGGCGGCTGGAGCAAGATCAAGGAGCACGCCATGCACAGCGCCAGCGGTGAGTGCGGAGTCGGGTAGCGTGACAAGATCTGGCTGCTGACAGCTCTGACCGCACAGTCAACTCCATCTCATGGGCACCGCACGAGCTCGGCGCCATCCTCGCCTGCGCCTCGTCGGACGGCAATGTGTCTGTGCTCACGTTCAACGGTGCGTGACGCAGCTGTCCAGTGCTGCGATGATGCTGACACGTCGTTCGCCAGACGACGGCACATGGACGGTGGACATGGTCTCGGCACACCCGCTGGGCGTCAACGCCGTGTCGTGGGCGCCGGCGACGGTGCCCGGCTCGCTCATCTCTGGCCAACAACCCGCGGCGCAGGGCGCGCCGGCACCAGAGGCACAGAAGGTGCGGCGGTTCGCCAGCGGCGGCTGCGACAATGCCGTCAAGATCTGGGAGTTCAAGTGAGCGCCTGTTGCTGGCTGATGGTCGTGCCTGTGCTGACCCCTTCGCCGCAGCGCCGAGGCGTCGCGCTGGCTCGAGATCGACTCGCTCGCCGGCCACAGCGACTGGGTGCGCGACGTGGCGTACGCGCCCAACATCGGCCTGCCGCGCTCGTACCTTGCCACGTGCTCGCAGGACCGCACCGTGCTCGTGTGGACGCAGGACGCGCCCGGCTCGCCGTGGAGCAAGACGCCGCTGACGCCCGAGCCGTTTGCGGGCGCCGTGTGGCGCGTCAGCTGGTCCGTCAGCGGCCAGGTGCTCGCCGTCAGCGCCGAGGACGGCCTTGTGCGTCTGTACAAGGAGAGCCTCAAGGGCAAGTGGGAGGAGGTCAGCGTGCTCGAGTCGTAGCCGCTGCTGGCATGTGCTGTGGCCGCGCCGACTGGCCGGCGCGAGACGACGACTGCGAATGCACGCTGTATGACTTTCTCGTGTCTATGCGATTAGCGGAGCTTGTGATGCGGGGCTGGGGAGCGAATGCGGGGCTGAGGGCTGCTCTATGTCTACTCTATCGCGCCTGCTGCCGCGGCTGGCCGTACACGACGGCTGCGCGCTTCTCGAAGGCGCCGATCATCTCGCGTGCCATGCGCTCGCACGAGGCGCGCGCCACGGCTGCGAGCAGCGGGTTGGCGAAGGCGTAGCGCAGCGAGAAGTCGATGGTCGTGCGTGGCGCCTCGGGCTGCGACGAGGGCGCCGGCTCAAACTCCCAGACGGTGCGGAGGTACTTGAAGATGGGCGAAGAGGTGGCCGTTGCCTGCAAGTCCGACAGTCAGGCGTCTGCTTCCTCACCGCCGGCAGCGAAGACTCACCTCCACACGCTTGCCCGGCACGCTGAGCACGCGGCTCGTGTAGCTCTCGTTGAAGCCCTTGAAGCCGACGCCGAGCTCGGCCAGGCGCACGTCTGCGCCCGGCGGGTCCTGCGGCTCAGACGTGCCCGCGCCAGTGACGCGCGAGTGCGAGCAGTAGGGCAGGAACTGCGAGTAGGCGTCGACGTCGTGCACGAGGGCGTGCAGCTGCTGCGCCGTGAAGCTGTGGCCAGTCGAGCAGGTCAGCGCCGAGCCAGCTCAGGACGGCTCTGCGGCACGCACGGAAGCTCGACGTGCTCGCGGAACGTCTCGGTGCCACTGGGCTCCTGGCCCGGGGCGCCGCTCTGTGCCGGCGTGGCGAACGGCGAGAGGCCTGAGAGGTCGGGCAGCTTGAAGAACGAGCGGGCGAGGGGCGGTGCGGTGGCGCGCACATGGCACAGCTGCGGCACGGCGCTGCTCTCGCCGCGGCGGAGCAGTGCGAGGCCGACGGCCTGGCGGCGAGCGGGCAGGGCGGTACGGAGCATGGGGGAGCAAGTGGAGGAGCGGCAAGGAGCAGCGCACGGCGAGCGCAGCGTGTCAGCCGCTGGGGCGCGTTTCCCACGCTCGCCGGTTGCACTGGCGCCTCTGCGCGGCGCGGACCCTTCGCCTTCCAACCACATCGCCGTCAAGCAAGCAGCACACCCGGCGCCCTTCTCGTCAAGCCCACGGTCTGGCCCGAGGTGAGCGATGCTGGCCCCGCTGCGCCAAGTCTGGCCGATGGTCCGGCGCGGCCAGCGCGCCAAGAGCACGCTGGTCAGGACGACGCCGCCGCCGGGCATGATGCTCGGCCTCAGTGCGTCGCGCGCCGAGACGCGGCCGCTCGTGGCGCTCGAGAGCACCATCATCTCGCACGGCCTGCCGTGGCCGCTGAACCTCGAGACGGCGCAGGCATGCGAGCGCGCCGTGCGCGACGCCGGCGCCGAGCCGGCGACGATCGCGCTGCTCGACGGTCGCGTGCACGTCGGGCTGTCGCCGCAGCAGCTCGAGCGCGTCGCCCGCTGCGCCGAGGAGGGCAACCGGGAGACGGCGACAAAGACGGGCGAGCGCGACATTGCTGCCGTGCTGGCACGCGGCGGTATCGGCGGCACCACCGTCTCGGCCACGCTGCACCTCGCGCGCCTGGCCGAGATCGAGTTCTTCGCGACCGGCGGCATCGGCGGCGTGCACCGCGGCGCCGAGACATGTGCGTGGTGGAGCAGTGGCCAGTGCTGCGGTGCTTTGGGCTGACGTATTGCCCGGCAGCGTTCGACATCTCGTCTGACCTGACGGCTCTGGCGCGCGCCCAGGGCACGTCGGTCTTCTGCTCCGGCGTCAAGAGCATTCTCGCCATCGAGCAGACGCTCGAGTACCTCGAGACGATGGCGGTGAACGTGATGAGCTTCAATCCGACAGGCGAGGTGAGATCTGCAACCTATTCATCTCAGCGCATGCTCACGTCGCTGCCAGTTCCCTGCGTTCTACTCGGCGCGGAGCGGCTTCTTCGTGCCGCCCGTCAGGGGGCCGGAAGCGGCAGCGCGCATCATCATGCGCTCGCTCGACGTGCAGCAGCCAGGCGCCAATCTCTTCGCCGTGCCCATTCCGGAGAAGTACGAGGCGGCAGGCGAGGCGATTGCGCGCGCCGTCGAGCAGGCTGTGGCAGAGAGCGTGGCCAACGGCATGGCGAAGCGCGGCAAGGAGGTGACGCCGTGGCTGCTGAAGCGCGTCGGCGAGCTCAGCACGTCGTCGAAGGAGAGCAACGTGGCGCTCGTCGTCAACAATGCCCGCGTGGCCGCAGAGACGGCTGTCGAGCTGCAGTGGTTGCGCGGCTCCAAAGACGCCAAAAGCGGCCGAACGTGGAGCAGCCGCCGTGGCGAGAACGGTCTCGTGTTTGGCAAGCCCGGCATGCCGCTGGTGCGTGCGGCCGGCGACCCCGACGCGCTGTTGTCGCCAGCGCAGCGCGCGGTGAAGTTCGAGCGCGAGTTAGACGCACGCATGGCGCTCGGCAAGCTGGAACAGGCTGCTGCCTTCGGGGATGAGATCGACGAAGAGACTCAACGCAACGCAGAGAAGCTGCAGCAACTGGCTGAGCAAGCAGCCGCTAACAACTACGAAGAGCCCGGTCCGCAAGAAATCTTAGTCTTCGGCGGCGCCGCTCTCGACTTCACTACGAGAGCACACCCAGACGAGACGGACACACGAGACGCCATCGAGCCATCGCTGCGCGAGACACCTCTCGGCGCCGGTCCAATCTTGGGCGACACGCTGCCCGGGCGCATGTGGGTGAACGCCGGCGGCGTGGCACGCAACGTCGCCGAGGCGGCCTCTCGTCTCTCGGCTTCACCGGACGCTGTGCAGCTCATTGCGCCCATCGCGGAGGACCAGCAAGGCGAGATGCTGGAGAGTGCATTGGAGGACGCCGAGATGCGCACAGACGGCCTCTTCGTCGCGCCGGGCGCCTCTACCGCCACGGCCACGATGATGCTCTCGAGCGACGGCAGTCTCTTGAGGGGCATCATCGACATGGACATCACCGAGCAGCACATTTTGCCTGCGACGGTGAGCGAGGCACTTGCGCTGCGCAGCCAGGAAGAGAGCCACCTCGTGGCGGCGCTGGACTGCAACGTGTCAGTGCCGACACTGCGCGCAGCCTTCTCGTACATGACTGGTGAGCGCCAAGCGGCCTGACGCCTGAGCCGGGTCTGACGTCTTGCATAGGCCGCCACAGCGCCGTGCTGCTGGTGGAGCCGACGTCAGTGGTCAAGAGCCGACGCCTCATCTCTGCGCTCGTGCCAGTCGCAAGTGAGGAGAAGCAAGAACGGCTCCGCGTGAACATCTGCACGCCGACGATGGACGAGCTGCGGGCCATGTTCCAGGCGGCGTGTGACGAGGGCCTCGTCCAGGCCAAGCGCGAGCAGACGGTCAGAAGCGACGCAAACCCAGAAGGAGCGATGGCGCTGCAACTGTCGCGTCTCCTTGGCGGTTGCCTCATGCTGGTCAAGGACGGCGCCAACGGTGTGCTCTCCGCTCGCCGCATCGACGGCCACGACGAGATCCTGCACCATCCCGCGCAAGTTCTGGCGCCCGGCAGCATCGTCAGCAGCTCTGGCGCCGGCGACACGTTCGCCGGCTGCATGCTGGCGCTGAGCAATGAGTCGTTGCGGGAACGCGGCATGCATCCCAGCGCCTGGACTCAGGCGCAGCTGAGCGAGGCCATCGCCATCAGTCAGCAGGCTGCCTGTCTCTCGCTCGCCTCGTCGTCTGCCATCTCCTCGGAGCTGGACACTCTGTGGCCGCGGATCGAGAGCTTCCTGGATACCGTTGGCTTCCCGAGGGTCCTCGAGTCCCCAGACGACCGGAAGTCCATCCGAAAGCGCATGAGTGAAAGGGAGGCTCACCGCAGGATGCTGCAACGAATCAAGAGAGAGGCATGGCTACGAAAGACGCTAGAGGCGAAGAAGCAAGAACGCGCCGACAAGCGCGCAGCGGCCTTGCTTGCGCAGCGCGAGAGCGAGGAGTCGACGTAAATGCATCACTGAAGCCCGAGAGATGTGTGGTAGTAGTGCTTTCGTACAATGGAGGTGACGAGCGCCGCGCCTGGGCGTCTAGAGAGGGACGACCATCTTGCCCTTGTTCACGCCGGAGAACAGATCTGTGCAGGCGAGTGTGAGCATGTGTGGCGAGCCCGCCAGTGCAGCGCAACGCACCGACGAGCGCCTGCGGAGTGCCAAGGATGCCGCCCTCGGCGTAGCAGAAGTTGCGCTTCAGCTTGCCCTCGCCGATCCACTTCGCCAGCTGCTGGCGCGCCTCCTCGTAGCGCGACGCGTAGGTGAAGACGATGAAGCCTGCGAGCAGTCAGCAAGGGCAGTATGGGCCATGCGTGGAGCGCACGCACCCTGGATCTTCGCCTCCATGGCGATCAGAGTCTGGTAGTTCCGCAGGCCGGCCGGGGCGCGGTTGTAGTCCGAGATGGCGCCGCAGAGCGCGATGCTGCGAGCGTAGAGTAAGCACATGTCCAGGCTCGTCCCAAGCTGCGCTGCTCACCGGGCATAGCGGCGCAGGCACAGCAGCAGCGCGTCGAGCTGCTCGCCGCCGACATTGTCGAACACGACGTCGACAAATTTGTACTCCTTCTGGCAGCACTTCTTGAGGTCGGCCGAGAACGTCGGCGACTTGTAGTTGAATGCGGCGTCGGCGCCCAGCTCCTCCTTGAGCCAGCGCACCTTGTCGTCGGAGCCGGCCGTGGCGATGACGGTGCAGCCCTGGATGCGAGTCAGCATGCAGCGAATGCGTCGTGCGGAGCGAGACACGCACCTTGAGCTTGGCCAATTGCACAACGACGCTGCCGACCGATCCCGCCGCGCCGGTGACGACGACCACCTCGCCGCCCTTGAGTCCAGCCACGTCGAACAGGCCCCAGTAGCCCGTCATGCCCGAGCTGCCGAGCACGCCGAGGGCGTCGATGAGCTCTGCGCCCTCGCGCTTCGGCAGCTTCTCGACCTGCTTGGCCGGCATGACGGCGTGCGTCTGCCAGCCCGTCGTGGCGCTGACCTCGTCGCCGACCTGGAAGGCAGACGAAGTGCTGGCGACGACGACGCCGAGACCGGCTGCGCGCATTGTCTCGCCGATCTGCACCGGCGGCAGGTAGGAGCGCGCGTCGCGCAGCCAGCCGCGCATGGCCGGGTCGCAGGAGAGATACTTGACCTGCAGCGAGGGCGTCAGCAGGGCGATGCGGACAGCCGCGGCAGAAGCGACTATGCTGCCGTCGCCGCCATCATCGCAAGCACACGCACCTCGATGAGCACCGAGTCGGCGGGCAGCTGCTCGGGCACGGGCACGCGGCGCTGGTCGAACGTGGCGCCGAGCTTGGGGTCGATGGCGCCGTCGTTGGGCGGGCGGTTCGCCAGGAAGATCTGGGTGTTGGTGCGGGCCATGGTGGATGTGTGTGTGAGGTGGGTGGTGGGAAGAGAAGGGAGGACTGCGTCAAAGACGCACTTTATGGTTGGTGCCTTGCCAGCAGCGGTTTGTGGCTGCGCTGCGCCGCTCCGGGCCGCGTCGCTGCCGGCCCGATGGCGGCGCCGGTTGGCAGGCACCCCGCATCCGCGGCTCTTCTCGCGAGTTACTCCGGCTCGCGCCTCGGTGCTGCGCTGCGCTGCTGGGTCAGCGTCCCGTTACGGCCGCAGCGCGGCATCTCGAAGGAAGGGACTCGAGGAGCTTGCTCTTCGATGCTTCCGCGGGAGCTGCAGAAGCTGGCGTCTGTCGTCCGAGCTCATGTGTTGGGCTGCGGCCAGCGAGCAGCTCTGGGGCGCACGGCTCGGCAACGAAAGCGCTCCGAGTGCCGCGCTGAGCAAGCAGTTCCCACCTCACCTGCTGCTGCGAGTCGCCGCCAGCAAAGGCATGTAGTCCACGGCCGCAGCGGCAGCGAGCGCAGCATCACCCGCAGACGGCACGGCGAGCGGAGCAAGGGCGCTGGCGCGCGGCCAGGAACGGCAGGTCGCGTCGACGCGTCAAGCGTGGGAGCACGACAGGGGCGGCGCCGTGTTGCCGTGTTGGGCGTGTTGCTCTGCACGACGAGCTCGGTTTGGCGGCACCTCGCTGCACGCTGACAGCTTGCCGAGGGTGTCGCAGCAGATGAGACGCCGCACATGTGCAGCCCGTGGTGCTTCCTCGGTGCAAGACGCCGAGGCCTGCTCGAGGCAGTCTCGACCGGGGCATGGGCCACGCGCGTGCGCTCGGCAGGGACGCGACGAGCGCGTAAAGTGCTGCTGACCCTTCGCCGGCCGGTCAGCGCCAGCAGGCAGGCCATCGGCGCCTGCTCAGGCCCTTAAGAGCTCGGCAGCCACGGCGCTGCGCTTTGCGAGCCACCACCACCATCCCCTCTGCCGCCAGCTCCACCGCCGCAGCCAGCGCCTCGTCACTGCGCCCCGCCACACACCAATCCTCGCACCACAGCGTCGCCCGTCACCCCTCTCCTTTCTGCCTGCGAGAGGCATGTGCCAGCAGTGCTGGGAAGACGACCACGGCATGCCGCCCACTTATTCTGCCTGGCTGGGCGTCTACGTCGACCCGCTGCACCTCCTCGCCAGTGCCCGCACGCACAATGCCATCAGGTGAGCCTGACTGCTTGCTGCCGCTCGTGATCTGGGCCGGATGCTGAAACTTTCTGAAACGCAGCGACGCACTGCACGTGCTTCGCCTCGTCGCAGTGCGCAGCGGCGCCATGCGCACGCAGCGCCAGGAGCTCAGCGGCATCTTCGCCTTGCCCCTCGAGCTGCTGCAGGAGGTGAGAGGGTCGGGACAACACAGACGCGCAGCTTTGCTGATCCGCTCCCTTTCAGATCGAGTCGCGCCTCTTTGACGTGGCCTACATCGACTTTCACCCGTGCCGCGCCATCCTGGACGACCATGCCGGAACTTCCGTCCCTCCGTGCTCGCGCTGCACGAAGAAGGCGATTGCGCAGCGCAAGACTAAAGCGCCTGTGGACACAAGGTGAGCAATCGTACTGCGGATGCGTGATGTACTGCAGCTCAATCTTCGTCCAACCAGAGCTCATAACTGTTCCAGGGTGCGGCAGTGCGCGCTCTGTAGTGCACGCAAGGCCGAGGGACTGCACGGCATCTCGTCGGAGCTGATCGAGGCTCACTGCGCCGTTGAGCGCTCGGAGTTTGGGATCTTCCACTACTCGGACGACTGTGAAGGCTGCGATGGCTGTGGCTCCACGTGCAGCCGCACTGAGGTCAGAGGATTGATGCGGCTGGCTCATTTCGAGTTCTTGTCTGGCCATAAGGCGAAGCCCGAGTGGAAGGTGCGCATTACTCTGGCTCATAACCCCAGACCCCGCTGAACTGCGCCTGTGCACCCTTTGCGTCACCAGGACATCTCCAAGGCGCTTAGCACCTGGGCCCTCAGCATCGTCTCGACTCCGTACTCGCACTACGACGATGAAACTGAGCCGGACCCACCGTGCCACTTTGGCATTGGCCAGCTCGCCGCGTGGGGCGTCGGCGTAGGACTCAAGCACGGCAAGACGCGATCGCACTCGAGCGAGTTCACTGCTTCGGCCACGGCCGTCTTTGACGTCGAAGTGTCACTCGAGGCGCACCACGCCATTGCTGATGCGTGTGCGGCCATGGCTCGTGGGCTTCGTCTTCCACTCCGCGCAGACCCGCGAGGCAGTGCCGGGCCGTCCAAATTTCCTTTCGTCGAAGACGACCGCGAGACGACCGCGCTGACGTTGGACCTACCCGTCCCGTCGCCTGCCCGCGATGGGAAGGTGCTCTTCAACGGTCCTCCGCCTCCCGTGCGCGCGGCCGTGCACTTTGAGGCAGAGAGAGACCTGTCCATGTACGCCTAATGATCCCCCGAGAGTAGACCCCCTCACCGCCGCCGTTCAGGCTCGCGAGCTCCTTGTGCTGGCACCATGTACTCCCCGCACACATCCATACACGTCCGCACACACGCACCGTCATCTTTTCGCACCGTCGCTCTCGAATGTCAGCCTCTTCTCTCATCCCTTTGCGTTCCTCACGCAGCCCGGCACCTGATGTACAACGCGGTGTCATTGCGCGCTCATGCCGTCGAGACACCCTCCATCGGCGCGGCCGCTGTTTGCGGCGCTGGCGCTGGGAGCGCGTCAAAGTCGCCGTCGCTCATGAACTCGCCAGCGTGCTGCTGCAGGTACTTGACGGACCGCTTTGCGTCGATGAAGAGGCCAAAGACGCGGCGCACGTCGGGCACCTCGACGCGCGCAGACTTGCGCCGGCGGGCTGTGGGTGGAAAGTCAGCGGATGGGCTGCGAGAGCGCAGGCACAGCACGCACCTGCCAGGCTGGACGTGGTGATGAGCTGCTGCGCGTAGCGCAGGCTCGTCTCGACGCCGATGCGCGTGATGACGGACATCGCCTCGTCCTCAATGTCCACGTCCTCCTCCTTTGCGCGGATCGTGAGGATCTCGCGCACCTCGGCCTCGCTGTACGGCTTCGTCTGCACGATCATGGCGCGGTCGAGCAGGTCGATGGGGATGCCGTGCGGGCTCGTGTAGCGCGTGCCGCGCACGCGCGTGAGGCCGCGATTTGACGCCATGATGACGAGCGGCGCCAGCTCCGACTCGAGCGCCCGGTTCAGGAAGGAGAAGCACTCGACGTCGAGCATGTGCACCTCGTCGATGAACAGCACCTGCAGCGGCATGTCAGCGCAGCGGACAGAGCGCACGCCGGACTACTCACACCCGGCACAACCTCCGCCTTGCCCTCCTCGCGCCACTCGCCGACCTTCACGTTGATCTGATCCCGCAGCTCAGGCTTGATCTCACCCGTGTCGCCTAGTGGTCGCGTCAGCGCACAGCTCGGCAGACACGGCACTCCAACTAGCGCTCACCAGCGAAGAGTGCGAGGAAGCCCTGTGTCCGCGAGTTGATGACGTCGATCTCGTGCAGCGAGACAGTGTGCGTCACCTCCTTGCGCCGCTGCAGCTCGCCTTCCGGACATTGCACGAAGCGGGTCTGTGCAGCGCAGGCCGTCAACGCCAGCACTAACCCGCCACCTCTGATGCACTCACGTCGCCGCCCATGGCATCGTACTCGCGCGCCCGCGTGAAGCTGCGGCCGAGCTTCGAGATGCGCCCGCTCGCCTTGTCGATCGCCACGACGTCGCCCGCCGACACCTTCTCGCGATTCAGCGAGTCGATCATCTTTGTGCCGAGATCGTAGATCGTCTCCATGTCCGTCGTCTTGAGCGTGAGCTTGCCCGTCTTGGTCGCCTGGAGCCGTCGTCAGCATCGATTCGAGTGCCGGAGCAGCGCCAGAGCAGTGGATCTGTGTCCCATCGTCTGCAGCTCCGTGCTCGCAGACGCGCCCACGCCCCTCCACAGGACCGGTCACGCTGCACTCACGCCAGTCAGACTCCGATCAACGATGATCTCCACCACCTCGCCCTCGACGACCTCCTTCTCCTCCTTGATGCGCACGCCAATGGCCCGCCGGAACGCCTGCGTGAGCGCCTCCGTCTTGCTCATCTCGAGCGAGAAGACCTCGGACGCGGAGAGCATCACGAACGGCACGTCGGCGCCAAGCGTCTGGGCCATGCCTGGAGCAGCGCGGTCAGCAGCAGCGAGATGGCACTGAGGGAGCGCGAGGGTGTCCCTGTGACGCCAGCGTCGTGCAGCGCTGCGCCAAGCCTTCCGCTTGTTGCAGCCGGCGCTGTGCCTGCTCCTCGCCCGCGCCCCCGCTCACACGCCGCCACTCACCCAGCGCAATGGCCGTCTTGCCCGTGCTCGGCGGGCCGGCAAAGAGCACGGCGCGCCCGCTGATGCGGCCCTCCTGCACCATGCGTGTGATGACGCCGGCGGCGCGGCGCGCGGCCGTCTGGCCCACGAGGCCCTGCGCCGAGGGCCGCGGCACGAGGGCGTCGTCGAGGCCGAGGCCGCGCACGTGCGAGTGGGCGCCGATGCGCTCCAGCGTCTGCACGGTGCTGCTCGTCGGTGCGGTGATGGCAGCCATGGCGGAAGATGTGGACGGGAGAAGCGGAGTGCACGGTGAGAAGGTCGCCGCGGCGCCGCATCCTGCTAGGCCGGTGCGGCAGCGCCGCGCGCGTCACGTGCCGCTGCCTCGCCCCGCTCCCACAGCAGCGTGCCGGACAAGGGGGCCAAAGCACCCCATCATGCCGCATGCTGCCGCCGTGCAACCGGCTCTGAATGCCTCTCTCGCTGCCCAGAGTATACTTAGCCAAGGGCATTGGAGAAGAGAGAGGATAAGAAGGAAGCGCAGCGTGAAGTAGATGGCGCGGCGGGCGAAGGGCAGGGGCCGGTTCGGAGCAGGCAGTCTGATGCCGCCCCCGAAGGGCGGAGAGGGCCTGTTGGTCTCAGCTAAGGCGGCGCCGGCTGGGTTGAGGCGGCGGACCCGGCGGACGATCTCGAGCTCCCTGGCCAGGCTCATCGGAAGTGTGGCCTGGGCGGTCGGCGTCCTCGCCCGCGTCGTGAGGCATGACGGCGCCGCCCCGTGCCGTCCCCAATGCCTGTTCCCAGCGGTTGCGGATGACAGATTACTTTCGTCTCTCTCTTCAGTGCAATTCAGAGGAAAACAAAGCAGACAGCAACGAGTTGACTTGAGCGAAGCGGGCGAGCAAGAGAGAAGGAGGTGCGGCTGTTGTTGCTTGGCTGTGCTGCATGCGCCGCCGCGCGCGCTCGCATCGCCGCGCCGCGGATCTCGCTGCGCGGCGAGGTGTTGCGTGCGCGTTGCGCCCTCACGCGCCGCTTGCTGCCCGACCCTCACCCCGCTCCCTCGTCCACCCACAGTGCAGCAGCGCCTGCCTGCCGCATCCCGCCGCCATGTCCGCGTCCGACACGCGCCGCCGCGCCGAGATCGAGGCCAAGCGCGCCAAGCTCGCCGAGCTCAAGCGGGCGCGCGAGGAGCGCAGCTCGCGCATCGCCGCCGGGCGCGCGGCCGGCAGCGGCCTCGTCTCCGAGGTGCGCCGGCCTGCGCTGCGATGCAGGAGGTAGACGCTGACACGCGCACAGGCCACGACGCCGGCGTCGCGCAAGGACATCGACGACCTCGTCGGCTCGCTCCTCGGGCACCGCGGCGGCAGCAGCGGCGTCAGCAGTCCCAGCCACGCCTCGGCGCCGCTGCCGCTCGACGGCGCCAGCAGCAGCAGCCCGCGGCGCCCGACGGCCGCGGCGACGGACTCGGAGTACGCCGAGAGCGCCGTCGGCGGCAGCTCGGTGCCGGGCATCCGCGTCGAGCGCGGCGATGGCGAGGTGGTCGGGTGAGTCGGCCGGCCAGCTGCGTCCGGCGCTTGTGCTGATGAGAGACGGCATAGCATCGCAAAGTCTGAGCCAGACGAGCCAGCCAAAGTGAGCCAGTTCAGACAGCCTTTGCACAACGGCAGCGTCTGACTGCTGCGTGCAGGAGTACTACACCAAGGAGGTGCAGACAGCTGCGCCCGTCGAGCGCGTCTACTACACCAAGGAGGTGCAGACGACCGCCGTCTCGCCGCCTCTGTTGCCGACGGCGCCTGCAAGCGCGGCGCCTGCATTGCCGACGCTAGATGGGGCAGCAGATGGGAAGCGGGAAGAGGAAAATGAGGACGAGGCAGACAAGTCGATGCGGCAGGAGGAGGAGCAGCTCGAGCGCGAGATCGAAGAGGGCCTGCGTGGTGAGTGCTGCTGGCTGCGACGCGGGAATGGTCTGTGTAGGGGTTGCAGGCAGACAGAAGCAGGCGCGAGCGAGGGGATGAGCGTAGCGGTGTCGAGCGTCGCCGCCGCTGCACCTCTGTGCTGCTGGCGCCCAGGAAAGCTCTGCACAGCGTGTCAGCAGGCGACGTTCAGCGTAGAGCTGTGGGTAGGATGAGGCCAGCGAGCGCACTGCGATGGTATCTCGAGCCGTCGCGCTCTTCTTCGAGGCTGGAGAGTGCCAGCGTCATGCTGATCCCTTATTTCCGCACAGAGCTGAGCATTGCCGAGCTCGGCGCCATCTACTCGGCGCCCGACTTCAGCGACTTTGTCGAGCTCAGCTCCAAGATCGTGGAGCGGGCACTGACGGACTCATACGACTTCATGAAGGACTACAGGGCCGACGGCGTGGCTGTCGAGTGAGTCTAGACGGCTGCAAGTGCAAAGCCCGTGCTCATTCGGCTTCCAGTGATGATGAGGAAGGGCGGCAGGTCAAGCGTGCACGGACCTTCTGGGACGAGAAGCTCTGCCGCGGCCGGAGCTTGACAGATCTCGACTGGTCGACCAAGGTTAGTGGTCTGCATTGCATGGGGGGGGGGGGGGGGGGAGGTATGACTGACACCTTGCTGCAGCACCCTGAGCTTGTCGTGGCGAGCTATAGCCGGGCCGAAAATGGCGCTTCAGACGAGCCGGACGGGCTTGTCCTCGTGTGGAACATGCACCTCGCAGACCGGCCCGAGTTCGTCTTTCACGCTCAGGTGAGAATGCCTCAGATCACAGTGCCTCGCGTGCAGGCTGACGCGAATCGCAGACGGACGTGCTCTCCGTGCTCTTCTCGCCGTTCAACCCGAGTCTCATCATCGGCGGCACGTACAGCGGGCAGATTCTCATCTGGGACACGCGGGCGCGGTCCTTGCCCGTGCTCAAGACGCCTCTGTCCGCAACGGGCCACACACATCCCGTCTACTCGCTGCAGATGGCCGGCACGCAGAACGCGCACAACCTCGTCAGCGCCTCGACCGACGGGCTTGTGTGCAGCTGGACGCTCGACATGCTGGCGCGCCCGCAGGATGCGCTCGAGCTCGTCAATGTGCACCACAACAAGACGGACGAGGTGGCTGTTGTGTGCATGGGCTTCCCGGACCAGGAGACGATCAACTTCTGCGTCGGCACGGAGGAAGGCCACATCTACGCCGCGAACCGCTTTGCGCGTGCCGGCGCCCAGGCTGGCCTCGATGCGCACGAGGTGTATCGCTCGCATGAGGCGCCCGTCACGAGCATCCACTTCCACCCACTCGCCGGGCCCGTCGACTTCAGCGACCTGTTTCTGAGCACGAGCATGGACTGGACCACACGGCTGTGGCGCGTCAAGGGCGGCGTCGCGGGCGCGTCGGGGCGGCCATCGAGCTCCGCCAGCGGCAGCCTTCGGCCACTGCACACTTGCGAGGAGGCGACGGACTACGTGTACGACGCCCGCTGGCACCCGCTGCACCCAGCTCTGTTCGCACAGGTCGACGGCTCAGGGCACCTGGATTTGTTCAACCTCAACGTCGATGCCGAGGTGCGTAGCCGCCGCGGTAGAGGCCTGTCTGTGGCCTTGCTGACCGACCTCTTCAGCGACCTGTCATCTCGACGGCCGTCGGCTCGGGCCAGCCGCTCAACAAGGTGGCATGGGACCGGCGCGAGGGCCGGCGCGTCGCGACTGGCGGCGCCGACGGCAGGCTGTACGTTTTTGACATTGGCGCGCTCGCCGTGCCGCGCGAGGACGAATGGCTGGCGTTGCGCAAGACAATCGGCCACCTGCTCGTCGCTAGCGGCCAGGACCTGTCGATCAGCGGCGCCGCCGTGAATGCGGCCACTGCGGGAAGCGATGGTGCCGGACTCTCCGCCGCGCGAGACCTCGAATGGCAGAGCCAGCGCACGGCTGCCGCGGCTCGCTAGGCACCGCGCTGGCTGCTCTTGCCTCTTGCCTTATCCGTGCTGCATCCTCAACCCCATTGTATTCTACCGAGTCACATTACACCTCCCTCGCGCCTTCTGCTTATGCTTTTGGTGGTGCCTCTACGGCAGGTGGCCCTCGGAGACCTGTGCGCCGTCCTGCGTGACGTGCAGGAACTCGGCGGCGCACTTGATGCCGTCCTTCTTGAACTCCTCGACGATCGTGTCGGCAATGCGCCGCTCGTCGTCGGTGGCGAGCGCGAGAATCGTGGGGCCGGCGCCCGAGAGGCAGATGCCCAGCAGGCCGGCGTGCGTCGAGGGCGTGACGGAGGCGAGGATGCGCGGCAGGCCCGGGATCAGGTGCTTGCGGTACGGCTGGTGCACGCGGTCCTGCATTGCCTGGAAGATGAGGCCGGCATCCGGCGGCGAACGCGCCAGCGCGGTCGTCAGCACCGCGAGGCGCTGCAGGTTGAAGATCTGTAGCGGAGAGGTCAGTGCTGGAAGCACGGCAAGGTGGAAGGAGCTAGACTGGCGCGGGACGTGTGCTGCGGCTCGAGGCTCATACAACAGAGGTACAGGACGCAACTACTCTCCACGTCACATCTCGCACTCTTCCTGACCCAGATGTTCCTCCACGCTACTCACCAGGTCGGCCTTCGAGTAGGTGTCTGGCAGCGCGTCGCGCGCCTTTGCCGTGCTGACCTCGAACTCGGGGATGATGGCAATGACCTTGATCTCCTTGGCCCAGCCAAAGCGGATGTAGTGGCCGATGCCCTCCGGCGGCGCAGGCGGGTGCGGGCCCCACGTCTCGCCGGCGTCTGGCGGGTACTCGGGCAGCACCTCGGAGAGCGGCACGTCCTTCTTGGCCGCCGCCTCGGCGGGCAGGTCGAGCAGGTACGAGCCGACGAAGCCGCCGACGAGCGCGGCGGTGACGTTGTCGGGGTGGCGCTCGATCATGAGGGCGTGGTCGAGCAGGCGCGACGTCGAGAGCTTCAGCTGGCCGAGCTCGTTGCCGAGCAGGATGCCGGCAATGACGGCGGCGCCGGAGCTGCCCAGGCCGCGGCCGAAGGGCACCTCGTTGTGCACATCGATCTCCACGCCGGCGGGAAAGGCGCTGATGCCGTTGGCGCGCAGCACGTAGAGGGCGCAGCGCGTCGTCAGGTTCTTGTAGGCGTCGAGCGGCGCCTCGGCGGCGCCGGTGCCCGTGTAGGCGAGGCGCGGGTGCGGCGCGCCGCCGGGCGTGACGGTGACGCGCAGCGTGAGGTAGAGGGAGAGCGAGAGGCCGACGACGTCGAAGCCGGGCCCGATGTTGGACGAGGTGCACGGCACGCGGATGCTGAACTGGCGCGACATGCTGGGCAGGGTGGTGGAGGCGACGAGGGAAGGCCGGGAAGGCGGCCGCTTCGGGGTGACTCGCTGGGGCCTCGCCCTCGGCCGCGGCACATCTGTGTGGCTGCGCTCCCACGCGCCCCGGCGGCGCACGTCGGCCGAGGCGCGCCGCAACGCCCACGGCGCGCCAGGAAGATCCGGCCGGCCAGCGACGCTCTCGACCCCATCACCCTCACCTGCCGCACACCCTCTTGCCGCCATGCCGGGGCCCGCGCCCACGGCAGGCCAGCTGCTGTTGCACAGCGTGCGCTCGCTGCGCCCGCGCCCCGCGCACGCCTGGCTGGCCCGCGGCGCCGCGCCGCCCGCACGCGCGCGCCATGCCGCCTCGCTCGCCGCGCCCTGGCCCAGCGCAGCGGCCACGTGCGGCTCGCCGATGCGCCGCATCAGCACGGCGCAGGAGAGCAGCGCACCGAACATGGAGCTCGACCCGGCCGGCGTCGACGAGAGCATGTTCGAGGCGCCCACGGACGAGTACCTCGTCGCCCAGCCCCGCAGCGGCACAACATCGGCCACAGCCACGGGACCCGAGGCGCTGCTGCTCGACCTGCTCGCACAGGGCGACGCCGACGCGGCCACGCAGACACTGCGCCGCCTCGTCTCGCTCGGCACGCCGGTGCGGCCGCATGCGCGCTTCGCCGCCGGCGCTCTCCACGCCGCTGCACATCCTGCGACCGCCGACGAGCGTGACGTGCTGCGCTGGCTCGCACTCACGGCATGCGAGGACGAGGCTGTGCCGCTCATGGCTTCGACGCTGCGTGCTCTCCAGGCGCGTGCTAGCTGCTCCGTCGTCACGCATGCTCGCGCGCTCGAGCTCGTCATTCGTGCCGGCTTCCTGCACAGCAACGCCAACCCGCAGATCGCAAGTCTGCTCGCCTTCACGCTGCGCTACACCGGCGACAGCAGCGGCAGCGGCGGCGTGGGATGGGGCCACCTCTGGCGCAAGATCTCGGCGGCATATGCTCAGAGCGTCAGCGCTGTCGAGCAGGCCTCGGAGCGTCGGCCGCTGGAGAAGCTATTCAACAGCGCCGTGCGGGCGCTCGCGCTGGCCGGCCGGCTGGAAGCGGCATACGCCTGGGCCGGCCTGGCGACTTCTGGTGCGCCGCCAGAGGGCGCCAAGCTCAGCTCTATCACCGTCAAGATGCTCATGGAGCAGCTGCAGGCGGGCTCGGTGCAGGACGTTGAGGCCGTCTCAGGCTTCGACCCGCAAGCCGCAGCACAGTCCTTCGCCGCACGCCTTGCAACGTGCAACATGCCCAAGCTCGCCAAGATTGCTGCCGCGCAGCTCACGCCGGCCCAGCTGGAGCCGCCGTCGATAGAGAGCAGCGTGGACTTCCAGATCGTCGGCCACCTCCTGGCTGGCCATAGCACGCAGGCGTGCGAAGCGCTCAAGGAGCGTCTTGCTGCCCCTGCGCCATACGGGCGCATCGACACCCACGCGCACCTGCCGAGCGCTTCCATCCTCGCGCGCCTCGTCTGGGGCGCGGAGCCGCTCGGAACCGAGCAAGCTGCGTCGCTACGAGAGGCACTGTCTGCTGCCCGCGCCGGGCGAGGCCTGTGGGAGACGGCCGAGCTGCACGCCGCCGTCTCGCGCGAGGACTACGCCGAGGCCCATGCAGTCTGGGCGCGCTCTTTCTCGGACACGCCGGCGCTCAGCACTTCGTTCCGACAGCTCTCCGTCGAGAACACAGCCATCTCTGCGCACACGGACGCTGCGGCACACCGTCTGTGGCCGAGCAAGACGGCTGTGAAGATCATGCTGCACGCATGCGCACAGCTGCCATTCCGGCTGCCGCGCAGGCACTCGTCGGCGCGGAAGAATTGGCTCCATTCGCGCACCGAGTCGATGTATACCCGCTGGCTCGCGGCCACTTTCGACTCGCCGCAAGAGCACCACGTCGCCTCGTCAGCCACCATTAGCGAACCATCCGGAAGCACCGCAGCAGGGGCGGAAGACGGCGAATGGTGGAACTCGCTGCTGAGTTGGAGTCAAGGCGGCAAGACGCAGTCTGGCGCGGCGGACCCGCAGTCACTTGGCGGGCAACGAGCCGACCAGGTGGTGCCGGCTCACTCGATGCACTTCGAGGTCTTCCTCGAGGCCGCGCTCGCCCTCTTGCCGCAGCGCGAGCACCTGCGCGTCGTGCTGCGCTTCATGGGCGATATGCGCAAGCGTGCCGTGGAGCCGTCGGTGCGCGTGCACAACAGACTGCTCAAGTGCGTCGCCATGGCGCACGGCTGGGCGCAGAGCGAGAAGCGCGCACGCGCCATGGGTATGGATGGTAGCCTGCCCTCGCTGCCCGGTGCCACGCTCACCAGCTACTCGATGCTGCTCGACGCTCTCATGCGCGCACGCAGCAGCCCCGAGAACCTCGAGGGTGCTCGCATCGTGCGGCGCTGGCTGCTCGACGCGGCCCTCAAGAATTCGCAGCAGCGCGACGAGGCGAACCTGGGCACCTCATGGGCCTTTGACCATCGCGAGATGCAGGGCCTGCTCGATCGCGCCGATGCCGAGGCTACCGGCAACGCCGATGCCAGCTGGCGCCTGCGTCTTATCGACAGATGGACGGCGCGGCAGGACTTCTCGCTCAGCGACGTGCGCGAGAACCGGCCGGCCTGCCGCGCCCTTGTGCTGCTCGCCGCCGAGGATGCCCGTCGTGGCAAGGTGGCGCTGGCGCATCATCGCCGCGCGGCGTCTGAGGCGGCTGGTGCCGACGGAGCGAGCGTCACTGCCGCTCGTGAGCTATCAACGACGCGCATGGACCTGGCGGCAGCCAAGCGGCGCCGACATGCCAAGGAGCATCGGGCGAGGAGACGTGCGAGCGTTCAATAAGAGTGCTTCTCACCTGGACAATGAGCATGCATGGACGTGCCCTGATGCGCCTGCAAGGGCAGCACTGAAGCCTGACTGAGGAGAAAGGCTTCTTATGGGCATGAAGAGAGGGCAGACTTGCCGGTACCGCAGACAACACGCAGTGCTTGCTTCGAGCTTGCCAAGACGAGAGCGCCTGGCACATGATTGAGGCAGGATCATGTCGCCGTCGGAGGCGACAGGCGGCGATGCCGTCGGAAGGAACGGCCAGACCCTGAGCATCCCTGGCTTGCCTTGGCAACATGCTGCACCGTCGGTCTACTGCTTGCGCGGGCGCGCCGACGGACGACAGCAAGTGCGATGAAGCATAGGCGAAGGCCGAGCACAGAGACCTTGGAAGCACCTGGCATGGCCAGCCGCCAGCATCGCAGATGCCGCAGATGCAGCAGCCGTGTCGGCGCACGGCGACGCTCGCATGAGAGGCGAGCAAAGACGGTGGTGACTCGGCAGATTGTGTCGGCTTCTGCTGCGCATCTTTGCTTGCCGCGGCTGTTGACTGAGAAGGCACGCATGCTGGCGGTGCTGGCGTGCAGGACGCAAAGGCAGACCGACGGGCCGTACTGTCCATACCGGCTGCAGGAGCGCAGCGCCGACGGCACGGCTGGGCACGCGCGTCGTCGGCAGGCGCCGGAGGCAAGTGCTGTCACATTATGCTGCACAAGAAAGGCAGCTTCGCAACGGCTGAGCAGCTTGCAGGCGACACCGTACTCCGGACAAACACACACGCCGATCCGCCCGTCGGATGGGCAGAGAGCGGCTCGGAGTCCGGCACGTCGTCTTGATAGAGAGGCTGGTGCGCGCCGCGGCGGCGCGATGGCTGCGGGGCGCCTGCGTGGATCTGGAGGACAGGCCGGACATCGGATGAGGCAGCCGTTGCCCACATCTCGCAAGCGCTCTTCTTCTTGATGCATCTGATGCAGACACACATGGCCATCAGGTGCGCAGCCGGCGCACTGGCGCATGCCGGCCAGCCGCTGGCCCTGGCGCGCAACGGCCGGGACGCCGGCGGACGCGCCGAGCCTCCGACGGTGGAGCGCGAAGGTGGGCACCTGAGCAGACGTCGCAGCATGCGCTGATATTGTGCAAATCCACCTGAAGCACAGAGTTGCTCTGGAGACCCTCCTTCCATGAAGCCAGTCCGCCAGCTCAAGGGCGTTCCTGTCGCGCCTTGCTCGCGCGCTGCGAACCCAACGCCCCGCGTGCGCACTCGATGCGAGAGCTTCGGCGACGCCCATCGAATGTGAGCACGGCGAGCCGCTGCTACTGGCCTTGCCGCGCTTCGTTTGACTTGGGAGCAAGAGAGTGACAGCATGCTCCATCCGAAGGCTGCAGGCCAGGGACATCGAGAGACAGTCCCTCAGCCAGCTCACCTCTCCTGCGCTGCTGCACCGGTGCCTTTCTCTGCGTCCGCGGACGCACTGGGGATGGCGGGCCCGGCTCCGGCGCAGGCTATCAAGTGACCCAGTGCGGTGGCTCGCTCATGCGTGCGCGCCGGAGGCAAGAAGGCGGGCAGGCCGCGCGCCGGACGCCGCTCAACGGGCGCCTGTGCGAGCGCGTGCCAGCCGCCGGAGCGGCGGAGTGGACGTGCGCGCAGCGCTGGAGTCCGAGACGAGCGCCGAAGGACGCCCTTCTGCCCGCCGGTGCAGCATGTGCGCAGCCTGTTGGCGTCGAGGAGCTGCGGCGGCGGCTTGCAACGGCGCGCCTGCAGCGCCGGGGAGCGCGAGGGCGCGCGTGAGGCGCATACGCGTGAGAGCGGCGCGGTAGCAGCGCAGAGGCGATCTGAGACGCGCCGCCGCCGCGCGCAGCAGCGCCGCCCAAGGTCCCTTCCCGCACCCAACGGCCTCGCCAGCCGCTCGAGCACGGCGCTGGTCCGACACAGGCTGCAGCAGGCAGCACGCACGCAGAGCGACGCATCGCTTCGATCGGTCCGCCGAGTCGAGTCGGCTCTCGAATGCGACGGGCCCGGCGCTGGGCATCGCGCCGCGCACGCTCGGGCACGCACGGCTCGGCGAGCGCCACGCCGCCCGAGAAAGCGGCCAGCGACGCAGCTGCCGGCGCCGAGGCGGGTCGGCGCAACGCACCTTGCTGCTGAATGCTGCCCGTGGACGGCGAGGGACTTGCCGAAGCGCTGCAGCACTGTGGCCAGCATGCAGCAGCAACGGCGTGCGCATCATCGCGAGAGAAGGCCGGCCGCCGCGCTGCCGCAGCACGCACGCCGACGGCAGCCCTTCGCAGCCCGCTGCGGCGCTCGCCGAGCTGGCAGTTGCGGCGCACGTCAAGCTGCAGCGGATACTGCTCGTATCCACAGCGCCGCAACACAGCTGCCAACACCACGCCCGCCAGCGCCTTGGCGGCCCTGCCGCTTCGAGCCGGGCGCGGCACCGCAGCAGCGAGGGCACACCGCGTCCCTGACGCCCGGCCAGACCCTCTCGCTCGGGTCGCTCGTTGCGCTACCGGCTGACCCAGGATGTGTGCATCGGAGGAACAGGGCCAAGCGCAGCCCAAGTGGCCGAGCGGCGCCTACCTGCCGCCAGCATGTGGGCCACTTGACGAGTAGAGTTTCTCTCTCGCTGCCCCTTCGTCTGCTCGGCTGCCTGCCGCCTCATAAGGCGCCCTCGGCAATCCAGCGTGCTCCGCGCCCGCTCCTCCTCCCCACCACCCGTTCCTCTCCCTCGGCAGCCCTTGCTGTGCCGTCGCGCCGTCCCTCTCGACTCTCCTTTCCTCTACTCCTTCTTCGGCCCAGGCGGCTAACTCTTTGCTCCCGCGCACACGCATTTACACACTCCTTTTCTCTCTCTTCCACGTCGCACAGCCCCGGCGGTTCGCGACGTTCCATCTCTTATCCCACAAGCCATGCGCTTCTTCCGGATTGGCATCGTCGGCCTCGCCGCCGTCGGCGTATCGACGGCGGCGCCGGTGGTGATGGAGGCGAGCGCCGCAGTGCCACCAGCACACATGACGCTCTCCTCTGCCCTGCATCTTCGCGACCTGTACGGCTTCCTCGCCAACGCAGCACTGGCGGCACCAGCGAGCTTCGCCGCTAAGCCGTGCAAGGGCAAGAAGTGCCCGCCGGCCAAGAAGCCCGCTCCGCCGCCACCTGCACCGCCAGCCTGCACTCCCGCACCGGCACCCGCGACGACGTTCGGCAAGAACTGCCCGCCACCCGGCACGCCCAACGACGGCATGTACCGTCCCGGCTGCCAAGGCTACGGGCGACGAGACGTGCGCGCCCGCGCAGAGCTCGCTGATCTGGCCATGATGAGCGCAGAGGCTGGCTCGGCAGGCGCTAAGTGCCCGCCGGCAGGCACACCAAACGACGGCGTGTATCGGCCAGGATGCCCCGGCTTCGGCCTGGCAGAGAGCGCCGCCTTTGCCCTGACCACCGCATCGCAGAAGGCACGCTGCCCAGCACCAGGAACGCCCAACGACGGCATCTACCGGCCAGGATGCGCGGGCTATGGACGCCGGCGCGATGTGCAGGACAGCGAGACAGACAGCGAGGACGACAGCGCGCTCAGCGATGCCGCGCCAGAGGACGACTCGCCGGACAGTGCCGGCAACATCTTCCTCGCCGCCACGTCTGGCCTGGCCGCACCGACAGGCACGGACGCCTCGGCCGGCTCGCCGGCTGACGCGCTGAACCTCTCGGCTCCGCTCCGCTCCATGCTCTCGAAGATCGCCGACCTCCTGGACCAAGTGACGTCGATCCAGACGACCGGTCTGCTCGGCGGCACCAACTCGACGACATCCTCCTTCCCGGCCAAGCAATTGCTGTCCAGCGCTTCTTCTGACGAGGAGGAGAGCTCGGATACCGAGGACAGCTCGGATGCCGACGCCTCGCTGGTCGCCGACACGGACGCACCTGTCGACGCAGACGCGCCCGCAGATGCCGATTCCGACAGCTCGACATCGGTGATCAAGACGACCAAGTCCTCGAAGAGCGCCTCGCCCGAGCTGCCGCCGAAGGCCGCCTGGTCGCAAACAACCGTGATCAGCACAGTCAAGCAGGGCGCGGCACCGTCTGACTCAAGCGAGGCAGACACTAGCGACAGCGACAGCGACGGCTCAAGTAGCGGCGTCTCGGATGCGGTGAACGCAGCAACGGCGCTCTCGCAGTCCGACCGCCGCCGCTCCGTCGCCGCCTCGACTTCAAGCCAGGACAGGCACGCACGCGGCCTCGACGCCACGGCTGCAGTACGCTCCGGCACGGCACACAACGAGTGGCTCTCGCTGTGGGCCAAGGTCCAGAACGCACACTCCGCCTCCGAGGCAGCGTCGCACGCCCGTGCTCTTCTGCGCCGCCAGCTGAGCGGTGACGACGCATCGAGCGACGCAGCAGTCGCCAGCAGCGGCGACGGCAGCGCAGACAGCGACAGCAGCAGCAGCACCAGCAGCAGCAGCAGCAGCGACGCAGCAGGATCCAGCGACGGTCTCGGCTTGACCGGCGACTCGAGCAGCGCAGACACCCCTCCGGCCGGCAGTATCTGGGAGGCATACGCCACCGAGGACCCTGCGGTGTTCGAGACGCTCGGCCGCGCATTCCTGACCGCCGTCGCAAACATTGCGGCTCAGGGCTCCGTCGACTCGTCCGAGTGAACGGTCCTGCCCCTGCTTCTCTCCTGCTCATCAAAGCCTGCGCTGCTCCTGCATGGAGACGCCGCCGCGCGCGCTCAGCGCGCATGCGCCCTCCAAAATCTGCCCTGCTCGTCGTGGTCGTCACCCAAAGCTGTGCCTAAGCCTGCCTAACTACCTAGTACCTAGTCGCGATAATACACAGTCCAATCCTGCTCGCGCTCTCTGTGACGCATCAATTGTACAGGGGCGCTCTAGACGTTCCTCACGGCTTGACCTCGACGCGCACGTACGGCACCTCGACGTCCTCGCCGTCGACGTCGTCGCACATGACCTCGAAGATCAGGTACTTGGCGTGCTGCGCGGGATGTATCAGCGCGTGTTCGAGATGGTGCAGCACCGAGCACACTCACAGCAGGCACCGGCTTCTTGCTGACACTCTCGACAAGCTCGCTCATCTTCATCTTCAGGCGCTCCTCGCGCTTCTTGGCGGGCATGAAGCCCGAGTAGAGCATCTGTCAGGGAGTCAGCTAGCTGTCTGCAGACAGATTCGTCGAGCCGGCACGCACCGAGACACCCGAGGACAGCATCGTGATCTCGAGGCCGTGCTCGTTCTGGAACGTGTCGAGGAAGCCCTGCAGCGTCGGATTGCCCGGCACATCGAAGCTGTGCGCTGTGTGTTAGCACGGCTCTGCGTGGCATCGTCACACGTGGTACACACCGAGACCACAGCGTCCACTCGACCTCGCCCTTCGGGCTCTTGTACTTGAACTTGGGCGCAGCGATCGGCTCCGAGAAGGCCATGAAGGGCAGCGCGATGTTCACAAATGCTGCAGGTGGTGTCAGTCACGGCGCTCTCCACGCATGTGAGCACACTCACAGTTCTTGTACTGCTCAATGTCGTCCTTGCCATCGATGATCTTGTACAGCTCAAGGCAGACAAGACCTGGCGACGTGTCAGCACGCAGGCTTCATCAGTCCTCCTCTGCACTCACCCGTGGCCATAGCCGTCGTCGTGGCGATCGCGGGAATGATCTTGCCCGCGATGCCCTTCGTCTTGTGCCGATCCGCGATTGGGATGCCGTAGTTGACGGCACGCAGGTTCGACGCGGCGGTGATGTAGTCGATGTGGTGGTTCGAGTCGTCGTCCTTCTCAAAGTCGACGGGGTTGAGGCGGAAGCCGGCGAGGCTCGACGGCGCCGGCAGGCTGGCGGCGATCTCCGTCAGGTCCGCATCGTCATCGCCGGCGGATGCGGCAGGCGCGGCGGCCGCCTCGGCCTCGGTCGTCTGGATCTTGACGTTCGACTTGGGCACGAACTCGGGCACCACGATTGATGAGAGCACCTTGTGGAAGTAGGCCGGGTCCGTCGAGCCCTTGAGGCCGTAGTTGAAGGCGCGCAGGTTGGAGGCCGAGATGATGTACTCCATGTGCAGCGGCTGCAGAATCGAGGGTCAGCATACGAAGGCACACCCCATCCACTGCGACTCACATCGTTGGGGTCAAAGGTGATCGGCTTGGGCGCACGCTTCGGGCCCGACCAGAAGGGCTGGCCGCTCGACGTGACGGCGTCGGCGGGCAGCGAGAAGAGCAGCTGCCGGATGACGTTGTTGTAGCTCTCCTCGAACTTGTTGCGCGCCCACGCCACGCACGCCTCGAACTGCAGCGGGCGGTTGTCGACGAGCAGGTCGCGGATCTGCTCGAGCTGCTCGCGCTGGCTGCCGCCGCTCTTGAGCGTCGTCTCGACGTAGTCGGGCTGCGTCAGGTACTGGTTCACGTTCTCGACGGGCTTGACAAAGTACTCGTCGAGCTGCTCGCGGCCCCACTGGATCGTGTGCTCGATGGCGTTGGGGAAATTCTTGAGCGTGCACACGGGGATCGACTTCTCCGGCGGGTCCTGCGACGACGAGTACGACTCGGTGAGGTGCGGCAGCACCACCTGCGTGTTGGCCTTGGTGCCCAGCGTGCCCGACTCGAGCAGCGCCTTCTGGTAGTACACACAGCGGCGGTCCATGTACTGGCGCGCCTGCACGTTGTCCAGCGCGTTCGTCACGCCCGTCAGCGACTCGAAGAAGGCGTCGCCGTACACGTCCTCCGTCTCGGGGCCGACGCGGTTCTGGTGGCTGTGGATCTTGCCCTTCAGGTCCGCGTTCATCTCGGCGACGGCGGCGGCCGCAGTGTCGGCCTTGAAGTTCCCGACGTCCTTGGGCCGGAAGAGGAACTGCCGGTTGAGGTTCGACTTCTCAATCGTGTCCATGTCCGTGACGTGGATCGCGCCCTCAGGGCCCGAGCCAAGGCCCATCATGCTCCAGTTCTTGAGCATCTCGCAGCCGATGGCGCCCGAGCCCACGAGGAACTGGCGCACGTTGGCCAGCTTGGCCTGGAACGCCTTGCCGAGCACAGCAATCTGCCCGTCGTAGCGCGTGCCCTGCGGCGCGAACTCCGACTCGGGCAGCGACGGCACCTCTGACGGCAACGACTCGAGCGAGTCGACGTAAAGGTGCTGCACGAGCGGGTGGAACTTGCCGGAGCACGACTTGAGCGCCTCCTGCGCCACGAAGCCGCCGATGAAGGCAACCATGGGCGAGAGGTCGCCCGTGGCCTGGAACGCCAGCTCGCGCACGATCTTGTCGAGCAGGTCCGAGCCGTCGCCGCTGGCCTTGTGGATCTCCTGCGCAAGCGCCACGACGGCGTCGGCGTCGGCAGCGTTTCTTGGGCGCGGCAGGCGCCCCTCACGCTGCCAGAAGGCAGAGAGTGCCTGCCAGCCGGCGTGCAGCGACGCGGGCCGGTCGAACTTGGCAAAGTCCGAGATGAGGTGCTCCGGCGCAGCGAGGCTCTCCTTCAGCGGCTTGAAGTCGATGACCTTGGGCGCCTTGACCTGCGTGAAGATGCCGCCGCGCTTGTACTCGCCCAGCGACGAGGTATCGCCGATCGTGAAGGTGTAGGGGCCCTTGACGGCGACCTTGCGCGGCTCGCAGCCGTTCAGAGCGTCCATGCCCTGCACCTCGCTGAACGTGACCAGGTCGCCGTCCTCCAGGCCGTGGCGCGTCTCGTCCAGCGTGGTCACCATGCCCTCGCTATCCGCCGACACCGACACGATCATGCCCGACAGCGGCTGTTCGCCCGTCGGGTCCGTGCAGACGAATTTGGGCCCAAAGTCGGTGAAGACGTTGCCGAAGAAGCCGCGCACGTCGGCGGAGATGAAGTGCGTCGCGGTGGCGTGGGTGAGTGCGTTGAGCTCAAGCTGGCGCTGCAGCGGCTCGTTTGTCACGACCACAGCCTGTGCAGACAGTCAGCAGCGGTTCGGCAGATTGCTGCCAAGCTATACTCACCTGAAAGCGCGCCAGCACGTCCTTGCTCAGCTCAGCCTCCTCCAGCACGCGCACCGGCACGTAGCTGTTCAGCTCGGCTAGCCGCGGCGCAGTGGCCTCGGCGCGGCTGAGGCCCTTGCCCGCGTCTTCGGGGCGCAGGAAGAACTGCGTGCCGAGATCCTCGATCGCCATCGGGTTCGGATCGTACAGCGTCACGGACTTGACACCGGCAAGACAGATGTTCTTGGCTGCAGCAAAGGGTTAGCAGCGGCACGCGCCTCCACCGAGGCCCACGCACCGATCTCAACTCCGAGGCCGCGCAGGCCGACGATGAGGATGTTCGACACGGCCATGCGCTTCATGGCATCGTGGCCGAGCACGTACAGCTGTCGGCTGCAGTAGGAGTGTCAGCAGCTGGCCTGCAGCAGTGCCGGCGCCTGCTGCGCACCTGTACAGGCCCTCGTCGATGCCGGCCGACGTCTCGTCGACGTCCATCGCCTTGACGGACATGGCGGGCGGGGGAGGCGCGCTCAGCTGGAGCAAGGGCTGCGATGTGGCGGTGAGGCGTGCGTGTAGTGATACGGCAGCGAGTGTGTGTGCAGCCGCAAGATGTGAGGTGGCTGGAGATACGGTGGTGGGAGGCGAGGGTGCTGCCGAGAGTGACGCGCGGCCGAATCGTGCGCACGGCCGTAGCAGCATGGCTGTGTGGAGCACGGGCGCGCACGTGACACGGCGCTGCCCGCTGGCTGCGAAGCTTCGAGGCGGCGGCGGCACCCGCACGGCCGTGCGCCGCGACAAGGCTCCCGGCCGGCTATCGCTCCACCCTCGATCCCCACACACAACATCATGAGCAGCTCGTGGAACAAGCAGTACCACTGGTGCGTGCGGCGCGCCCGCGACAGTGCCACACGCCACTGACTTGCCGCGCAGGAAGACCAAGGGCGCCACGCCCTGGGCGCGCCAGTACTTCCACGACCGCCTCGTGTCGCGCTCGCACTCGAGCGGCAGCGGCGAGGTGTCCATCTCCGCGCTCGAGGACTGGGACGGCGACGTGGAGCTGGGCAACCGCAAGGGCCGCCTCATCACCATCTACGACTGCTCCTTTGCGCTGGCCTTCGCCGGCAAGACGAGCGGCGGCGAGGACGTGGCGGGCAAGATCCGCTTCCCCGAGGTCTCGCACGACGTCGAGGACGCCGGCGACGAGTACGCCTTCGACACGGAGCTCACCAAGGGCGGCAATGCGGCGCAGGCGCTGTACGGCGAGGTGCGCAAGGAGTTCGTGCCCAGCCTCATGCCCGTCTTCAAGGCGTTCCGCGACACGCTCGTCGCCAGCCACGCCGCCGACCTGGGCCACGAGGAGGAGGCGGCCAAGGCTGCGGCGGGCGCTATGAAGGCGCCGACAAATAAGCCGCCGCCGATGAAGGAGCCGAGCGCGCAGGAGAAGGAGCAGAAGAAGCCGGCGGAGAAGCAGGAGGGCGACGAGGACAAGGTGAGCGCCGGCGGCTGGGGCTGCGTCTGCTCGTGACGGACGCTGACGGCCTCGCCTCTCCCGCTGTGCGCAGCCGCGCGCCGGCATCCCGCTGCTGCCACCGGGCTTCGGCAACATCTAATGAGACTAATGCGGCATCGGTCGTGTGGAGTGCTGTGAGGCGACGCCTGGCCGCTTGCTGTCACGACCTGATTCGGGAGCCCTGGTGCGGCGCCGTGAGCCGAAGCGCCCGCCGTGTGGAGGCATCTCAGCAGGCACAGCCTGCACAATTGAGCGCCTTTTCTCTGCGCCGAGCACACAGCCTGGCACGGACACAGCGCCACGAAGGTGCCAGCAACACGGCAGTTGGGCAAGATCAGACGCCGTGGGCATTTCTTTCTTTCTCAGAGTGGGCGGGAGGGAGCAGCGCTGCAGGCGCAACTGGAGGCGCGCCAGACAGGCAGCAGGACGAAGCGAGGCTAGTGGGCAGGCCCCACCATCGCGATGCATGCTATCCCGGTGTATGGCAGACCAGGGCTTAGATGGCCTTGCTCTTGACGAGCTCTGTGAACGGACAGCCGGCGGTCAGCGAGCGCACACGACACACGCGCCAGCTGCACCACTCACGCTCGATCTGGCTGACGGCGTCGTCGAGGATCTGCTTCTGCGTCTTTTCATCCCGCAGGCTGGCCGCGACCTTCTCGACGACGGACTTGGTGAGGGCCTTCTGCTCGGCCTCGCGCTCCTGCGCCTCGTAGCGCACCCAGCTGTCGAGCACAGCCTTGACGTCGGCGGCGAGCGCCGTGCGCTGGCGCAGCTCAAACGCCTGCTGCTCGGCCTGCGCCGTCTCCTTGGAGAGGGCAAAGAGCGCCTGCGTCTGCGACACGACGTCCTGCTGCTCCGACACGGAGTCGATGCGCGACTGCACGGCCGACGTGTGCGCCGAGCGGGCGTTGTTGAGGATGTCCGTCACTTTCTGCAGGTGCCAACGGACCATTCAGCAAGGCGTCCTGTCGCTGGTACGCCATCTACTGCAGCGCGCGTACCCGACCCCCCAAACTACCCTCTTGCGCGCCGCACACCCTCTCCTGTCCACTGCACACTCACCTTAATCTGGCCATCGGCCCACTCAGCGTACGGCGCAGCCAGCTGCTTGCCGACAAGCGTGGCAAAGATGAGGAAGCCCGCCAGCACGACGGTCTCCTCGTTGGCCACGTAGAGCTCCTTGGAGATGGCCAGCGCGGAGATGCCCGTGCCGAGCGTCACCCACGACGTCTTGCTGATGAGCGAGTTGCCCGGCAGCAGGTCGAGCAGCGCCGAGGCGCGCTTCTCCGGAGCAGCCTCTGCAGAGCGCGTGTCAGTGTGAGGGCCTGCGGGGCCTGAGCGGTACTACGTACTGTCGGAGTAGGCGCGCGTGCTGGAAGGACAGAGGGCACGATCAGCCAGGCGTGCCAAGGCACCCCGCAGCGGCACTCACCTCGGGAGCACGGCGACGGCACGCAGCATGGCGGGCGAGGGGCGCGCAGCGGTGCGCAGAGCACCTGCAGAGGGCCGAGTGTGAGCCCCGGGTCCAGCGATTGCCGTCGACACCACCCGCCAGCAGTCGGGCATCGCGCCAATCGCAGACGGCGGCGCGGGCGGTGCGGCGGCGCGGCGCACACGGCGCACTCACCGGCGCGGGGCAGGGCGGCGCGCAGACTCATGGCGAAGTGTGCGGGGCGAGGGGTGTGGGAGGGTGGGGGACAGGTGCGAGCTCGCTGCGATCGCCGGCGTCGTCGACGGCCGAGCGACCTTCGCGCGGTGCTCCCGGCCGCCCAGCGCCGCGCACCGCGCTGCCAGCATGCGCGCCACGGCCTGCAGGCGGCGGGCGTGCGACGGCGCCGCGCCGCGCCTCTGGCGGAGCGAGCCGGACGCTGGGCGCTGCCGCGGCACGTGACCCAGATTTTTGGCCTTGCCTTGGCCCAGAGCTGCGCGGGCGAGAGAAGACCCCGGTGCTGCTGCCTCTGCTGCCTGCTGCCCTCCGCCTACCTACCTCGCAGCCCTCCGGCCACCCACACACCATGTCGTCGCTCGCCGTTGCCAGCAGCAGCAGCGCGCCCCTCGCGCCCGCGCCGACGGCCTCGGCCAGCGGCGTCTCCTTTGCGACGCTGGCGCACCTCCTCGATGCCCGCCTGCTGCGGGCGCTGGCCCAGCTGCGCTTCGAGCGTGCCACGCCCGTGCAGGCCCGCCTGCTGCCGCTCGCGCTGGCGGGCCGCGATGTGCTTGCGCAGGCGCCGACGGGCAGCGGCAAGACGCTCGCGTATGCGCTGCCGGCCGTGCAGAGCATTCTCAAGGCAAAGGAGGTGAGTGGAGGCGGGCACAGCAGCATGATGCAGGGCGGCACTGGGCATACACGGCAAGCATCGTCTGGGAGCATGCGGCGATGCTTGGCCGAAGTGGATGTCTGCTGCTGCGGCACTGCTCCGCAGCTGGCGTACCGAGGTCTCTTGCTGACTCCTCGGCTGCAGGCTCTTCCGGCCACCTCGCCATCTCGGCAGGCTACGCGCGTGCTCGTGCTCGTCCCGACACGCGAGCTCGCTGCGCAGGTGGCAGACCACGTCGCCAAGCTGCTCGCATGTACCGAGCAAGACGACGTGCTCGTGCTGGATGCGGCGAGAGTGGGCGGCAAGGGTGTGCAGAAGTGAGTGTCACTGAGCAGCGGCTGGCCAGCAAGACCACATGCGCTGATCATCGTGTGGCCAGGCTGCTGCTGTCTTCTCGGCCAGACGTCGTGATCAGCACGCCCTCTCGGGCGCTTGCGCACCTCTCCTCTTCCGTGAGTGCACAGCACGCCTCGCTAGCATAAGCGCCTGCTGATCGCCGTGTTTCCAGGCGCTTTCCTTGAGCTCTCTGCAGCTGCTCGTGCTCGACGAGGCAGATCTCATTCTCTCATACGGCCACTCGTCCGACATTCTCGCGCTGCTCTCGTCCGGCTCGATGCCGTCGCGCTACCAGACGCTACTGCTCTCCGCCACGCTCGGCTCCGAGGTCCGCGCGCTGCTCGGCGCACACCTGCGGCGGCCCTTGACGCTGCGCCTTACACCGAGCATGCATGCCAGCGCGCTGGCGCAGTACAGCGTCTCGGTGCAGGCGCAGAGCGACAAGTTCCTGCTGCTCTATGTGCTGCTGCGTCTCAAGCTTGTGCGCGGCAAGGCGCTCGTGTTCGTCAACTCGACGGAGCGCGCGTACCGGGTGCGGCTCTTCCTCGAGCAATTCGGTATCAAGAGCACGGTGCTCAATGAGGAGCTGCCCGCTGAGAGCAGGTGCGTCTGCCGCTGCCCGTGTGCGCTACAACACAGCTGACCTCTGGCGACAGATTCCACATCGTGCAAGAGTTCAACAAGGGCGTCTACGACTACATCATCGCGACCGACGACTCGCGCATCGGCGCAGATGCCCGGCCAGTGCTGGCAGCAGACGACGAAGAGACGGAGCTGCCGGCAGGCCCAGAGTTCGTGCTCGAGGAGGAGGAGGAGCAGGATGAGGAGGCAGCTGTGGCCAAGCCTGACGAAGGCAAGGGCAAGAAGCGGGAGCGCGCTCAGGAGCTGGCAGAGGAGGATGCGGAAGAGTCCGATGGCGAGGACGCAGTGGCCGAGGCCGAGTCGGACGATGAGGCTGCGCCAGCTGAGCCTGCCAAGAAGCGCAAGCGGGACACAGACGCCAAGGGCTCGTCGGGCTCGCGGCGGAAGGGCAAAGGCGCCTCTGCAGAGTACGGTGTCTCGCGCGGCATCGATTTCGTCTCGGTGGCGTGCGTCATCAACTTCGACCTTCCCGTCTCTGCGCGCGGCTACACGCATCGCATTGGCCGCACTGCGCGTGCAGGCCACACGGGCACTGCGCTCTCCTTCGTCGTGCCGGGCGAGGTGTACGACTCGGAGCTGCGCACCAACGCCAAGCGCCACGCCGCCTGCCCCACGGCGCAGTTCGACGAGGAGGTGTGGAAGCGCATCGTCGAGAACCAGCGGCGACGCGGCGCGCAGGTCAAGGAGTGGACGTTCGACCGCAAGCAGGTCGAGAGCTTCCGCTACCGCATGGAGGATGCGCTGCGCAGCGTCACGCGCGCCGCCATCCGCGAGGCACGCATCAAGGAGATCAAGCAGGAGATCCTCAACTCGGAGAAGCTCAAGGTGAGCAGAGCTTGCGGCGCATCCGAGAGCTCCTTGCTGACTCCCTCTGCAGGCACACTTCGAGGACAACCCACACGACCTGGCGTACCTGCGGCACGACAAGGCGCTGCATCCGTCGCGCGTGCAGAGCCATCTGAAGCATGTGCCCTCCTACCTGATGCCGCGCATCGCCCGCCTGCGCCAGCCCGACGCCGCCACTGCCATCAGCGAGGGGAGCGACCAGCCGCTGGCCGGGCCCGCCGCCGAGGAGCGCGGCGTCGGCTATGTGCCGCTGCGCAATGCACCGCGAGGCCGAGGCTCGCGCGGTCGAGGAGGCCGTGGAGGCAGAGGCGACTCCCGCGGTGGCCGTGGCGGCGGCAAGAAGAGCGACCCGCTGCGAAAGTTCGGCAAGTGACGAGCCTCGAGAGATGCAGTCGGCACGTAATGGTACACTTCGTCACTGTCCGCCTCCGTCTTCACACACACACTGCGCTGTCTGCGCGTCAGTTCGGTGCGCATGAGTGACATTGCTGGTCTAGCGCATGCTGCCTGCAACAGCCGGCGCCTGCGAAGAGTAGTTGCGGCGGCGAGGGCGCTGCCCAGCTGCTGCCGTGCCGCTGCTGCTCGGCGGCGCGACAGCTGCCGGGCTAGAGGGCGCAATCGCGGGCCCGCCGCCTGAGCCGCCGAAGTAGTGCGATCCCACAAAGGCGCGATGCGCCGGCGCCGAGTTGGGCGAACGGGCAGCGATGGCCTCGGCGCTGCCGCTGCTGCCGCTCGAGGCGATCGACGGCGGCGCCCAGCTGCGCGAGCCGGCGACGATGCTGCTCGTCGAGCCCGAGTGGCGCGAGCGCGACGACGAGATGCTGGTGCGGCTGCCGAGACGCGCCAGTGGCGGCTGCGGCCCTATCACGCTGCCGCGGACGCTGCCGGCCGCGCTCTCGACGCCCACGATGCTGCTCTGCGGACTGTCGCTAGCTCGGCTGCCGGTGCGCTCGACGTGACGACGTCGGCGCCGCTGAGAGCCCGCCGAGCGGGTGCGCGGCTCGAGCGGGCCATGCTGATCCTCATCGGCCAGCGCAGAGGCAGTCTCGAGGAGGAGTGAGGCACGACGGCCGGGCACGCCAGGACGATAGGCCGGCACCACCTCGTCTGCCTCAGCAGCGGCAGCGTCGAGACGACCTGTCTCTGAGCTCGGAGAAGGCGCAGCGGGAGTGCCATAGGCCGACATGGCCGACTCGAGGGCTCGTGGCGAAGGCGGCGCGTCGGAGGGGGGCTTCGGCCACGTCGACGAGGCCATCCGGCGCGGAATGGATGGTGACGGAGAAGGTGACATGCTCGGCCGGCCGGCCGAGGCTTCCGATGCTGGGTATGGTTGGTCTGATGCGTGCAGGGGCGCAAGCGAGGTATTTGCGAGGGCGGCAGGCGCAGAGGCGGGTGCAGGGGCAGCAAGGGATGCAGAGGAAGCAGATGCAGCAAGTGCGAGCGGGGCAGGAGGCTGTTGGGTCGGAGCAGGAGGCGCATCCGGGGTATCTGCGTCTGTCGAGGGCACGTGGATCTCGGGCTCGGCCTGCTCGGCATGTGGCGGCTGGGCCTCGAAGATCGCAGAGGTGCCGTGCGGTGAAAGAAGCATCGACTGTTGGTTCGGAAAAGCGCCCGGCGGTGGCGGCGGGAGCGGCGAGCTGGGCTCTGGCCGCCTCTTCGGGATAGGCGCAGCAGCCTCGTGACCCGATGAGCTGTTGGATGTGCGCGAGAGCCGGCGCAGCTGTGCAGCATGCGCCTGTAGACTGCCGCGACGCAGCAGGCCAATGACGCTCTCTGCGCGGTCCTCGGGCATCTCGCCGCGACTGGCACGCTTGTCGAGCAAGGCACCGTCCAGCGAGAGGCCACGACCGCGTGGTGATGGCGAGGAGACCTCGATATCAGAGACGCCGTCTGCGCTGTGGAAGGAGGAGACGCTGTCGGAGAAGAGGTCTGCCGAGGCGTCGCCTTGCGTTGCCGAGAGACTGTCCTCGTCGGTGCGAGCCTCGGCCGACTCCCACAGACGCGCAGCGAGCGAGGCAAGGTCGGTGCTGGCGTCGGCGTCGATCATGTGGCCGCGCGCAGCGGAGGCGACGGCATGATAGAGCGCCTCTTCGAGCACCTGGCAGCGCGCCTTGAGGCCCTCCGCCTCTGCGCGGGCATCTGCGAGCTCGGCCTCGACTTGCGCGCACGCCATGGCCGCCTGCTTGACAGCCTCCATCATGGCAGCCTCCTCGTCGTCCGCTGCGCCGTTCTCAATGGCTACGCCTCCTGCGCCCTTGCGCTCGCGGCGCGTCAGCTCGGCGCGCAGGCTCTCGACCTCCTTCTCCAGGCCGATGGCGCGGATGCGTTGGCGGCGCACGGCGTCTTGCGCCTCGAGCTGCACGCGGCTCGTGAGCTCCTCGGTGGCTTCGTCCTGCCGCCGCTTCTCCTGCTCGAGCATCGCCAATGAGATGCGCGTCTCAGAGAGCGCGTGGCGCAGCGCCTCGGCGTCGTTGTCATCGACACCGCTCGGAAGGGCCACTGGGCGCGAGGCAGCAGCAGGCTTCGCCGACGTGTCCGGCACCACGCCCCAGCCCGCGGTCCAGGGCTGCGAGGGGTCGTCGTCGGTCTCGTCGAAGGCGCCGAGCGGCGGTGGGCGCACGACGCTGCCGCCGAAGGTGCCCTGGAAGCGACTCAGTGCCGCCGCAATCTCGGCCTCGCCCTTGGAGCGCTGCGAGTTGAAAGCCGACAGCCTGTTCGAAGGCGTGGAGACGCCAGCGAAAGGGCTTGGCGAACCAAAGGCAAGCGCGAGGGCGTCTGCGTTGAGCGTCTCGGATCCCGCGGCCGGCGCTGCATTCGCCAGACGCAGAGCTGGCACACGGGGCTCGCGCGCTGGCCGCAGAGCCTTGAGGATCGAGCGCGCACGCGACCGCGGCCTGGAGGGCGGCTGCCCATCTGGCGGGACGAGCGAGTTCTTGCGGCTTGCCGACACCCATGTATGCACGCCGTCGGTCTGTGTGACTGGGAAGGCCTCGGACGGCGCAAAGGAGAATGGCGGAGGTGACTTGAGCTTGGCCGACTGCAGAGGGCGTCAGCAGCGTACAGCGCGCGCGTCGGAAGCGCACTCACCTGTTCGTCGTTCTTGTCCAGCGCCCACTTCAGACCCGCCCGCAGCGCCGCAATCTCGTTTTGCGCATCGCGCAGCTGCCGAGCCGTCGCTGCGGCATTCGGTGCCGGGAGCAGCAGTGGGGCGGGCGCGAGCTGTGAGGCCGGCAGCGAGGCACGCCGCTCCATCTCGATCTCGCCATGCCCATTCAGCGACTCGAGCACCTCCTCGAGGTCCTCCTCCGCATGGCCCACGGCTGCAGAGGCTGACCCGCGTCTCTGCCGCGCGGCGTCCGACGGGAGCGCAAGACGGCCCAGCGCGCCCTCCGGCGTGCTGGCGCTCGAGTCAGGGCCGCCGTTCGAGGGCGCACGGGGCAGCGTGCCGCTGGAGAGGGCGCGCCCGAAGTTGTCGCGCGCAGCATGGTGCGAGGTGGAGCTGCGTGTGGGCGTGTCGCTGGCTCGCCGCTTGGGGCCGCCGCCGGTGCTGTTGCTGCTCACCGTGCCGCTGCGCGTGCGCGTGCTGGTGCTGGCGCGGCTCAGCGCATCGCCCCAGGTGAGCAGCGTCTGGCTGGCGGCGCTGGCCTTGCTGCTCGTGCTCGCCTCCGAGTGCGTGCTGGCCGTGCTCGTTGTGCGGCTGCGCGGCTGCGATGGCCGCGCGAGCGTGTGCAGGCTGGCGATGAGCTGTGCCTCGTTGCGCGGCCGCTCGCCGCCTGTGAGCTGCGAGAGCACCGACTGCACCTGCTCTGCCGTGCCGCGCGAGCTGTCTGCGTCGTGGCTGCGGCTGCGCGCCACGGCCGGCGGCCGAGGCAGCGGCGAGAGCGGCGGAGGCTGTGGCTGCGGCGGCGATGCGACGCTCCGCCGGCGTTCTGGCTGCGGCGTGGCGCCCTCGAACGTGAAGGAGGAGCGCGTGCGGGGCGATGTCGGCTCGGGCGACATAGCGAGGCCGGTGGCAGCGCTGCTGGAGCGGCGAGCGGGTGCCCGCGGCGGCGGCGTGACGGCGCTGCGGAACGTCGGCACGGAGCGGCGCGGCGGCGTGGCGGCCCAGGTGAGGGACGAGGAGCTGCTGCTGCCGGATGCCTCTGTGCGGTTGGCAAAGCTGAACTCGAGGCCGAGGCCGTGCGCGAGGAGCGGCAGCTCGAGCGCCGGCGCCTGCTCCTCGTCGATGCCGCGCGCCGCGGTGAGCGGCTCGCCGGCGAAGCGCGGCGCGGCGCTCGCGACGGGCGTGTCGTCGAGCCCGGAGGAGGGCATAGCGATGTGGGATGTGGTGGTGGGAGAAGCGTGGGGCGCGCTCGCGGCGGCGCAGACGTGGATGCGTGACGCCCGCGCAGCGTCGGGTGTGTGAGAGCTGCAACGCCACGGGCTCGCGGAGCCTGGCCGAATGAGGGGCCGCGCAGCCGCCGCCGAGCCGCCAGCCTGGCCGTGCGGGCGTGGCAGCGCACCCCGGCAGCGGCACCTGGTGCTGCCTCCCATCGCATGCGCGGATGATGCAGCACCACGCACTCCGCTCCGCAGATGCAGCGGGCAAGGTGAGCCCAGCGCGGGCAGCGCAGCGCAGCACGCAGTACGGCCTGCCTCGGACGCAGCGCCGGCGCTATCGCAGCTGAGCGCAAGGCGCAGCGCGGCAGCACCAGCATGCAGCCGGCACATCTCGGCGGCACAACGGCTGCACCGCAACAAGCGTGAGCCGGCGCGGCGGCGGCGCTCGGATGCGGAGCATGCATGCGCCGAGCCGCGCTCTCGCAGCAAGGCTCGCAGCTGCGGCACGGCGGCAGTCACCGCCTTAACACGAGGCAAGCAGCTCGGCCGCAGCGCAGCGCAAGCCAGGTTGCAGCGCAGAGCCAAAAGCAGCGCACTCCGCATCCTTGGCCCAGTCTGGACTCCGCCGGCCCCCCGTGCTGCGGCTGCGGCTGTGCTGTGCTGCGGCGGCGGCACGGCCGACGATCAGCATGCCCCCTCTCAGCACGCGCGCTGAGCTCGACGTCGCGCTGTGCGACCCTGCAGCGAGCATGGCCCCTCCTGCGCGCTGCTCCGCGCTCCCGTGCGGCCAACTCCGCAGCGGCTCGGGCGACGCATCGAGCGTCAGGCCGTGGAAGGAGCTCGTCTCGACACCCTGCATCGCGGGGCTCTCGCAGCAGCAGGACGTCCTCACGCTCGCATGTGCGCCTCGCTGCGCCTCTGACAGACGGGCATTCGCATGTGCAGCCGCACCGGCGGCGCAGCGAAGCGTCGTTTGCCCGTCCACGAGCATCCAAATCCTTCGCAGCGTCGGCGTGAGGAAGCACCTCATTCGTCCTCGGCCACTTCGCCGAACACGCCACGGACGCTAGCCTCTCTTCGCAGCTCACCTGCGTGCCTGGGCCCCTGCGAGGAGGAGCAGGCCGCGCTGCCGCAATGCCGCCGAGGTGCAGCAGCATTCTGCATCCTGCGTCGCTGCCGCTGCGCGGATGCTTCTCAACGTCGAGGCCCTGACCTCTCTGCTCTGTGCGATGCTTCCGCGAGCCGTGCCGGAGACCCCCGACGGCAGCGCAGTCAAGGGCCGTCGACATTCTGCACGCTGCTGATTCGATCGGACATCCCTGACAGCGCCGCAGCATGCAGATGCAAACGCCACGAGCAAGCGGCCACCTTGCCTCTCACGCTAGAGGAGCACGCTAGTGGCAGCAGCATTCGCCTCCGCCGCCGCCGAGGGCCGAGAAGAAGGGGGCCTCGGCGTCCATCGAGTGGACCGCGAGTGCTTCAGCCTGCATGGCTTCTATGCTCTGCTTCTGCGGCATTCCCGGCTCTGCGCTGCGGAACGTCGCACCTCCGGACGAATCGGAGGCCAGGAACACCCACTCGCCCCTTGCGCATTCTCTGGTTGGGCCTGAGCGTTGCAGACCGTCATCTCTGGGCTAGCACGCGCAAGTGCTCCTCTCCAGGGACTGTCCGTGCTCTGCTAGCCCAGTCTCGGCGGGCTGGGCATCGGCGTCGACCGCCGAGCACCGCCGAGGGCCATGCTCGGCGCCGCGCGGCGTCCCCGTGCGTGCGAGCATCGCATGCTGCACCCTTTCCTTTTCTTCCCATGCAGGGGCCGCTGCAGGTGCAGCTGTGCTCGTGCACGCATGATGGTGCAGGACATCAGATTCTATCTGCCGCCTCTTGCCCTCGTCGTTTGACTTGCCGCACAGCGACAGTGACGGCGACAGCGACAGCAGGCAGTCCTGCCTGCACATCATCGAGCGCAGTCAGATAGCGGAGGGCCCACAGCGGCGGCGCACTGCTGCGCCTCTCGCTCCGCCTCGGCCTCACCGTCGTGCGCCGCCGGCGAGCATGCCCGATGCATTCTGCGCCGCCTCCTCACCTCCAATCTCACTGCGCCCCGCCGTCCGTGCATTCGCCCGCTCACAACGGTCAGAGCTCGGAGAATAGCCGCAGCGGTCGCCGTGCGCCTCGATGTTCAGCAGCATAGAGAGTCCACTGAGGCGAGTCACGCCGGTCTCGGCCGCACGTGCGCTGAGGCATGTCTATACATTGCCGCCAGTCCAGCTCAAGGCCGCATCGAAGCCGCAAAGGGATCCTGTGAGCGCATGCCCGACTGCGCAGCCAGCTCGTGCTGCACGGCGCGGCTCCACGCCTCGCTACTGCAGAGGCGGCGGATGAAGCTCTGTGCTGCCGTCTCGGCCAGCGCGTGGCCAAAGGCAGACAGCGGCTGCAGCATGCTGAACGACGGCTCGTTGGGCGACTGCATCTTGCGCACGCGCTGCCAGAATGTCAGCTGGCGCGGATAGCGCACGGCACGGCTGGGCACAGAGCGTCAGCCTGAAACGGGTACGCCGCGCACGCTGAGACTCACAGGTCGGTCGACATGACGGCCTTGCCGCCCTCGCCGTCGAGGCTGAGATGCGATGCACGCTCTGATAGCGCCGCCGCCGTGGCATCCTCGAGTGTGAGCTTCTCCTCCACGACACGCCGCTCAATGTCGCGCCTGGCGAGGGCATGTCAGCTCGCGCGTCTCGTGCCGTGCTCAAGTCTACTACGCACTGTACCTCGATGCTCATCGCGATGCATACGGCGTCGTACAGACCGCCGATGGAGTCGACGAGTCCTCGCCCGTACGGGCCCTTGGGCTCTTCGGCCGGGTAGCCCGCCGTAGAGCCGGGCCCAGTCGCAGCAGGCGACTCCTTCTCGGCCACTGCCTCCTCGTGAGCGGCTGCCGCGAGCTTGTCATCCGAAGTCTCGCCGCCCACCGCCTGTTCCGCCTTGACAGGTGCTGCATCTGCTGCGCTGCTCTCGGAAGTGCCAGATGCTTCTGGCGCGTCGCTTTGCGGTGCGCTCGGCGAAGACTCTGCCGGCGCAGCACCGACCTGGATGACCTGCAGGGCAGAGAAGTCGCCCTCCTTCTCGATGCTCTGCGTGCGCCACGACAGCCGTAGAGGTCGTCGTGGTGTCGCATCCTTCTTCGCCTGAACATCGCTGCCCGCGTCAGCTTGAGCCGGCCCCTCGTCCACGGCGCTCTCGCGAATCAAGTCCTCGTCCGACTTGCAGCGCAGCCACGCCGAGAGCCCGCTGTAGACACGCCCGCCAGCGAGGTCCTCGATGACGTCGGGCGAGATGCCGCGCCCATCGCACACCTTCTGTTTGAACTGCTCGTACATCTCGTCGACGTGCAGGCTCGAGCGCCGCTTGGCCTCGTCGTCGAGCTCCTGTAGCGTCGAGGCGGTGCGAGAGCCTGTGAAGAAGGACTGGAACTGGAGCTGAAGGTGTAGCGGCGTGTTAGCACCGCGGATGGACAAAGAGCTACGGCAGCACTTACTCCGACGCGGTCGAAGAGCTTGCGCGTGAGTGTCGGGCGCAGGCTGGCGACGCCAATGCTGCCCGTAATGGTCTGCTCGCACGCCATGATGTAGTCGGCGCTCGCCGAGGCGTACACGCCGCCGCTGGCCGTGGCGTTGCCGTACGAGGCAATGACGGGCTTCTTGTGCTCCGTCTGGCAGCGACGCACAGCAGCCCAGATCGAATCGGAGGCCACGACGTCTCCGCCGCCCGAGTCGATGCCTGGAGATGCAGATCAGAGAGCGGCTCGGGCAAGTGGAAATAAGCGGTATGCGACTCACGCAGCACGACGGACTTGACCCGATCGTCCTTGCCAGCCTCTTGCAGGCCCTTGATCGCCTCGGCGGCGCTGCCGAAGCCCGAGGCATTCGAGATCGTGCCCTGCAGGTAGACAACGGCCACCTCGGAGTACTGGCCCTTCTTGAGGCTGTCTTCAAGGATGCCCTCTGCGCAAGGGAATGTGAGTACAGAAAAGGGCTGTCGCTGGCCACACTCGACTCACTGTAGATGGTCGCGTAGTGCGGAAAGCCCTTGAAGTGCGCCTCCTTGCCGATCTTCTCCCGGAGCTCGAAGGGGTAGATCGTGGCGGTGACGAGGCCTTCCTTGGCAGCCTCAGTCGCAGAGAATGGCCCTCGCATCGACAGCTCAATGACTTTGTCGGCCGCTTCGTCCGGGTTCATCTCGGGGTATCCTGAAGTGGACACTCAGCGCAAGAAAGACTATGTCGCATGCGCACAGCGTACTCACGCGAGACGCCAATGGCGTGTGCCATGCCGCGGTTCAAGTCGCCGAGCAGCGCAGCGGTGTTCTCAATCTGCGGCTCCGTCAAGGAGCCGTCCTCGGTGTACTGCGAGAGGAAAGACTTGTGCTCACGGCGCGCATCCGCATACAGCTGAGACAGCTGGCGTGAGCAGATGAGCGCACGCACGTGGCACTGGACCCACCTTGACGCCGAGCCAGTCCAGCGCACGCTTGAAGAACGGCAGCGTGCTCGACATGCCCACAAGCGGTACGGAGCCAGACGGCTGGATGTAGACGTGGTCGAAAGCGCTGGCCAGCAGGTACTGGCCCTGGCTCGTGAACGTGTCGGTCCAGGCGATGGTCGCCGGCAGCTGCTGGAGTGGCGTCTCTTCTGCCTTTGTCACCTCAGAAGTCGGCTCGGCATCACCTGTCTTGGGCTCCTGCGTGCTCTCGCCCGTGACAGCAGCCTTGGCGACTGCGGCGGCCTTGGTGGGCCCAGAGATCTCGGCACCGCCCGCGAGCGTGGCCGGCAGATCCTGGCGCAGCTCAGCGCGCACCTTGAGCTCCTCGTTCTTGACCGCCTTGAACTCATGCTGCAAAGGCATGGCGTTAGAGAGTGTGTGCGGCTACGACAGCTCAGCGACGCACGATGGCTTGCGTCAGCTCCTCGATCTGCGCCAGGCCCAGCGACGTGCCAGCCGAGTCACTCGGGACATGCAAGCCAGAGAAGTCGGCGATGAGGCCTCGAATGCGCGGATCCGTCTGCGCCAGCTTGAGCGTCTTGATGGCGTCGTACAGCTCCATCACCGCCGGCGGATCCTCGCCAGCGCCGGCGCCGCGCAGCAGCGTCAGCAGCTGCGTGGGGCTGCGTGTCTCGACGATGGCGCCGTCGTGCAGCTTCCAGAGCAGCCATGTCTGCAGGTAGCGCATCAGCACCACTCGGATCAGCACGTTTTGGGCGACTCACGTCGTTGTGGACGTAGTCGGCCTTGCTGCACGCGGGGCCTGTCTCAGCAGGGTGGCTCGATGCCGATCTTCACGCAGCAGACTCACGCCTTGATCGCCTTGCCATTCAGATAGCTGACCACCGAGAAGGTCACTGCCACGCCAAAGAAGATGCCGCGCCGCCGGCGCCAGCCCGTGGCGGCAAAGCGGGCGGGCGTCGAGGCGGCGAGGCGGCCGGCCGCAGCGGCGCCGCGCGGGAAGCGGCGCGCGAAGATGCCCTGCTGGGGCGCAGAGGGCGGGGGCGAGGGCGAGGGCGAGGGACGCGGCGCCGCGGCGGCCTGGCTGCCTGCTGCGCCCGCGCTCGCGCCAGACGATGGCGTGGAGCTGCTGCTGCTGCCGCTGGGTGGCGGCTCGGTGGACGACATGGGCAGGCTGGGCTGGTGTGGAGGTGACGAGGACGGGTCCAGGAAGCGGCGTTGCTCGCGTGAGCGGCGCTTGGGCCGCGCGGCCTTGCTTTGTCCCACGGCCTCTGCCCGAAGCCCGCGGCTGTGCGGCCCGGCGCCCGTCGGCCGCTGCGGCCGAGCGCGCCTCCAAAAAAGTTGCCCGCCGCCGCCGACCGTCACCTCTCACTCCCACTGCCGACTTTCGCCTACGCCGCACCTCACTCTCGCCGCCTTTGCACAGCCCTGTGCACATCAAGACTACGCGTCGCATCGCATTGCATCGCACTGGGCCCGCGCCGCAATGTCGCTCGCCGCCCAGCTCGCCGAGCTCTCGCGGCCGGCGCCCAAGCCGCTGACGCGCGACGTGCTGGCCTCGGACGACGAGGCAGCCTACTCTGGCGGCTCGGACGATGACGATGCCGGCGGCTCATCCGACGACGGGCGTGCCGAGCCGAACCGCGATCACTACGAGAAGGTAGCGCGCTCGCAGCGCCGCCGAGCCGCGCTCGACGAGACGGGCACGCTGCGCTCGGCAAAGTACCGCGGCGAGACGGTCAGCGCGCGCAAGGCGCTCGGCGCCGAGGAGAGCGACGAGGCGAGCGACGACGAGGAGGAGGCCAGCGAGGAGTCCGAAGAGGAGCTCGAGGGAGACGAGGACGAGGAAGAGGCAGGCAGCGACGCTGGCCCGGCAAGGGCACCCTCGCCGCCCTCGCGCGTCAAGTCGCTGCGCTTTGCCGATCCTTCCTCCTCGGAGCAAGCGGCTGATCCACGCACGCTTGCCGGTGCGGCGGCGTCGGATGCCGCGCTGCTGGCCAGCCTGCGTGCACAGAGCGCTGATGACGCCGAGCGTGGTCGTGCGGTCCGCGAGCTGCGCGCGCTGTGGGAGGGTGCGCTGGCGATGCGCATTCGGACGCAGGCGTTTGTGCGTGGCGCTGGACGGATACGAGTGAGTGCACTGCAGCTGAACGAGAGCAGCGCGAGCTCGCTGTAAGCTCACGCTCTCCGCACAGCCGACCGCTTTGAACGCTCTCCCCGACTTGGACGACGCCGCACAGTCATCACACGCCGAGCTTCTGAGCACGCTGAGCGAGCTCGAGGCAGGTCTCTTCGCCACGCGTCACTCGCTCGTCTCTGCAGACGAAGACCCCGACCTCGCTGAGGCATACGCGGGCGCATCCAAGAAGCGCAAGCGTGCCTCGTCTGCCGATGCCGAGGCCGCGCATCTCGCCAGCGTCGACAGCTTTCTGGCGCTGCACGACGAGACGAGTCGGCGTGCCTGCACTGTGCTGGACGCCTGGAGCGTCGGCGCGCAGGCTGTCGGCGCCAAGGAGCTGCGCGCCGTGAACCGCGGTGCGGGCGAGCAGGTGCGCACGGCCATGAGCGGCGATAGCGCAGAACGCCTCATTCGGCGCTCGCGCATCTGGCGCGGCGATGCACGCGTGGGCGAGGAGCAGCGCGAGCAGAACGACGAGGCGGACCCGGAGGTCTTTGACGACTCGGACTTCTACGCCACGCTGCTGCGCGAGCTGATCGAGAGCAAGGGAGAAGGCTCGAGTGGTGCAGGTGAGTGTGGCATGCAATGAAGACCCTCGCTGCGGTGCTGACGTGACGCTGCAGACCCCTCATTAGGCCTGCCGGTGCGGTCAAAGGCGCCGAAGCGGGCCGTGGACACTCGTGCCTCAAAGGGTCGGCGGTTACGGTGCGTGTTTGAATCACATCGCCTCAGCGAGCACAAGCTGACTGTCTGCTTCAGCTACGAGGTGCACGAGAAGGCCGCACACTTCATGCCGCCCGTGCCGCGCGAGACATGGACGACGGAGCAGCGGCAGCGCCTCTTTGCGCAGCTCGGCGGGCTGCGCATCGAGCCGACGGCCGTCGAGGCAAAGAGCGCGGCAGCGCTGCCAGAGGTGGACCTTGGCGGGCTGCGTATGTTCGGCTGAATGGCATCGCTCGTCACCGGGCTTGGAGTGTGTGATGCCAGTGGACAGAGCGAGCTCGCAGCGTGTGAGAGCTTTGGCTCAGAGTCCGCACACACGACAGAGCCAGAACCACCTCGGCCGTGTAGGCGACACCGCCAGCTGGCTCTACGCCAGAGCTGCCTTGACTCACATTGCTCTGAATCACTGGCACTCTGAGTCCCGCGAGGCATTAAGTATCGGCATGTATTGGGCGTCGGCAAGTCAGGGCACAGTAAGCGTCTGGAAGATGAGTAGCGCGGCAGGGCAGCGTCAAGCCTCTAAGCGGCTTGCACAGCTGTCCGCACGAAGCAGAGTCGAGGGGCCGGCGCTCTACGACGAGTGCTCCTTGTGCGCGCCGTGCTGGTGGTTGTGCGTGCCGTCGCAGGCGCGCGACACGCCCAGGTCGTGCAGGCGGCCCGTGGAGATGTCGTGGATCCAGCTGGCGCGGGCATCGGTCAGTGACAGGCCTACCAGTGCAGCAGAGTGCCGCATCCGCCGCAGTGCTGCATTCCCGCGCGTGACTCACCCGTGCACCTCGATCTTGGCCGTCGGCTCGCCGGGGAACGCCGTCTTCTTGCCCTGCCAGTTGGCCTTGACGACGTCGCTCTCGATGATGTTGTCCATCTGCGCGCGCACGTTGGCCTCGGTGACGAGCTGCAGCAGCTCCGTGTCGCTCTTGCCCTTGGCCTCGTCGGACGCCGCCACGTCGCCCGAGAGCTTAACCAGCGGCGTCAGGTAGCGCGCCAGCGACGACGAGGGCAGCGCCTGCGACGACTTGGCCGTCTGCAGCGCGGCGGCGACACCACCGCACGACGTGTGCCCGACGCACACGACTGGCAGCAGCACGTCAGCTGCGGCAGGTGCTGCACGGGCGCCGCAGCGACTCACTCTGCTCGACGCCGAGCACCTCGACGGCGTACGTGAGCACGCTGTTGGCGCTGTCGTCGAGCTGGTTGAACTGGCCGGCGATGTTGCGGTGGACGAAGATCTCGCCGGGCTTGGTCTGGCACACGACGCCCTCGGGCACGCGCGAGTCGCTGCAGCCGATCCAGAGGATCTTGGGCGTCTGGCCCTTGGCCATGGCCGCCAGCAGCTCCGGCTCGTCGGTCTCGGTGGCGTGCACCCACGACTCGTTGCGCGAGAAGATGCTCTGCAGCAGCTCACGCATGGCGGGCGAGGAGGCGCGGGGTGTGGTGGTGCTGGGCTTGGTGGGCGGCGCCGGCTTGGAGCTGGCGGCGGAGGAGCAGAGGCGGGCCGGTGTGGAGGCGAGGCGAGTGGTGGTGGCGGCGGTGGTGGTGGTGGAGAGGCAAGGACGGATGAGAGCAGCGAGCGTGCGCGACATTCGCGGAGGGCGAGGCAGTGATGAGGGGCGAGAGCTGAGATTGCGCATCGGCCGTCGGCGAGCAAGAGGCTTGAGATAGAAGCTCTCGGCGCCCGGCGCTGGCCGCTCGCTGCGTTGGGGCGCGCCTCGCGGGCACCGGCGCGCGGCGACCGAGGCAGCAGAGCAGCACAAGCTCCCATCGCGCCGCGCACGGCTCCGGCGTTAAACTTGGCTCGGCGTCGGCGCAGCAGCTCGCCTGCGTTCTGCTCTGCTGCCTCCTGCTGCCGCTTCCTCCTGCCGCCGGCCACAGCGATCCGGCGGCGCAATCTCGCCCGGCGTGCACTCTAAAATGTAATCGAGAGCAGAGCCAAGCCGGCGCCAACGTGGCACACGACAGACGATCGCCAGCCAGCGCAGGCAGGCCGCGAGGATGGCCGCGGCCGTTGCGTTCGCTGCGTCTGCACGATGAATTCAACAGCCTCGTGCACGAGCAAGATCTGCAGCGCGGCCGCTCGCGCTTGCTCGCGAAACGGCGCAAGAGCAAGCCTGCCTCGCTCCGCCAGCTCCGGCCGAGCAAGATGCTGCCGCGTTCGGAACGCGGGAGTCGCTGCGGGCGTGCGTGCCTGCTGCGTGCCCCCTGCCAAGCACGACGCCCAACGCCCGGCGCTCACTCGTCAGGGGGCGGCGTCGCAGATGCGGCACGCCGAGCTTTTCTGGACTTAGACTCATCACGCAGCACTTGGAAGGCAAGACTGCCACGTGTGCTCGCACTGCTCAGGGGCATGGCTGGGGGGCGTCACGGCCGGACCGCACCACGTGCCCGCGGCGCCAGATCGGGAGCTGGCGCGAGCAAGCCTCGAGATCGGCGCGCTCCAACAGGTGCAGCGACAAGTCGCAGTGCATCAGCACCGCTGCGGTACCGTGGAATGCTGTAGTGCGAAGGAGCAAAGATGGCGGGAGAGAAGTCGACGCGACAGGCGGCTCCAGACGCAAGAGGATTCGTGACGGTCATCTATTGATAGTCGCAGCGCCAAAGACGCAGTGCGCGTGAGTAGTCGTGAAGGTACTAGCGGGGCTTCTGTGATGGGTAGACATGTACAGGAGTCATGAGTGGATGCAGAGTACACTGGCTAGCGAGACGAAGAGACGGAAGGAAGAGGGACGCAGCACGCCGCTCATCGGTTGGCGAAGCGCAGGAAGCGCGCCGCAACGAGCGTGGCGACCATGTTAAAGGCGATGAAGGCAACGACGACGCCGATGTTGCGGCCGCGCTCGCTGAAGGCAATGTCGAGGTTGCCGAAGAAGTCACTTCCGGCGCCTGAGGTTGGCTCGAGTCAGATACAGAGGACTTTGACCGCGCAGCAGTTCTCTCTCTCTCTCCCTCTCCCTCTCGCTCTTCCCTTCCTTCTGCTCACCGTATTGGCAGTACAAACATCCAGTGCCGGTGGCATCTGGGTTGGCGAGGTAGCCCGTCGAGCGGGAGAGGAACTCGCCGGCCCACTGCGCGCAGGTTTGCTGGCCCGGCGGCTGGAACGTGACGAACTCGGAGGCCTCGCAGCGGATGTCCAGGCCCTCGAGCTCGTTGGTGATGAGGCCCGAGATGACGTACGTGACGGGGTTGAGCCAGTACATCCTGTAGCGGGATATGGGGTCAGCAGTGGGCAAAACAATGACCAAATCAACACTCGCCACTGGCGCCAGAAGTAGGTGATCTGCGGCTTGGGGATCGTGACGCCGCAGAAGAGCGAGAAGATGATGATGATGAACGGGTTCCACACCGACGCGAGGTAGATCGACGGGTTGACGGCGGCGACGAGCTGGCCGAGCGACGTGGCGAAGAACTCGACGAGGAGCAGCATGGCGAAGAAGTAGCCGGCGCGGTCGGAGCCCGTCTGGAAGCCGGCGGTGAAGTAGAAGAGGAGGAAGTAGACGAGCGCGCAGGCGATCGAGTACGGCACCTCGGCGAGGATCTGCGCGCTGGCAAAGACGGTGCCGCGGTACATCTTCGAGCTGTCCTCGCGCATGAACGTGCCGCGCGCCATGATGTAGAACGGCTCGATCTGCGCCAGGATGAGCGCGGGGAGCACGGCGACCATGAAGAGCGAAAAGACGCGGTACTGCAGCGTCTGCACCGAGTTGCCGAGCTGCAGGAAGAGCAGGCCGGTGATGAGCGCGATGGCCGCGTGCTGGAAGAGGCGCGTGAACTGGTAGTCGGGCTGCCGCCACGAGCTGACGGCCGTGCGCCAGAAGACCTGCTTGAGCTGGTACATGTAGGGCGTGGCGTACTCGAGCACCTTGCCCTCGTCGCGCGGGTTGGCGAGCGCGTGCTCCTTGATCGCCTCGATCTCCTTGAGGTTCTCCTGGTACAGCGTGCTGTCGAGGTACACGTCGGCCCAGTCGCGCGGGCCGACGCGCTTCTGCGAGCCGGCACCGATGATGTCGAGCATCGCCTCGGCCGGGTTCGCCGTCTTCTCCATCGGCGCGCCCTGCTCCTCGAAGTACTTGACGAGCTCCTGCGAGTCCTTGCCCACGGGGCCGAAGTACACCGTCTTGCCGCCGCGCTCGAGGAGCAGGAGCCGGTCGAAGTTCTCGAAGAGCAGCGACGACGGCTGGTGGATGGTGCAGCTGCGAGACGCGCGCCGTGAGCTGGGCTGTCGTAGCCGATGGCCGCTCAACTCACAGAATGGTCATGCCGGCGGCGGCGAGCTTACGCAGCAGGCGCACGATCGTGTACGCGCCCTGGCCGTCGAGGCCGGACGTCGGCTCGTCGAGGAAGAGGAGCTGGTTCGGCTTGGCGGCGAGCTCGACGGCGATCGTGGCACTGACAGGGAGAAGGGGGTAAGAGATGTGTCCAAGAAGAGACGCAGTTGCACTCACCGCTTGCGGTCCGCGACACCGAGGCCGAAGCCGGGGAAGCCGATCGACGCGTTGGCAATGTCGTCGAGCTCGAGCAGCTCGATGATGTCCTCGACGAACTGGTCCTTCTGCTCCTGCGGCACGTCGTACTCCTGGCGCAGGTTGGCCGAGAAGCGCAGCGCCTCGCGGACGGTGGCCGTGTGCTCGTGAATGTCTGGAGATGGGAGTGTGAGCGAAGGGGTAGGAGGTGCAGGCCGCTCGACACTCACCCTGCTGCTCGGCGTAGCCGCAGCCGCGCTGGAAGGCGAGGCCGACGGGCTTGCCCTCGATCAGGCGGTCGCCCTCGATCTTGCCAACCGACTTGCGGTCAGCGAGCACGTCCAGGAGCGTCGTCTTGCCGGCGCCCGAGGCACCCATGAGGGCCGTGAGCGTGCCGGGCTTGCAGTAGCCGTCGACGGAGTTGAGCAGCTGGCGGTTGCCGCCCTTGACGGGCACCGTGTAGCAGAGCTTCTCCCACGTGAACGCGCGGCCCTCGACGTCGATCTTGACCTCCTCCTTGTCGGCCTGGGCGCGGCGCTGCTCGAGGCGCTCGTCGAGCTTCTTCTCCTCCTTGTTCGGCTTCTTCTTGATGACCATGGCCGCGTTAAAGCCGCCGCGGGGCAGGAACTCGAGGCAGGCGCACGTAATGGCCGTCAGGCCGAGGAAGAAGATGATCTCGATGCCGAAGTTGAGCCAGAGGTGCCAGCGCTGGTAGCCAAACGAGGCCCGCAGGTAGTCCATGCCCGGCACGATGGGGTTGCCGGGCACGGAGCCCGCGAGCGTGCACACCTGGTTGGCGCCGAGGCCCGCCGGATAGCCCGCACCCGTCGGCACGATGCTCTCGCAGAGCAGGTCGAGGCGCATGAACTCGTTGATCATCAGTGCCTCGAAGCCTGAGAGGGAAGCTGTGAGCTGCTGTGCGTCTCGCAGGCCCGCCGCGGCACTCACCGTAGTAGACGGGGTTGATGTAGGAAATCCAGAAGAGCCAGCGCGGCATGGCGTCGCGCGGCGCCACGTAGCCGGCAAACACGACGAGCGAGACGATGATCACGGCGGCCAGGCGCGCGGCGACGTCGTACGACTCGCACACGGTGCCGAAGAGGGCAAAGAGCGCGCGGAAGGCGTAGTAGGCGATGATGACGTTGATGAGGAACGTGAAGAAGGCGCCCGCCGAGTAGTGCAGGCCGGCCATGAAGTAGACGATGAGCGAAAAGGCCGTCAGGCGCGGCACGCCGAGCGGCACGTCGGCGGCGAGCTGCGAGATGGTCAACGCCGACGGCCGGAAGAAGGCGAAGCCCGTCTGTCGGTACAGGATCGGACGCCCGCCCATCTGCGTGGGCAGCTCGCTGAAGGCCGTGAGACTGTTGAACAGGAGCGAGATGAAGAGGACACCGCCGCGCGTAAAGGCGCCGGAGCTCGTGACGGGAAGCTGGTAGAAGAGACTGCCGGCAATGAGCGCGACGGCGATGGCCGTGGCGTAGGAAACGAAGATGTCGCGCTTGTCGCCGATGATCATGCAGAACTGCCGGATGGTGAGGGCGCGCACCTGCTCGAAGAAGCTGACGGTGTACTTGCTCTGCTTGCGCACGCCGCGCGCCTTGTCCTCGGCGACGGCCTGCTTGAACTCCTCGGTCCAGCTCTTGTCCTGCGCCACCTCGGCCTCGTAGTCGACCTTGGCCTGGTGCATGCGCTTGTAGATGTCGCTGTTGCGGAACGCCTCCTCGAGCTGCTCGGGCGTCGAGGGCGTGTTGCTCTCGTCGTGGCCCTCGGCGAAGCGGCGCGTGTACTTGTCCGTGCAGCCCGTGCAGTAGTCGGCGCTCGTCTGCCGCGGCATGTCCTCGAAGCCGAGGTCGATGAAGTACTGGCGCGCCTCGGTGCGCGGACCAAAGTACACGCAGCGGCCGTCGTCGATGACGAGGACCTTTTCGAACTGCTCCCAGATGCCCTCGCCGGCCTGGTAGAGCGTGACGAAGGTGGGCGTCTGGATGATGTTGGCCAGCACACGCAGGCTCTTGGCCAGGTCGAGCGCCGTCGAGGCGTCGAGGCCGCGCGAGGCATTGTCCCACGCGAGAATCGAGGCGCGCGAGCAGAGCATCTCGGCGATGGAGACACGCTTGCGCTCGCCGCCGGACACGCCGCGCACAAAGGCGTCGCCGACCTTGGTGTCGCGCGTGTGCTCAATGTTGAGCATCTTGAGGATCGTCGTGAGGATCTGCTGGCGGTAGTCGTGCGCCGTCTGGCCCTCGACGCGCTTGCCGGGCGTCTTGAGGCGCAGCGCCAGCATGATCGTCTCGGCGACGGTGAGCGTCGGGTAGTGCTGGTCGTCCTCCTCGTTGTACACGAGCTCGCCGCGGTAGTGCTCGGCAAACTCGCCGCCGTCGATGCCGCCGTACTTGATCGAGCCCTTGACGGCGCCGTAGCCGCTGTGGTTGTGCGTGATGGTCTTGAGGAACGTCGAGCAGCCGGCGTTGGGCCGGCCGAGCACGAGGCACATCTCGCCGGGGCGCAGCGCGCCCTCGAAGCCCGTGAGCAGCTTGCGCTCGCCAAAGTCGAACAGCTTGACGCCGAAGAGCTTGAGCAGCGTGAAGACCGGGTAGCCGAAGTTCTGCACGACGGCGTCGGGGAAGGTGCGCACGCCGAGCGTCATGCTGCCGGCGCCGATGACCTCGACGTTGTCCCACACGACGCCGAGGCGCTTGCGCTTGATGCCGGCGCGCGACGACTCGCTGGTGGTGGAGGCGAGGAAGTCCTCGAGGTTGAAGTCGTCGTCGTCGGCCTCGAGGTCCTTCTCGCCGCGCGCCGCACGGCTCTGCTGGCTGAGGGTGCGGCCGAGCTCGGCGAACTGCGCCTCGGCCTCCTTGACGTTGACGCCGCCGGGGCGGCCGCCCTCGCGCGGGTGCGAGTCGTCGCTGTGCACCGACGGCGCCGCCGTCGTGGCGCGCGTCTCGGGGCTGGGCGTCGCCGTCAGCGCCGGCGCGGCCTGGGGCGCCGTGGCCGGAGCCGGGCCGGCGGCCGTGGCCTGGCCGTTGTCGGCCATTGGTGGTGAGAGAGAGGGAGAGGTGTCGCTAAGAGAGAAGCTGCCTGCTGGGTGCGGTGCAGGAGCGCAGCGCAGGACGCTGGGCGAAGGACGGCGACGGGCGCTTGCGAGAGGGCCGCAGAGGGTGTTTGTGTGAGAATGGGCGAGAGCAAGAAGGCGCGAGCGTCTTATACGTCTGCCGCTGCGGCTCAGCTTACGGCCGCGTGCCTGCCTTGGCTGCTGCAGCTGCGATGGAGGGCGGCGCCGGGCGCTTCTCGCATCGGGAGCTGGACGCCGTTGCGCAACGCGGCGCTGCGGACGGGCCGTGCTCGCTCTCGCAGCGACGCGGCGCGGCCGGATGGCGCTTCCGGCCGCCCGGCGTGTTGACTGTGCAAAAAGCAGCGCGGCACGCGCGCAGTGTGCTGGTGGCCGCGCACCACTTTGCCCTCGCTCGCGCCGGCCCGCGGGTTGCGGCGGAGTGCCACATGCGCACGCCAAGCGTCGCCCCTCCGCGGGAGCGCTGCGCCGTCCGACAGCGGCACCGCAGCGGCGGCGGAGCTTCCGCACCGCGTCGCACCGACGTCGACAGCACCAGCACCAGAGCGGCAGCAGAGCAGCGAGTGAGCTCGTGCGCCATCTCACACGCCGACGCAGGGCAGCGTCAGAAGAAGCAGCAACCGCCGGACTGGGCCGCCGCCGCGCGCGTGCCTCGGGGCGCCACTGCCGTTTGATGACTCGCGCTGAGCTGGCCCTGGCCCTGGGCGCGCCGCAAGCGTGCCTTGCCTCTCCCTCCGCTGCGCCTCCTGATGGCGGCGAGCACGCCGGCCCGACGCCTCTCAATTGCACGCCTCGTTCGTGCGCTGCTGCCTGTCGAGCTTGCCAGCCTGCCTGCGCACTGCTGCCGACCCCGAGCGCTGAACACGCAATTTCGATGCGAGAGCGAGGCGCCGCGCACCGAGCGCGAGATCTGCCGCACGGCTGCGCTCTCCCGCGTTGGCGCTCCGCCGCATCTCGTCCGCGCAGCGGGGCAGCAGAGCAGTCGCCTGCTTGCGGCCGAGAGGCTCGTTCATGCAGATGACGCACGCTGCGCTCGCCGGCGGCCGGAGCGACGTCGATCCCCCGCCTCGCGCCCTCGCTGCTCGGCTCGCCTGCTCGTGCCCATCCGCTGATCTCAGAACTCTGCGCCCCGCCAAGAAGCGAGGAACGACCGAGAGCGGCGACGGCGAATCTGCAGCGCGCGCCGTGGAGCCGACGAGGACGCCTCTTGATGCGGAGCACTCGCTCCGACGCTGCGCTCAAGACGTTGGAGCTGCGCGGAGGCGGGAGAGCGGCCGCTCGCCCTCGGCTACCGCGACCCGAGGGAAGCTGGCGCACCAAAGCGTCGGCCTGAGCGCAACACCTCCTCGCGTGCCCAGCACGCAACGCCGCCAGTCTCGTGACTAAGTCCCTTCATGCGTCCTCCCCTTGCGCTGGCTGCGGTGTACCCTGCAGCTTCCAGCAGATCTGTGCTGGGCGCCAGAGCGGCAGCCACGGGCTCGGATCTTCTCGAGTCAGCGCCCCAAGACGCCGCAGCGCCGGGTGCTCCCATCCGCTCCCTTCTTGCCTCCGCCGTCGCGCAGCCGGACCCCGAGGCCCGCACTCCGCCGCCGCCGCCGCCGCCGCTGCACCGCATTTCTCGTCTCGGCGCTCGGCCGGGGCGTCAGACGGCGCGGCTCGGCCCCTATGCTTGCGTCCTGCTGCTCGCTTTGGCAACGCCACAATGAGCTTAGCAGCAGATTGCACGAAGAGAGGGCGTCGTATGAGGCGCTTAACTCCGTGCCTGGTGCCTGAGCATGCCCGAAGCTGACGTGCAGCCTCGGCCGCCGGCGAGGTCAACGAGGAGAAGGCCGAGGTGCGGAGAGGGCAACACGCGGTGTCTTTCTGCTCTCCACGTCGAGTCGATGCGAGGTCAAGCCACGAAGAAGCCGCTGCTCTCGGCGGGAGCACGGGACATCCCCCCGCACTCGAGGCTCGTCTGCGCGAGCCGGGCCCAGCAGTCGGCTGCGACGAAGTCCGAGCGGCAGCATGCCTCTTGCCCACGCTTCGCGCGACGGCGGCCCTCCTCAAGGGCCATGAGCCCAGGGGTCTCTGTCAGGAGCTCGGCTCCGAGCTCCGCGCTGAAGACCTTCCCGTCTGGTTCGACTGCGGCAAGTGCTGTCGCTGCTGGCTGTTGCCCAACCCGCGACTCTTCTTGCACCTCGAGCGGCTGAGGTACGCCGAGAGCACGCGGGTCATCAGCACCCAGTCGACTTCACGCTTGCGCCCGGTCGCGGATACCCTTCCGCTCAACATCGGCCGGTGCTTCACACTGACGCAAGCACGAGAGTTTGCCGGCTGGCACGTCTCTGCCGCATCATTAGGGTCGACAGCCTGAGCATGAGCTCAGCAAGACGAGCTCGAATCAATGGGCGCGCCCAGGCTCCTCGTCTGGCCTCGCCGAGCCCGGTCTGGCCTTCCCCTTCAAGCCGCCTCGTGCCTCTCCATCTTGCGCATCGCTCTCATCGGCAACACATGCGTGCTGAATAGCGCTGATGGGGATGACGGAGGCGCTGTCGTCGCGCGCTGGTGCCTAACGTGCCTACTTGAGGTACGTGCAGCCGCCCGCCGGGCAGCTGCCCTGCGCTGTGCGTCTCCTCTCGGCAGGCTACATCATCGTCTCGCAGCACCGCCAATTGTGACGGCAATAGATCCGCGATGCAGCCGATGCTGCACGAGCGACGAGCTCAGAGGAGCAGCCGGACTAAGTCACAGAGACCACGCGGTCGTGCGTGACACAGAATCGCATTCGCGCCCTCGGTGCGCGGGGCCCCGCGATGGGTGCTGCCTAGTCGAGGTCGAGCTCCTCCTCCGCCGACGCAGCAGGCGCCTCCTGCTGTGCCCGGCTCTGCGGCGGCGGTGGCTGCCGGACGGGCGCCGGAGCTGGCGCACCGCCAGCCGCCGCGCCTGCGCCGCCGCCGCCCATGAGCGAGCTGAGCATGTCCTGCATGAAGTTGCCCTGCGGCCGTTGCGGGCGGATGTCGAAGTAGAGCGTCGAGATGGGGTCGATGGCCTGCGCACAGGGTGAGCGTCCGAACACGCGAGAGCTCGGAGCAGACGCACCTCGCCGACAAAGGCCTCCTCCTGCAGCGCGCCGCCCTCGCGCTCGTACTGCGCCACGAGCTGGCCCCACTGCTGCTTGAGCGCGTCGGGCACGGGCGCGCCCGTCTTCTTCACCGACACGGCCTGCGCCACGAGGGCCAAGAGCATCTGCGCAAAGTTGAGGTCGGCGTTGCCCGTGAGGTAGAGCTGCACCTGCTCCGCCGGGCCCGTGCCGGCCGGCGGCGAGAAGGCCTTGGGGTTCGGCGTCGTGGGCAGCAGGAGCGTGGGATGTGCGGAGCAGAGAGCAGAGACGTAGGCGGCGAGGAAGGCGCGCGAGGCGGTGAGGGCGCGCGCTTGCAGCAGCCTGCGAGGAGCGTCAGGATGCCACCACGAGTGTGAAGCCAGGCGCACTCACGGCAGCAGGCCACGCAGCGCCCAGCGGCCGGCGTCTGTCCGCAGCGCAGCAATTTTCTGCGCACCCGCATCGGTGGCCTGCGCCTCGAGCCAGCGCAGCTGCATGGCCGCAAAGCGCTTCGGCGCCTCGGCGTCGAACCACTTCTTGGCGTCGGGCACGCTCGGCGGCTGCGCCGAGGCGTGCAGGTAGTGCGTCTCGGCGGCGTAGTAGGAGCCCTCTGCTGCGTGTCAGCCGAGCTGGGAACGATCAGGCAGAGCGCGACGCACCAGCAGCGAGCACGTCGGCAATCGCCAGGCGCAGCAGTCCATCGCCGAACGGCATCGACGTCACCTGAATCGACCACCTGCGCGCGCGAAGTCAGCAGTCATGGCCGAGAGCAAGAGTGCAGGAGGAGACGTGCCGCGGAAGCACCAAAGCAATCTCTCTAGCACTGGGCGGCGATCATTGCCCGCGCAGATACAGAGCAGCGCAGCCCTTCGGTACGACTACTGGCACGTCTCCAGCTCCCGGCGCCTCTCTTGCAGGTGTGTGACAGCTTCCCGCTACGCCGCCAAACCCTGCGCTTTTCCCGCCGCCACACTCGCCGCCGGGCATACGCACTTGATGGCAGCGTCGAGGAGCTTCTTGCGCCAGAAGTCGGGCGCCGAGAGGCGCAGCAGCGTGGCGATGCGCTCTGGAGCGCGTGAAGAGGAATGAGCGAGATGAGCGAGCAAAGCAGAAGAGACGAGTCGCAGCGACGATCGCGCCACGTGTCGCCGACTGGCCGGGCGCCGACCTGCGAGCCTAGGATGCCGTAGACGCACCGGCCTGCCGCCATGTGCGTGCTGCCAGCCGGAGATCTCACGTCACCCCGCTGACCACTCGCTCTGTGACTCTGCGCATCACCTGCAGACTGGAGGGACGCAGACAGCGCAGCTGGCCGCCATTCGTCGCCTCGCCTTCTGCGTGCGCCGCTGCCGCCGCACACGTCTCATGTTCCTGCCGGACCGGAGCCTCGTGCGCCGCAGTGCCGCCTGCTGCCGCACCTCGCCGCCCTGCCGCACACGCGCCTGCCACTCACCGCGGGTCTCCGGCGAGCTCTCGAGCGCGCCCTTGCTGTACGCGTCGAGCATCATGACGCCCAGGTCGCAGCCGCTGCCGTACTCCTTCTGCTCCAGGAGCGACTTGGCGCCGTCGTACAGCGTCGTCACAGCACCGGCATAGTCCTTGCGCTTGATCTGGCGCACGGACGTGGTGCGCAGCTTCTGGTGCAGGTCGTACGACATGGTGCGGGAGGATGGAGGACGGGAAGAGGGCGGCGCGCTGCGAAGGTCGCACACCGTCGGCGCGGCGCACGCGCCTCCAGCAGCGCCGGCCGCTGTTCCCACGCGCTGCGCCACCGCCACGGCCGTCCCTGCCGGCACTCAGACTGCAGTCGGCGCAGCCGCCGACAGCATCCGCTCCGCCTGCGCACGTAGAGGAGGAAGCCGCCTCCAACACCCGGCGCCGCGGCGCTCGTCGCCCGTGACGCAGCTTGCACAGCAGTGGCATGCAGCATGCTCACACCGCAGCACTGCGCTTGCTCGCATCAGGCACACGCCACGCGTCAGCTTCGGCGGCTCGGATGCAGCGGCAGAGCGAAGCTTTTGTATTTGCACACGGGCGCGAAGGCGGAGAGATGGACAGGTGAAGGCGAGAGCAGTCTTGGGCTGCAACAGGGGGATGGAGGAGGAGCATAGAGGAGAGAGAGAGAGAGCGAGCGCAGATGCGGACAGACCCAGCACACTCAGGGCTTGGGGATGCGGATCGTCTTGCTCACCAGCAGGCCGCTCCAGACGAGCCACACGAGGCTCAGCGTGTGCAGCTGCAGCGTCGCGTACGCGGCGGCCGCCTGTGCCGTGGCGTGCGCCAGGCCGATGCGGCGCAGCGCGCTGAACACGTGCGGCGCAAGGTCGAGGCCGATGACGCCCAGCGGCACGCCCTTGCCGCCCTGCGCGCCGGGGATGTGGTCGCGCAGCGCGCCGGTGAATGTCAGGCCCGAGATGCGCTCCTTGGCCAGCGCAATCGGCAGGCCGCCGGCGTCGACGCGCCCCGCCAGCAGGCACACGGCCATGCCGCCGACGAGGATGAGCGAGCTGGGGATGGGCAGGCCCTCAAAGTAGCGCGCCTTGCCCGACGCGTCGTGCGGGATCGACGCCGTCGTGACGTTGAAGCGCGCGAGGCGCGCAATGCCGCAGCACACGAAGCCCGTCAGGATGACCGTGTCGAGCGGCGTGCGCAGGCCGAGGGCAAAGGCGGCAAACGCGGGTGCGCAGCCAAACGAGACCTGCACAGATGTGAGCCGCGAGGCAATGCGCGTCCTTCGCACCACTCACCGAGTCGGCCAGACTGTCGAGCTCCTGGCCAAGCATGCTGCTGCTCTTGCGCCAGCGCGCCACCTTGCCGTCGAGCAGGTCGAAGATGGCGCCGAAAACGGGGAACCAGAGCGCCGTCCAGGCGTGCTTGGGGTCCGACGTGAGCAGGTAGCGCGCCGAGGCAAAGAGCGACTGCGCGCCGCAGAAGCCGTTCATGAGCGTGAAGGCGTCGGCAAGGTGGAAGTTGCTGCGGAGGGGGTCAGCGTGTGGTCTAGAGAGGGCCAGCGTGTGGTCTAGAGGGGCCAGCGTGTGGTCTAGAGAGGGCCAGCGTCGCAGTAGGGCATCCCCTCCATCTCGATGCATGTGTGCTGTCACACTCTCGCCTCTCCGCTGCCTCTCCCTCAAGCTACTCTGCCACACGCACCGCACGAGCGAGAAGTGGCCGGGCGTCTCGACGAACTGCTTGAGCGCCTTGTCGTGCTCGGCGTCGACGTCGGCGGCGGCGTGTGTCTGCATGACCTGCTCGGCGCGCGCCTGCTGTGCCGCGGCGGCCGAGCGGCGGCCTGCGGCGGTGAGGTCGGCGGCGGCGGCGTGCGTGGCCTGGCGGCTCGTCATCTGTGCGGCGGCGTTGGGTGCGAGCGCGGCAGCGGCGGCGGCGTGGGCGACGGCGTGCGAGGCGCCCGTCGGGGCGACGCCGGCGGACGGGTGGGCGGGGAGCGCGGCGAGCGAGGCGGCGAGGGCGCGGGCGGCGTGCGGCGCGGCGAGGACGCCGGAGCTGTGTGCGGGGGCGGCGGTGAGGGCGGGGTCGAAGGAGCGCGCGACGGTGCCGGGCATGTATGGTGGTGGGAAGGCAAGAGTGGGAGCACCCGCCGCTGCGCTTCATCTCGCTGCCGCCGGCCCCGAAAGCGAGGCGAGGCCCTTCGCCTGCTCTGGTGGAGGCGCAGCGCTGCGAACGGGCCCGCTGCCAGCGGCACGTGCGCGCCCGGAATAGCAGCAGCTGCTTGTAGTGGCCGCACGCGCCCTTGTATTCGCGCCTGTTGGATTCAGCGCGCCTCTCGCGCGAGACGCCGCCGCGACCTTCTCGCCGAGCCCTCTCCACCACCTTGCCTCTGCACCTCCTCCTCCGCGCCGGCCGCGATGGCCTCCTCCTCCTCCTCCGTCGCAGGCAGCGCCGCGGCCTCGACGCGCGCCCTGCTGCACGCCGCGCTGCCGCCGCTGCTCGACGCGCTCGCCGCGCTGCCCGCCGCATCTGCGTCGCTCACCGCGCCCGACGAGGCGCAGGCGCTGCTGGCGCCGCGTGTGCGCGACCTCGCCGCCCAGCTCGGCCCGCGCGACGGCGACGTGGGCGACGTGGTGCGCGACGCCACGCACCTGGCGCTGCGCGACGCCGTGCTCGATGCACTGCCCGTGCACGCCGCCGCCACGGGTGCCGCACCCGGCGTGTACCTCGACGACGGCGCCGCACGCGCCCTCTTCGACCGCCTCGACGTCGTCGTCGCCTTCGACGAGGCGGCGCTGCTCGACGCCGCGCAGCCGCTGCTGCTGCTCGAGGAGCTCTTCGACGCGCTGCCGCTGCCGTCGTGCGCCGTGCTCTTTGCCTACCTGCGCTCGCGCCTGCACCTGCTCACCGTCGCCCTCTCGCCGGCGCGCGGCAAGGGCCTGACGCTGCTGCGCACGTGCAACGAGCTGCTGCGCCGCCTCTCCAAGCCCACGCGCCCCGACACGGTGCTGGCGGGCCAGGTACTGAGCCTGCTCAGCGCCGTCTTTCCGCTCGGCGAGCGCAGCGGCGTCAACCTGCGCGGCGACTTCAACGTCGAGAACCGCACGACGCTGCAGCCGCTGCCGGCGCCGGCCGAGCAGGAGCGATCACCAGAGGGCGAGGATGCGGCCATGGCGTCGCCGTCGGCCGGCGCCACGCCCGAGGCGTCAGCCAGCGCGCTGCCGGCGCTCAACACGCCCGCCGGTCTCAGTGCCGTCTGCGCGGCGCCTGCCTTCTATGCCACCTTCTGGTCGCTGCAGAGCTTCTTTGCCAACCCGGCGCTGCTCTTTGCCGAGTCTGTCGTGTCGACACCGGACGGCGCTGATCCGGCGCCGGACGGCACCCCAGGCGCCATGAAGAGCCTGCGCATCGCCACGCGCATGACGCTCGATGTCTTCGTCGCCGCTGCCAAGCAGGAGCGCCTGCTCGCCGGCGCAGCAGCATCAGACAGTGCTGCCGCGCGTCTTGCAGCTGCGGCGGCAGCAAAGGAGCGTGAGAAGGACAAGGCTGGCGAGGAGCGGCGGCCGACGGCCGGCGGGCAGCTGAAGCTGCAGGAGCAGATGGAGGACACCGAGGCAGCTGGCGAGCGGCAGGACGAGGACTTCTTCCCAAAGTACTTGACTGGCCGGAATTTGCTCGAGTACGAGGTACGTCTCCCTGCAGAGCCGACTCTGCCCGTGTGCTGACACCCAGCACAGCTCCGCGATCCGCTCTTCCGGCGGCACGTGCTCGTGCAGTGGCTCATCCTCTTCCAGTACCTGCTCTCGCTCGCCAAGGCGCCGCGCGAGAAGTGGGCCACGTGGAAGAACAAGGCGCTGATTGTCGCCAACTTTACGCTCTCGGAGGCAGACGTGAGCCGGGCGGCATGGGACTGCGAGGATGTGTCGCTGACAGCGCCTGCGCAGGACTTGTGGATCCGCACGACGTGGCGGGAGATTGTCAAGGAGCTCAAGACCATCCCGCCCGAGGGCAAGGTGTTCTCCGACTCGGTGCTGCTGACGCTGCGGCGAGAGGCACGCTGGGTGAGTAGCTTCTTCTCATGCCGCCTCTGCGGTGCTGACTTCCGTGCCTGCAGATCACATGGAAGACGGAGAACTGCCCGCCGATCGACCGGCCCTCTCTCTCCGCCGCGCACATCCTCTCTACCGCTCAGGCAAGCGTCCGCGCACTGCGCGCACCCAAGCGCTTCCCGCACGCGCTCGGCACTGCTGCGCTCTCCTCATTGTGGGAAGAAGGCCTTGCGCCGCCAGTACCGCGCACGCGCAAGCGGGAGGACGACGAGGGCAACGAGATCGAGGTGTTGGAAGACGGGCTCGATGACCTGGAGATGCCGCCGCGCGTGCCAGACCTGCAGCACTACGCCAAGCAAATTCGCCTGCAGGAGGACCAGGCGAACAAGCGGCGCAAGGCACTCGAGCAGCCCACAATACCCACACCAACGACGGTCGCACGCACCGCCGACGAGCTGCGCGCCGACGTCGAGCGCGCGGCAAAGGAGCGCGACGATGCACAGCTGGCGGCCATCGAGGCGAAGCGGCAGAGCCTCAGCTGGCGCGCGCTGCGCCTGGCCGCCAAGGAGCACCTCAACCTGCTGACGCCGGCCATCGCCACCGACGATGTGACGCGGCTCATGCTGGCGATTGAGGAGGAGCGCAACCCGAAGCCCAAGCCGCCGCCTACGCCCGCCGCCGCTGCGCCGACCGCCACCACGCCGACGGCCTCGTCGCCGTCCAGTCAGCCGGCAGCGATGAACCCACGGCACGCAGCACTAAAGGACGAGGCGCAGGCCGGTGCCTCGGCGGCGCCCTCGCCGATCCACGTTGTGGTGCCGGACGTGCCGCGCAGCTCGTCGCCTGCGCGCGCGCCAGAGGACGCAGAGAAGGCGGAGAAGGCCGCGTCGCAGGAGGACGAGACGATGAGCGCTGCCGCTGCGGCTGAGGAGGCGAAGAGCGAGAAGCCGGCGGAGCAGGCGGCATCTCAAGAAGCGCCGAGTGGCGCCGAGGGGACAGGCAGCGAGGCCGTGCCTGTGGCAGAGCAGGCCAGCGAGGCGCAGCCGCAGGAGAAGGACGAGGAGATGCGCGATGCATGATCAGACGCAATGCACAATGTCACCACCTGCTTGTCTGAGAGCCTGCCGATGAGACACGATGCGGGATTATGAGTACGGTGCGCCCAGAGGTCTAGATTTGCGAAGGTGTCGCCGGTGCGGGAAATACAGGTGCGAATAGCAACACGGAGGAGAAGGCGGGCAGAGGCCCATCTACGGACTGCTCCAGCACAGGTCCATCACTTGGCGCTCGCGCATGACTTGCAGCACCGCCTGCTCGTCCCGCTCCAGCTCGTCGTGGCGCTCCTGCAGCGAGCGCCACGCCTGCACGGCGGCGTGGACGTGCTGCACGCTCGCCATGCCGACCATCGTCGGCATGCGCTCGCCGGCCGGCGGCGTCTTGATGCCGTAGCGCAGCGCCGTGGCGGCCATCGCCTTGCCGCGCGCCTCGAGTGCCGTGCTCGCCTCGTTGCACGCACTCTGCAGTGCCGGAGACGCCGGGTGCCACGCCGGCCTGGCCGACGTGAGCAGGCCCATGGAGAAGGGCCCGCCGTTCATGACAAACGGCGCCGTCCACTCGCCCTTGAGCGCCAGCTCGGCCGGCGGCGGCGCAGCGAAGAGCGGCACGTACGCCGGCAGCAGGTCGCAGTGCAGCACGTGGTTGGAGTAGGAGAGCAGCGCGTCGAGCGGGCGCCCGAGGCGCGCAAAGGCGAGGCGCGAGATGCGCAGCAGCACGGGCAGCGGGTAGCCCGAGATGCCGACGTTGCGCACCACGCCCGCATCCTTGAGCGCGAAAAGCTCGGCGAGTGCCGCAATGCACGCGTCGTCGCCCTTGCCGTGCGACACGCCCCAGTCCGACGGCGCCAGGCCGAGGCTGGCGCGCACCGCGTCCGAGGAGAGCGCATCGCGCGCTCCAAAGCCGGCGTCATTCGAGGCGCCCACGGGATCGACGACGAACTCGACGTCGTGCAGCAGCACCACGTCGAGGTAGTCGGTGCCGAGGCGGCGCAGGCTCGTGGCGACGCACTCGCGGATGCGCTGCGGGCGGTAGTCGAAGTCGGCGGGCTCGGGCCCGAAACGCCCGCACTTGGAGCTGAGGTAGTAGCTGGCGCGCGGGAACTCGGGCGCCAGCACGCGCAGGATACGCCCCAGGATCACCTCGGACGGGTAGTAGTAGGCCGAAGTGTCGAGGCAGCGGATGCCGTAGGCAAAGGCGAGGCGGATCACTGCGCGAGCGTGTCAGCCGCAGCTCACCGAATCAGCTAGATGGTGCATGCGGCCGCCGCTGGCGCTGGCGTGTGTGTGTGCGGCACGCCGTTCGCCGTCATGACCTGGCGCATGCCCGTGCAGTACCGCTCTTCGGCTTCACACGCAACAAGCCGCTCTGCCCTCTGCGCACGCTGCGCCGCCACGCCGCCACTCACCGTCGAACGGCTCGCGCCCGAAGATCCAGCTGTCGGCGGCGTACTTGCCGGCGCCAAACACGCCGCCGCCGGCAATGAGCGGCGGGCAGCCGGCGCGGAAGGGCGGCAGTGCTGTGGCAGGCGAATGGCCATTGCTACCGCTGCTGCCATTGACGCCGTGCGCCGCGTCGCCGTTGGCCAGCGCCGGCGGCCAGGGCCACGCACTGCCACCCTGCGGCTTGGCCGGCGCGAGCTCGTCCAGGTCCGGCAGCGCGCCGAGTGTGTCGGGCGACGGCGAGCGCGAGGGAAAGGGCGCCATGGCTGCGTGCTGTGGTAGGAGCGAGGTGCGGCCGAGTGGACAGGACGCCGCGACGCAGGCTCGGCGATGATGGAGGCGGGACGGAGCGAGTGCGGAAGCGCGTGCAAGAAGGCACAGGCGGGAGTGGAGGACCCGCTTCGGGGTGCTGACTCAGCAGCCTCGGCGCAACTTCCGCGGGAGGCAAGCTCGGGTCCGCGTCCCGGCGTTAAGGCGCACAGTGCGCTTGGCACGGACAGCCGACGCCGCGCGACGTCGCAACCTCCTCACCGCCATCACCCGCCAAGAGTGCGCAACCGCACACGCAACACACTCGCTGCATCGCGCAGCACAGGCACCCGAGGCGGCCGCAGGCGGTCGCGCTGCAGCGTCGAGCGCACAGCGCAGCCCGCGCCACGCCACGCCACGGCCAGCGCTCCTTCACGCGAGGCGTCAGCCGTGGCCGAGCGCGCGATGATCCGTGCTCCACGGCTGCCCGGCTCGGCGTCGCGCATCGGCGAGACGTCCAGCACGCACTATCTCAAGCCACGCCCGTCGCAGACACTGGCCGCCGGCACAGACGCACCGCTGCCGCTCGAGGCGCTGCTCGGCTCGTGGCACATCTGCGCCTCGACGCTGCCGCTGTGGGATGCAAGGCGCAGCGTGATGGCGTACTATGCATGGCCGATACCGCCTGCAGATAGCGCAGCCGTACGCCTCGTCGCGGTCCTGGCTTCATTGGCGATGCTGCTCTCAACGCCGCACGGCCCACTCTGCGTTGCACCGGCCATGCTGGGCTTCCGGCGCACTCGTGCGGCCGTGCCGGCTTGGCTGCTCGCACTCGCACTGCTCCGATCTCTGGACATCGCACTCGTGGCGCTACTGCCTGCGGTGCTGCTCACTGCCGTGATCTGCGCGCCATCCCCGCTCTTCCTCGACGAGATCACCTCTAAGCCACGGCGGCAGGGCCACTGGTCATTCACGCCAGCAACGCTGCGCGGCCAGAACATGTGGGACACAAAGCGTGGCGGCCAGCCCGGTGGAAGTGAGTGATGCAGAAAAGATGACTCGGCTTCGTAGCAACAACTCATGTCCAACTCTCGCAGACCTGGCGTTCGCATGGCGCGGGCGCGGGTGGATGCGGCCGCTGAGCGCCCGCTGGCAGGTGCTGGGCTGGGGCCGGATACCGCAGCGCGACGCCACGACTGGCGAACTCGTGCCGCAAGGGTGCACCGATGAGCCGGACTGGCTGCTTGTGCGTGTGCCTCCTGACGGCCGTCGACCCCCGCTGACGCCGCGCAGACGTACTTCGAGGCCACGAGCGTCACGCCCGTCGGCATCGACATCTATGCGCGACGTCCGCTGTCAGCACAGCAGCTCGCAGACGTGCGTCAGGTGGTCAGATTAGCTGTGACGAGCAGTCTGTCAATAGAGCCGAGGCGCCAAGAGTGCACGGACGAGTGGCGCTGCCTCGAGGCGCTCGTGGCACAGCTGCGGCCGGTGCCGACTGAGACCTCGCAACAAGGGATCACGCAGCAAGCAAGGTGAACAGGGCATCGCATGGCCACAGCATAGAAATGTCACGCACTTGCACCTCGCATGCCAGCCGGCGGGAGAGAGGCAGGGCCAGAAGCAGTGGGCAGGGCAGCGTGCGGCTGACTAAGCACGAAATGTGGGCGGCGTGGCTCGATGGCGCCGCGGCGCGCGAGAAGAAGTGGACCGGCAGCGCTGTCGGGCGTGCTTCTCACCCGTATCTCCCTCCAACGCTGTGCGACAGCCTCTCCTCTCGAGGCGCCAGTGCATGCTCCTGCTCCCGCGTCTTGCCGCACGCAGTCTGCCTTCCCTCTGCCGCCGCGCTGTCGCCATGAGCGCCTCGCCTGTGCCGTCTGCGGCCGCGGCCGCCTCCACCTCTGCTGCCGGCGCTGCCCAGGCCCGCTCCGGCTCCAGCTCGCCGGTGCACAAGCGTGCGCGCCGCGACGAGGCTGATGCTCCTTCTGGCTCGGCTGCTGCGACTTCTGCTGCTCCGTCCGCTGCGGCGGCGCCGCGCACTGAGCCGACCAAGGCGCTGGCGGCGCGCAAGCGCGGCCGTGCCGCACAGATGGCCAAGTTCGGCGTGCCGCCCGTCGAGCACGACGTGCGCCGCCTGCTGGGCGCCGACGTCGTGGCGCGCCTCGAGGCCGAGGGCCGCGACTGGGAGCTGCGTGCCTCGGGCGAGGTGTGCGACGTGCGCATCGAGACACTCGGCAGCGGAGGTGCGTGAAGCTAGGGCGGAATGACGAAGCCGCGCTGACCGGCGTGTGCTGCAGGCGACGGCCTGGCAAAGGCGCCGAGCGGCGACTGGGCCATCGTCGTGCCGCACGTGCTGCCCGGCGAGCTGGTGCGCGTGCGCTGGTGGAGCAACGAGCGTGAGTGCCGGCGCGAGCCAGGCCGAACTCCTCGCTGATGAGCCGCGTATGATGCAGGCATGTGGTCCAAGGCGGACCTGCTGGAGGTGCTCGAGCCGTCGGAGAAGCGCCTGCCTGCGCCGTGTCCTTACTTTGGCCAGTGCGGCGGCTGCCAGTACCAGGTGCGGCAGCGTGCGGTGCTTGCGTGCCGCGTGCGGTGCTGACGCTTCTGCAGATGCTCTCATATGACGAGCAACTGGCGCACAAGCAGCTCGTCGTCGAGCGCGCCTTCGCCAACTATTCCGGTGCGTCTCGCTCGAGCCATGCACCCGTGCCTCTCTTACACCGTTTGGGCGCAGGTCTTCCCGCCGAGCTGCTGCCGCGCATCGGCGCGACGCTGCCGTCGCCGCAGCAGCTGCGCTACCGCACCAAGCTCACGCCGCACTTTGACCTGCCGCGCGAGCTGCGGCGCGGCAAGGGCGGGCGCGCGCCAAAGGGCGGCATGCCGTCGGCCGGCGAGGTCGAGCAGATTGCGCGTGCGCTGCCGATCGGCTTCGACCAGGTCAAGGGCAACGGCATCCTCGACATTGAGGTGTGTGCAGCACCTGCCGCCGACTGCTCGCCATCTAACAGCATGCGTCCAGGAATGCATCATCGCGACGCCGACGATCAACGAGGCGCTGCCACGCATCCGGCAGGGTGTGCGCGAGTGAGTGCAGAATGCAAGTCCCTCTCTCGTGCCACCGAAGCTCACCAGGCCTCTCCCAGCCGGATTGCGTCGTACAAGAACGGAGCCACATTGCTGCTGCGCGACTCCTTTGTCAAGAACCCGGCAGCCGATGGCGCAGCAGCGACAGAGGTGGTGCTGGACGAGGCCCCTGCGCCAGCTGCTCCGCGCGAGGAGCTCTCGGAGGTCATCACGGATCATAAAGCAGTGGTGCGGGAGCGCGTCGGCAAGATCATGTTCGAGTCGCCCGCAGGTGAGAGCCGTCTGCGCGTGCTAGAAACACATGAGCTGACGTCCGGGCTCAGGCGCATTCTTCCAGAACAACCGCTCCATTCTGCCCTCGCTACTGAGCTACGTCGAGGCCGCATTGCGAGCGCTGCCGGCATTCTCCTCAGAGTCGCAGGAGAGCCGGTTTCTCGTCGACACGTACTGCGGCAGCGGCTTCTTTGCCCTCTCGCTCGCGCACCTCTTCTCGCGCGTCGCAGGCGTCGAGCTCAGCGCCGAGAGCATCGCCTGCGCCACGCGCAACGCCACGCTCAACTCGATCACGAACTGCGAGTTTCTCGCTGGCTCGGCCGAGGCCATCTTCGCAGTGCGTGCCCTGCCAGATGCGAGAGGAGACAGCGGCTGATTCGCGCCCGCCGCAGAAAATCAAGTTCCCCGCCGAGCGCACGACGCTCATCATCGACCCGCCGCGGCGCGGCTGCGACGACGTCTTTCTGACGCAGCTGCTGCGCCTGCGCCCGCGCCTCGTCGTGTACGTCTCGTGCAACGTGCACACGCAGGCGCGCGACATTGGCCAGATCTTGCGCGGCGAGCCGCGGTACGAGGTTGTGAGCGCGTGCGGTGCCGACGTGAGTTGTCGCGAAAGACGGGTGCCTGGCAGCGCAGGCTCTGACAGCTCTCCTTACACACAGCTCTTCCCGATGACATACCACGTCGAGGGCGTTGCGGTGCTCCAGCTGCGCGACGAGGTACCGACCCCTGCGACCGACAGCGCTGCAGTCGCGCCCTGAGTGCAGCTGGCCCCAGCTTGCACGGCCGATGCGTCGCTTGTCCTGCTACACCAACCCTGCTAGGCTCCACGCTGCCTAGATGGAGCTCCGTAGTCATTGCATGCATCTCCATCGCTGTCCGTCGTGCCCATCCTGAGTCGCAGACTGTGACAGACTTGCCCGTGCGCATCCCTCTCGATGCTGGACCTCATGCGCCAGCGCCTTTGTGCCCCTCCGTGTTCGCCTTACGTCGGCTTTGCGCCCATCTTCTCCAGCCCGCCCTTGCGCAGGTTGCGCGCGCAGTGGTCGATGGCCGCCGTGTAGCCGCTGTGCGGGGCGCGTCAGTCAGCGCTGTGCGTGCAGAGCCGCAGGCGCGCAGACGCACTACGTGCCAAAGCCGAGGATGACGGCGCTGGCCTTGTCGCACAGGTAGCTCTTGTGCCGGAACTCCTCGCGCGCGTGTGTGTTGGAGATCTGCGGCAGAGCTGTGAGCGCGCGTCCGCTTGCAAGCGCTGCTCAGCGACGCACGTGCAGCTCGATGAAGGGGCACTCGATGCTGAGCAGCGCGTCGCGCAGGGCGACGGACGTGTGTGTGTATGCGCCGGCGTTGATGATGACTGCGCAGGCGGGTCAGCATGGCCGCCGGCACAGCCGCATGTGGCCGCCCACGCACCGGCCTCGGTGCCATCGAGGCGCGCGGCGTGGATGCGGTCGAGCAGCGCGCCCTCGTGGTTCGACTGGAAGGCGTCGAACTTGATGCCCATGCTCTCGCACTGCGCGCGTGCGCGGCCCTCGATGGTCTCGAGCGTATCGCTGCCGTACTTCTCCGGCTCTGCGCCGGCGTGTCAGCGAGGCGTGCAGCAGCAGGTGGAGGGTGCAGCGGCAGCGCCGCACGCACCGCGCGTGCCGAGCAGGTTGAGGTTGGGCCCGTTGATGAGCAGGATGGAGCGCGCGCCGGCGTACTTGGGGGCAGACATGGCGACGAGTGGCAGCGGGTGTGGTGGTGGAGGAGCAGGCGGCATGTGCGCTGGCAGACGTCGGGCGACCTGCGGGCCGCACAAAATTAGCGCTCCTCCGAGCCGGAGCGGCGAAGCGGCGGGGCTCGGCGCACCGCCCGCGTGGGGAAGGCGCGTTCCCACGCGTGCCGGCTCATCGTCGCGCCGCCAAGGGTCCTGTCGTGTCAGGCCGCGGCCGGCAAGCACCCAGAGCAAGGCGGTGCTGTCGGCCGTGCGATGCTGCGACGCTGTACGGCGGCAGCTGGTCGAGGGTGACAGCTACGCAGGTCTGGCTGCTCGACAAGCACCAGACAAGTCTATTGCGCCTCCACGGCCCTCCGCTCCTCCAGCCAACTCTCTCAGCGTCAGACTGCACTCGAGGATCGACTCTGCGACCGCCACGTGGCCGCAGTGCAACCAGGGTGCTTCGATTTATGATCTCATTGCCCTTTCTCCCTCGCTATACCAGCGACTATGCGTGCGTCAGCGGGTCGACGGCCAGCACGCCGTCGTGCTCGACGTATGGCTGCGCGCAGTGGGTCAGCTGTGCGCCTCAATCCACGGCCCAGCACGACTCACATATGACCAGCCGGCGAGCCACGCCCGCACCGCCTGGCTCAGCCCGACGCGCCGGCGGTCCGTGTCGGTGCTCGTGTGCCGCCCGCTGCCGACGGCCAGGTACGCAATGCCGCGCCGCCGCTCCGCCTCGAGGCCGAGCAGGAAGCGCTCGACGGCCGCCGTCGCCTCGGCGGCGTGCAGCGCGTGCAGGTCGAGCAGGAACTCGGTGCGCTCCTCCGTCGTCTGCTGCGGCGCCACGCCGCGCGGCGCGACGCCGAGGCAGAGGCCCAGCCCGGCGCCGGCCGCCTGGCCTCGCAGCGCGCGTGCGCCGCCTTCGTCTGAGGGCTGCGCGGCTCCGGCAGTCTCGGCGATGAGACGCTCGCGCAGCGCCGCATGCCGATCTGACAGAAGCACGCCAACAGCGAGGCGCTGCTCCTCGGCCACGCGTGCGTTGAGTGCTTGGCCCTCCGCAGACCATTGCCGCGCTGCCGCGCCGTCGCCGGCTTTCCACGCCTCGGCGGCACGAGCGACTGCAAGGGATATCAGCACGGTGCAGCGACCTCGAGTACAACACATACTCACGACACTTGTTGCGCTGCTCGCTCAGCGCCGCAGCTGTGCCTCGCGTGGCGCTGTACGCTGCAGCGGCCGCGCGGCCCGTTGCGAGGGTAGGCAGCAGCGCCGGAGCGCGCAAGACGATGCGAGTGCTGCGAGCTGGCGCACTCGCCGCGGTTGCAGCGCCTCGCGGGCCGCTGGGTGGGGCACGGGCGGCGGAGCTGCGCGAGCCGCCGAGCGTGACGGCGGCCTCGCCAGAAGCGACGAGGGCCATGGGCGAGTGCGGCGAGCCCTTGCCGCCGCGTGCCAGCGCTGTGGCCCAGCGCGTGCGGCTCGAGTCTGCGCCCGCCGATGGCGCAGCAGGCCCTGTCGGCGCGCCTGGGATCACCTTGCCATTGCGCCCCTTGGGGCCTGCTGGCGGGAGGGGCTGCAGCTCCGGAAAGTCCTCGCTCGGTGGCAGCGGCGGTGTGTCGGGCCCGGCACCGACCGGCATGCCGCTGCTCGCGCCGGGACCGCCGCCTGCAATGCCGGAGGCCAGTGCCTGCACGACGTCCGAGTCGTGCAGAAAGCTGCAGGGTGAGTTGAGGCACTGCAGATGCGTGTCAGCGAACGAGCTCTAGCGCAGATACGTGCGGCGGCGACTCACCTGTCCGCGCAGCCAGAAGCGACAGAGGGCGCGGCCGAGGTCGTGCGAGAAGCGGCAGTCGGCGCGGCGACACTCGCCTGCGAGGAAGTACCGGCACACGCGGCCGGGCCCACTGCCGCTGCCTGCGTGCGACAACTGGTCTGCCGGCGACGGAGACGCAAGCGCTGGGACGGCACCAACACTGCCGCTCGCTGCGCCAGCCGCAGCCATGTGTGGGCTTCGCGGCGCTGCGGCAGCGAATCGTGGCGAAGAGGCAGCGGCGAGGCGGTGGCTCGCAAAAGCCTCGCGCGGCATGACGCTGACGCCGCTGGCACCTGCGCCGCGAGGAAAACGCGGCGCGCCGGCGCCCGCTGGCGAGGCATGGCTGAGCACCGGCGATGCCACACTACTGCTGCCGGAGCGCGGCCCGGACGGTGGGCCGCGAGGCCCTGGCGGCGCGCCGCCGGACTCAAAGATGGCGCTCAACGTCGCGTCGACGTCCCAGCCGTTGGCGGCCAGCGCGTCCTCGATCTGCTCCGCCGTCCACGCCGGCTGTGTGTTCGAGCCAGTCGACGACGACTCGGAGCCGAGTGAGGCAGGTGCGGCAGACGACGACGAAGCGTTGACGATGGAGTAGAGCACGTCGAACGGCGTCATGCCCAGCTCCTCTTCAGCCGCGTGGCTCGCCATGGCCTGCGCCAGAGGACTCGAGTCGCGCGCCGACATGCTGCCGCTCGCCGAGCTGGCCGACGTGGCAGAGCCAGGCCAGTCGCCGCCGCCGCGCAGAGCCGAGTGCCCTCCAGCGCGTCGTCGTGCAGACGCTGGCGCACCAAACGGCGAGAACTCGTCCTGGTCGGGCTCAGAGTCGTCGGACGGCGATGAAGCCGAGCCAGACGAGTCGTCGGTGCCGAGGCCGCTGGCACTGCGCGCAAGACCACTGCCGACGCTGCCGGCGCCGCCAAGATTAGAGCTGAGGCGGCGCATGCTGAGCGGCGCAGTCGTGCCGTTGTTGCCGCCAGCCGAGGACGAGGCGCTGAGCCAGCTCTCGCGCGCGCCCGCAGACGCGGATGAGGGCGCACCGCGCGGCCGGAACTCGATCGCAGAGACGTTGAGGCGCGGGCTGCCAAGCGGACTGGGCGAGGCAGGGCGTGATGAGGCGCCGCTGCTGGCGGCCAGCGCAGCGGCGAGGCCGGAGGACGCAAAGGCATTGCCGCCGTTGGCACTGCCGCCATTGCCGAAGCTCGGGCTCGTCGAGAGCGCACTGCTGCTGGTGCCGTTGGCGGCGCCGTTGCTGTTCCATGGCGACTCGGCCTGCCGCGCACCGGCCCAGGCCGCACGTGCCCATGGCGCCGTACGCGCGTTGCTGGCGCGCGGGCTGCCGCTGCCGATGGCGCCGTACGGATGTGGTGCGGCGAGCGCGGCGGGTGCCGGACTGGCTGGCAGCGTCGGCCAGGCACCGTCGCCATTGCTGCCGAGCCCGCCAGTGCGTGGGCTGAGCGCGTCGCTACCGAGTGCCGCGTCCCAGCCGCCGGTCAGCGCGGGACTGGGCAGCGGACTGCCATTGGCGCTGCCAGGGACGGCGCCGGTGGGCGTGCGCGGCGCAGCGCCCCACGGCCGCGCGACGTGCGGATGCAACGGCGCCGCCGAGCTTGATGAGGAGCGCACGCTCGCTGGGCGCCGGTGCGGCGACCCAAGCGCGCCCTGAGTCTGCGGCGGCGAGAGAGCCGGCGCAAAGGTGGCACCCGTCGGCGACACGTCCTCGCGGTGCCGGTGCAGCAGCTCGAGCACGAGGCCGTCAAGGCGCGACGCGGGCTGCGGCAAGCCGCGCGTGAGCGATGTGCGGTGCGCAATGCAGCAGGCCACTTACCGGACGTGCGCCCTCGGCGTCGGCGAGTGCTTCACCGAGCAGCTCACGCACGCGCTCGATGCGCTCCTCGTCGTCGAGCGCATCGTCGTCGAGCGCGGCCACGAGCTGCGCGATGCGCTGTGCTGGTGGGAGAGGTGCGGCTGGCGGCGACGTCGAGATGCCGTCGCTGCTGCTGCCGTCGGCGCGCGCATCCACGGCGCCGAGTGCAGGCGACTCGACATCACTGCTGCCGGCGTCGCCGTCGCGCACGGAGCTGCTGCTGGCAAGCGAGCTGGGCTTCTGCGGGCGGTACGGCGCCGCAGCGGCAGCCGCAGTGGCCGCAGTTGCGATGGCGGCCGCGCTGGGCCGGCGCGACGGCGTGCGGAGCAGCAGCGCCTCGAGGAGTGCGCGGGCGTAGGTGGTGGAGGGCGCCGAGGCGCTGCCGCCGGGCGCAGGCGCGGCGGCGCTGGCGGGTGAGAGGCGAGGCGAGGACATGTTGCCGCAGGTGGCAGTCGTGCGGCAGGTGCGGAAACGCAGGCGGCGGCAGAGGCAGCAGAGGCGGTGCTAGGAGGCTACGGCCCGCAGCTCCACAGCATCGCGCGGCAGCCGGAGAGATGGGCGCAAGGGAGCGCGGCGGCAGCACGCGGCGCCAGGCGCAGAGTGATGCGAGGCGAGATGCGAGGCGGAGAGACGCAGCAGCTGAGCGAGAGCAGAGCAAAGCAGCCAGTGCAGGCGAAGGAGAGAAGGACAGCCGGATGGTGGTGGAGCGAGGGGCAGCCGCAGGGGCCAGGCACAGCAGCAGCAGCAGCTCTCACGCCATGCGCCACGCCTCTCAGGAGCGGCGCGTGCGCACGGCGCACTGCTGCTGCGCCCTGGCCGCGCTGCCCGCCTGCCCGCCGCCATCGGTCGCGGCAGACACAGGCGGCGTGCCTGCATCGCGTCCAGCATGCTGCCACGGCGTGCGCTCGGCGCAGCGCCGGCGGCGGCACCGATGCCGCGCACGACATCTCCGCGCGCGAGGCTCTTGTTCCCGCCGCAGCGCCCTCGCAGCTGCGCCAGCTCGCGCCGCTGCTGCACCTGTCACAGCCTCCAGTACGCACAGCGCTCGCGCTATAGCTGCGATCAGTCGGAGTCAAGCCAGGGTGCTGGACATCCAGCAGCGGCCGGTGATGGAGCGTGAGACGGAGCTTTGATGGCGACAGACACGCGTCGCGTCCAAGCCCGGCACCGATGCGGCCAAGCAGCGGACGGACGAGAAGCGCAGACGGCGTGCGCGACGCGAGCGAAGGGGGAGCTGTTCGCCTGCTGCGATCTCACCTCGCTGCGTTCGAGGCTCCCGCAGCTGGCAGGCTGCTCGGCGCCCGGCCTCGGTCCGGACCGCCGCCACACGCCGAGTGCGACGAGCAGCGCGGCACGGCTTGCGGCCGGAGCGTGGGAGCGAGATGTGGCAGCGCGACACGGCCGAAGTGTGCATCTCGCGTCGGCGCCCGCGGCGTGTCGCTCTTGGCGCCGCTTGCGCTGCTTGCTTCCGTCTGCCATCTCCACCTCTCCTTCTCGCGTCCCGCAGCACAGCACAGCGCCGCCTCGACTCCAGATGCGCGCGCCGTTTGCCTCGCTGCGGGCGCTGCTCAGCGCGCCCGTGTCGGGCTTCGACGCCTGGCGCCTCGTCGCCCAGGTGCGTCGCCGGCCGCCTGCTCCATCTTCGGCCTGGCACTGACCCGCATCGCGCAGATCGCCGTGCTGCAGACGCTGCACTACTTTGTCCTGCTGCTGCTGCTCCCGCTGGCGCACCTGATGATCTCCGCGCCGGCGCCGCTCGGCTTCACCGGCGGCGCGCTGAGCGTGTCGCGCCTGCTCGACTGGCGCGAGCTCGTCGCGGCGCGCCAGTTCGTCGCGTCGCCGACGTGGGCCGACGTCTGGCTCGCACCCGTGCCGCTGGCCGGCGTGGCAGGCACGGGGCCGCTGCAGCACGTGCCGGTGCAGCTCGTGGCGCGGCCAGGGCCTGAGCAGGGTGTGGCTGCGGCGCAGACGCTGCTCGGCGGCGACGCACCCGGCGACGAGTGGGCGGTGCGCGGCGCCGATGCGCGGCGCAAGTGGGCCGCTTGGCTGGCGTGGAGTGTTGCCGGCGTCGTCGAGTGAGTGCATGATGTGTGGTGGTGCGGTGCGGCGGCGGCTGACGGCGTCCGCAGCGTGCACCTGCTGCTCTTCCTCATCCGGCGGCCGACGCAGATGCTCGACCACGTCCTCACGCTGCACGTGCTGCACCTCGTCGCCACGATCTTCTACACGCGCGCCTTTCCCTGCCCCACCTACTTTGCCCTCGCCGCCGTGCACGCCGCCGCCGTCGTGCTCGTCGCCGAGCGCCGCGCCGTGCAGCGCGAAATGCACGACGGCTTCGAGCCGCTGCAGCTCGACGACGAGGAGGAGGCATCGGGCGCAGCAGCGCCCTCGGCGTCAAGGCGGACAGAAGAGGTGTTTAAGCTGGAGGACGACGACGACGATGCGGGGCGCACAAAGGAGGAGATCGAGATGCGCCCGCTGCAGCCATGAGCGCGGTGCGCGGCAGACGCACAGGAATGCCATTGCTTTGCCGCCGGATGAATGCGCAGTGGACGTGCGGCGGTATTGCGGTGGTCGAGATGCGTCGGTGGCTGCGCAACGTCTGTGAGTCGTGCCAAGCTTGTGCTCCGGTCTCGCCGGTGCTTCCTGCGAGAGGCTTCTACTGCGGACGGCACTGCCCCTGGCGCGACGCGAAAGCGCGTTCGATGATGAGGCACAAGGCCCGCTAAATTGAGCGCAGCTCGATAGATTGCACATAGCGGCTTCGGTGCCGCAGCGAGGTCTACCGGCTGTCTGCGCAGCCGTCAACAGCAGCATCAGCCCCATGCGCTGCCAGCTTCCTGCCGCGCAGCATCGAGGTCCTTAGCCGGCGCGGCAACGTTCACCCTTGCCCTTCATCCCTCACCACCGTCCTCGAGATGTCCTTCTCCAGCGTCTCCGACTTATCCAACACAAAGACACGAGGCCCACCGGCGCACGCGTCGGTGGGCCCTTACTCTTCTCACTCGTCGCCGTCGCCATCGCAGCGCGGCGGAGCGACGCACTCTGGCGGTCCCCTGGACGACCCACAGCGTCCGCTGGCGCATCTGGCAGCGCCTCACGCGTCCATTTGGGGCGCACCTACGCTCGCGGCGCCGCGTCCAAAGGTACCGGGTGCGCCTGTCTCCGCACATGAGCGTGCTGCGTTTGTGCAGCTGGGCGCAACAGCCCCGCACGAGAGACCGACGCCCTTCTTCTCGTCGGGCGTCGATGACTTCATCAACATGCCTGGGGCGCGCTCGGGCTTCGCGCCGTCGCCTGGGCACGCTCAGTCCACCACCGGCGCCTCCTCGAGCTCGCATTCGCACACGTTCTACGACGCGTCGCCGCGCTCCTCGCCCGGAATTGCGAGCGCTGGCGCCAGCAGCGGCGCCGGCGGCCTGGCGGCGCTCGAGGCATTCTTCGACCAGCCCTTTGCGCCGCGCTGGCAGGCGGCAGCGCTCGCATGTCTGCGCTTCGGCGCCGAGGCTGCGCGGAGGAAGACGCTGGCAACGCGCGGAGACAGGTGAGCACAGGGGAGCGCCGCGTGGCGTAGAGCTGACTGTGTGTCAGACTCTTGAAACTGCTGGTGGCCACGGCGGAGGACATCGTGGAGGTGTATGGCGAGCGTAAGTGACATGCAGACTGCGCTGTGTCTTCTGCAGCTGACTCGCCCGCAGCATTCGCGCCCGACGCGTCCCTGATGTGAGCGTCACTGCCTTGGCTGTAGGAGCGCGCTGACCTGGGTCTGCAGAGAGCGCGACGCACTCTTGGGTGCATGGGCCAAGCCGCGGCTGCAGCACGTTGTCAGCTGCGTGGGCGGCAGTGTGGTGGGCGAGGAGATGCGAGCGTACGCGGGCTGTCTCAAGGGCCGTGAGTGGTGACGAGGACGAGCGGCGCGCCGCTGGCTGACGGCTGCGGCGCACAGTGCTGTATCTGATCTACCGCTCAAGCGGCGAGGCGGGCGCGGTGAAGGCCGTGCTGAAGATTGGCCTTGTGGGCGGCGCAGCATGATGGAGCAATGCACGATTGCACAGCTGAGGCGAGTGGAGGGGCACAGGAGAGCCAGTATGAGCGTGCCTGGTACAGCGAGTCGCCTCCCAGCAGCAGCCTTCCCAAGACAGCGCTCGCCGGTCATGCCGGCACAGCTCACAGCATGTAGCTGAGTCGCTCACCAGCTGCCTCGCATGTGGCCTCAGGACCGTCGCAACTGCTGCTGCCACATTGCCAGCTCACAGCAAGAGCACTGAATGGCGGCGAGCTGCGTCGGCCGGCCCTCCGAGCTGGTCCCACGCTTCGGCGCACGGCGGCCGCATCGTCGCGTGCCGCGGCCGAAGCGCGGCCGCTTGCCTTCGGCGAAAGCGGCGCCGCGGAGCCGCCTCGGCACGGCACAAGCACAAGCAGCATCTCATGCGGAGCGCGGTCAGCACGGCGCCGCGGCACCCTCCGCGCACCACGGCAGCGAGGCGCAAAGCTGCCCTCTCCACGCCGCAAGATGCAGCACAGGATGCCGCCGGCTCGCTGCGCGCGATAGAAGCCGGTGCGCAACACCACGCCGGCCATGGCCGCCACCGCCCCGCACATCCCACCACCACCTCACTATGGATCCCGGCCCCTCACGCACCCCGGCGCCGCACGTCGCACCGCACTTCGCCGGCGCAGGCATGGCGCGGCGCGGCAGCCGCGGCGGCGGCGCCGTGGCGCTGGCGCGCACGCACTCGCACAAGGACCTGCACGACGCCGACGTCTCGCACGCCGACGGCGAGTTTGGCGCCGTGAGCCGTTCGCACCGCCAGGACCACGCCTGGCTGCACGGCCAGCTCGAGCGCACGCACAGCCGCACCAGCAGCCGCCGCGCGCCGCGCAGCGAAGCACGCCCCGTGCCGCCGCCCGTCGCCGAGACGCACGACGAGCACGCGCAGCACGAGACGCTGCGCGAGGAGCTGCGCGAGTACGAGGCCGAGGACGCCGAGAAGGGCGCGGCGCGGGCGCGCGAGCTGGAGGAGGTCAAGGCCGGCGGCACCGGCGAGAAGGCCGCGCACGAGGCGCACGTCGAGGCTGCACACGAGGCCGGCGACAGCGCCTCGGCCGCATCGACGCGCGCCGCCGACGTCGAGAAGGGCGCGCCGCCAGACGACGCCTCGAGCGACGAGTCGCACGACCCGGACCTCGTCTCGTGGGACGGGCCCGACGACCCGCACAACCCGCGCAACTGGTCGCTGCACCGCCGCTGGGCCGTCATCGGCATCGTGTCGTCGTACACGTTCCTCTCGCCGCTGAGCTCGAGCATGATTGCGCCTGCGCTGCCGCTCATCGCAGAGGAGCTCGACATCCGCTCCAGCGTCACGCAGAGCATGACGCTCTCCGTCTTTGTGCTCGCCTACGCCATCGGCCCGCTCTTTCTCGCGCCGCTGTCGGAGATGTGGGGGCGCAAGGCCGTGCTGCAGCTCTCGAACCTCTTCTTCATCGTGTTTACGATCGCCTGCGCCGTCGCGCCGTCGTCGGCGAGCCTGATCGCGTTCCGCTTTCTTGCCGGTCTCGGCGGCAGCGCGCCACTCGTCATTGGCGGCGGCGTCGTCGGCGACCTGATGAGCCCCGACGAGCGCGGCACGGCCATGTCGGTGTACTCGCTCGCGCCCTTGACTGGTGAGCAGTCGTGCGTGTCCGCACGTGTCCACACCCACTGACTCCTTCCAGGCCCCTCGATCGGCCCGATCATCGGCGGCTGGGTCGTGCAGGGCCTCAACTCGTGGCGCATCAGCTTCTGGATCACGCTCGCGCTCTCCGGCGCCACGGCGCTCGTCGGCATCTTCATCCTGCCCGAGACGTACGCGCCGCGCATCCTGGCGGACAAGACGAAGCGCCTGCGCAAGGAGACGGGCAACGCCAAGCTGCACACGATCTTCATGCGCGAGGACGAGGGCTGGCGGCGGCGCATGGCGCGCAACCTCGTGCGCCCCTTCATCCTCATCGGCACGCAGCCCGTCATCCAGCTGCTCGCGTCGTTCTTCTGCATCGTCTACGGCACGATGTACCTGCTGCTCACGACGTGGAGCTCGACGTTTGTCGACGTGTACGGCGAGTCGGTCGGCATCGCTTCGCTCAACTACCGTGAGTCGTGAGTGGAGCGGGCCGAAGGGGATAGCACTGGCTCACACCGGCGGCAGTGTCGCTCGCCATCGGCTTCACGCTCGGCGGCCAGATTGGCGGACGCGCCGTCGACCGGATATACCACCGCCTCAAGAAGCGCAACGGCGGCGAGGGCAAGCCCGGTGAGCGTCTGCGCGGCCACAGCGCCCGCACCTGTGCTCACCCCATGCCGCAGAGTACAAGCTGCCGCTGATGATGTTCACCGGCTGGATGGGCCCCGCCGGCCTGCTGCTCTACGGCTGGTCGGCACAGTACCGCGTGCACTGGATCGTGCCGAACCTCGGCGGCGTGCTGTTCTGTGAGCTGCGCCGGGTGCGCTGGTCAGTCCGCCTGCTGACGCTGCCTACCAGCTGCGGGCATGCTCTGCGTCTTCAAGTGAGCCGCCGCCGCAGTCGACTCGTCTTCACTCTTGCTGATCCGCCGCAGCCCGATGCAGAACTACATCGTCGACTCGTACTCGATCTACGCCGCCAGCGCCATCTCGGCGGTGGCGTTCCTGCGCTCGCTCGCCGGCTTTGGCTTCCCGCTGTTTGCGCCGTCGATGTTCGGCGGCCTCGGCCTCGGCTGGGGCTGCAGCGTGCTGGCGCTGGCGCTGGCCGTCGTGGGCCTGCCGGCGCCGTTCCTGCTCTTGTGAGTGGTACTGCGGTGTGGATGTGGCCACCTGCTGATGCCGTCTCGCAGCCGCTACGGCGAGCGCATCCGAGGCGCAAGCCAGTACTGCGCCGCCCCGCAAGGATAAACGCTGGAGCTGCTGCCTGCAATGCATACACCATAGACTGCACCATGTGGGCCGTGGCGGGCTGCGCTGTGAGGCTCACGTCGAGGGTGCTGCTCGCATCAGCGCACAAGCTCGGAGCTCTGCTCAGGTGCGCCGGAGTCGCGCCCGCAGCGCATGCGGGGCCGGACGCCGAGGCGCGGCGCCGTGACATCAGCGTGCGGCAGCCCGTGCGCAGCGGCGGCATCTCGCTCCGCCGGGCCGTCGCAAGTCGCCGCCGGCTGCCAGTGGGCGCATCTCAGCATCTCGCAGGCCAGCAGAGCGCGCCTCTCATGCTGCAAGAGCACATCTCGGGTTGGCGCTCATGCTGCTGCGGCATGCTGTGTGAGGGCGGGTTGATGCGGCGCGGCGATTGGTGTCGCATGGGCTGGCGCGGCGCGGCATGCGGCAGCGCGTTTGTGCGGCCTCTGCGGCCTCGCCGTTCCTCAGCGCCGCCCGTCACGCCGTAGTTGAGTGATGGAGTGAAGCGCCATAAATGCAGCGAGTCGGGTACTGAGGATTGTGGTGCTGATGCAGCACGCCCACGCTGGCTGTGCGAGGCAGCGGGCGGGCGGAGCATGGTGCGGCAGGCGCGGCCCGCGTGCTTGTGGCGGTGACAGCGTCGGATGATCGGCAGCGGCGAGCCGCGGCGAGATGAGCGGAAGCACCAGCAGCGGCAGCAAGCGCCGCGGCAGCGCGCACGCCGCTTCGCTCCTCACCTCCACCACCCACCACCCGCATACACGCACTGCACCATGCCCATCCTCAACGTGCACGCCGGCGCACTGCCCAGCTTCTCGCTGCGCCTCAAGCAGGGCCAGACGCTGCCGCAGCTGCGCGAGCGCGCCGCCGCAAAGGTGCGCCTCGAGCTCAAGGACGGCATCCCGCTCGTCGTCAAGTACGCGTGGGCCGGCGAGCGCTTCGCCCTCGAGGACGGTGCGTGGCGGCGTGGCATGACGAGGAGGGGCAGGTCTGGCAGGCCTGGCGCAGGTAGCTCGGGTGGAGAGTCAAGTGCGGCGGCCGATGCGCTGCAGTACAGCGACGGCCAGGCGGAGAGTGGGCGCAGAGGCAGCGCCTGTGCTGCCAAGGGCGAGGCGCGGCGACAGCGTCGTCGTGCTGCAGCTAGGCGCACACCGCCGATGTGTCCTGCCGCTACAGTCATGCTCGCCAGTCTTTGTGCTCACACCGCGCCTGCAGAGGATGACTACGACATCTTTGTCGAGCGCATCGCCAACGAGAAGGAGGCTGACCGTGAGTGCATGCGGCGATGAAAATATGACGCACTGTGGCTCACACTGCCGCACAGTCTACCTCGAGTCGCCCGAGATCCCCGCGCGCGGCAGCGACGCGCACGACGACGACGACGCGCGCTCGGCGCACTCGGCCGCCAACACGGCCAACGTGCCCGTCGTCAACGACTCGACGCTCGTTGCGCGCACGCCCGGCCGCAGCGGCAAGGACAGCGCCGTCAGCATCCACCGCGTCACGCCCAACCACGTCACCAGCGCCGACGAGTTTGCCGAGGCCGGCGGCGTCTCCGGCGGCGGCCGCGACTCGCTCCTCTACCCGCCGGCGCGTGAGCCGGCGCCGCAGCCGGGCTACAGCAAGCCCGTCGTGCCCGACTTCCCCGCCACGACGCCCGGCATGGACGCGATGAGCGTGCGCAGCGGCAAGACGGGCCGCACGGGTGCCGCACCCTCGATTGCGCCGAGCACGACGCCGTCGCACAAGCTGGCGTTCCAGGAGTTCCACAGCACGCTCGGCGTGCGCCTGCTCAAGGGCAGCCTCGGGCCCGTGCAGGACGTGCCCATGATGCTCAAGAGCGGCTACCGCCACGTGTACGTGTCGCGCAGCTTCGCCCTCAACCACGGCTTCATCCCCAAGGACACGACGCCCGGCACGTACGGCTTCAACGGCATCACCAACCTCGGCAAGTGGCCCGTGCAGGTCGGCAGCAAGGCCGTGCCGTGCACGGTGATGCTCGCCGAGGACTCGTACTTCCCCGTCATCCTTGGGCGGAGCTTCATGGAGAAGCGCGGCGTGCGCACGGGTGAGTGCAAGAATGTGGCAGCTGCTGCGCCGGAAGGGCAGCGCGCGACTGTGCACCTGCTGACACGCCGCGCAGACCCGATCGACATGACGAGCGTGACCTTCATGGACAACGGCGAGCGCGCCGACGTTGAGGTGAGCGTGACGAGCCGCGGCAGCCGACGGACTAGCGACTCACGCGTCCTAACAGGTCGTCGTTGTGCGGGACGAGGCCGGCGAGCCGATCCCGATTCCCTGAGCGCGCCCAGCACCCGCGTGCACGGGCCTGACGCCGCCCAGCCCTGGCGTCCGCTGCGATACCGACTGCCTCCGTGCCGCCTCCTCGACCTGCCAAACTACCCCTGCCTCTGCAATGACTCAGCACGCTTATTCTGCTTGCGTGACGAGGTGTGCATTGCGGCTGCGCGCACTGCTGTATGTCAAGGTGCACGAGCCATGCGCGGGAGGGAAGGCTGGGTATGGGGCAGAAGCGGCGATGACCGGGAGTGGCAGCCGCGGATGAGCGAGCTGCACAGAGGCACAGTGCGATAGCCCCGGTGCGACGCAGACGAGACAGGACGGAGACATGGCACATTATAGCTCGGCGTGCGGCACAGCAGCCGGATCGCCCTTCCAGCCGAGCAGCGGCTGCGCCTGCTCGATTGCGAATTTGACAAACTGGAGCGACGCGTGAGCAGAGCATAGGTGTGAGATGCGGAGGCACGCACGTTGTAGTCGTCGCCGCCAAACAGCACCGCCGCCCACATGAGCATGGCGATGACCAGGAGCGCAGTCGTGCCCGGTGCCTGCTTGAAGAAATCTGCGTGCAAGCGCTGCGGTCAGGCTGCTGCCCGCGCACGCCGTGCGCCGCCGCTCACCTCGCACGCCAAATGAGCCTGCGCCTTCTCCGTTGCTCCACCGCCGCCATGTCTCTTCGCGCTCGCCGTCTTTCAAGCGCGCGATGCGCACGTTCCAGTCGAGGAAGCGACTCTCCTTTGGGTAGTAGACAGCGAGCGTGGGTGCAGCAAGAATGTTGAGCTTGCTGGCGAGGTGCACGCGGCTGAAGGGCCGCAGATACGCCGTGCCCGTCGTGTCGGAGCGCGAGAGGAACTCGTCGATGTCGGCCTCGCCGGCGAGCAGGAAGTCTTCATTGTTGTACAGCGCCGGCGGCGCGTCGTCATCGGCGGAGCTCACGCCGGTGCCGCTGCGCCCGTCGTCGCGCTCCTGTCCTGGCAGCGAGGAGCCGTCGTTCCAGGCCATCGACACCCACGGCTACACACACGCATGCGTCAATAGCGCTCGGACGTCCTGCGGCTCGCCGCGCTCACCTTGCCCTGCACGCCGGCCTTATACCACCGCTCGTCGACGTCGACGGAGACGTACACGACCTTGAACTCGTGCGGATGCGCGCGGCAGAACTCGGTGATCGTCTGCGGGGCGGCATCAGCACGCCGCACGTGTCTGAAGATGAACGCAGAGCGCCGCGGCTGTCTTCCGAACTGCAGCAGCTGCCGCAGAGCAGCCCGTGCATGGGCCGCAGCACGCCACAGCCGTCTCTGCCAGCGCTGTGCCTCAAGGCGATGCTCGCGCATGCGACTGGGCCTCGAGCCTGAAGCGCGACGGCGCCATCGCTGCGTCTCTCCTTGGCTGCCAGCTGTGCGCGCAAGGAGGCGCCATCGTCGCATCTACCAGGAATGTGCGCAGAGACGGACGCTCCTCTGCCAGCTAAGAGTGCCCTCGCCGCCTTCGGCTGTGCGCGCCAGACATTGGCCCCACCCGAGCCTCTGGTTCGGCGCCACGGCGGCCCGACACGGAGCAGCTCCCGTCCCCTTGGCGCCTTTGCGCCGCACGCACCTGCGTGTACTCGCGCAGCGGCTGCCCGGCCCACTGGCTGCTGAAGTAGAAGGCGACGACCTTGGCGTCGCGGAAGTGGGCGCGCAGGTCGACGGGCGCGCCGGCGGCGTCGACGAGGCGCAGGCGGCGCAGCAGCGGGTCGGCGTGCGCGTACTGCGCCGCCGGCGGCAGCGGCAGGTGCGCCGTGGCCTTGAGCGCAGGCTTGAGCGCGGCGCCGGGCGACGCGGCGGCCGACGACGACGCCGAGGCGCCGGCGCCGGCGGGCGTGGCGGGCGCGGTGCCGCTGCCGCTGGCGAACGACGGCGGCGCGGGCCCGGAGTTGGGCCCGAAGGAGACGCTGCGCTTGGGCGTGGGTGTGTCGAGGGTGGCCATGGTGGGGTGTGGTGGTGGAGGGCGGAGCGACGGCGCGCGTGGCGCCCTGATAGCCGATCACAGCGCGCGCCAAACTGCGCACGCGCCACGCGCCGCGATGACACGCTCGCCCTCATCACCGCCTCGCCTCGCTCTCAGATCCTCCTTCGCTGCTGCGACCGGCGCCGCATGCCGTCTGCGTCTGCCTGTGTACGGCCGTACTGCGGCTGCTTCTCGAATGCTCTGCGGCGCCTGGAACGCAGCATCCGGCGCATGCGTGCGACCGCCGCGCGAAGCAGCGGATCTTGCCAGGGCGGCGGACCCGTGACGACTTCCCCGGCCCAGCGCAGCCGGCTGCTGCGGGCGTGCCTGTGCCAGCGTGCTGTCAGCGCGGCTGCACGCTGCCGGCGTCCGAGGTCCGCCCGCTGCGCGTCATGCTGAGAAAGCCGCGAGACGTGGAGAGCTCGGCGAGCTGGACTCTCACATTTGGTCTGCATCGCTGAGCCTGAGCACACACGCTTCTCACTGCTGTGTCTCGACCAAGCTGGGTGCCGAATGCTGGCCGCCGGTGCTGCGATGGCCGCCAAGCTGCAGCGCGGCTGCGCTGATGGCGTGCGAAGCTCTCTCGCGTCTCCTCCCCACGCGGCGCAATCGCCGGCGGCGTCAGCGTGCATCGGGCGTACGGCCGCGGCGGCCAGCGCGCCGCCGCCGTGCCCCAGACGCATCGGCCAGCAGGGTCACACTCGCCGGCCTCTCACCACCACACCGCAAGCGCAAGCACCATGGCCGACCTCGAGAAGCACGCCGCCAAGCACGCGGACAACGACGAGGAGCCGCGTGTGCTGCACGCCGACTTCTTCGACGCCGCCGCGCGCCCCGCGGTGCGTGCGCAGCGCATGCGCCTCCTGGCGCTGCTCGGCACCGTGGCGCTGTGCTTCGTCTGGCTGCGCCCGGCGCTGCCCGCGCTGCCCGCCGAGCTGCGCCCCGGCAGCCTGCGGGGCGCCGGCTGCGGCGGCCGCCGTCCGCACTTGCACCGCCCGCTCGATGTTGCTGCGGCAGAGGGCTATGCTGGTGCGCTGGCCGGCCACGCCGCCCTCACCGGCGACATGTCGCAGGCCGTCGCTGCCACGGGCGCCGACCCGGACGCCGTGCAGCGCTTCATCGAGGCCCTCTTCCTCGCGCAGCCGTCTGCCGATGGCGGTGAGTCGTGCGCACACATGCATGTACACCGCTGACACGCGCGGCAGTGCGCGAGGCGCTGCGCCGCTACACCAGCCGCACGCACGTTGCCGGCACCGCGGCGGACCGCGAGTCGGCGCTGGCACTCATGATGGAGTGGGGCACGGCGCTCGACGCCGACCTGCCGGCGCCCGACAAGCGGGAGGAGCTGCTCTTTGACGCGGGCGTGAGTGGAGCCCGCTGTGCGGCACCGGTGCCACGCTGACTCGGCTCTGCAGACGCCCGAGGCCATCCACTACATGACCGCCTCGGCGCGCAACTTTACCGCCTCGCCGCACGCTCGCACCGGCGCTGTCCCGAAGCCGCACCCGCTCGGCGAGCCGCGCGTGTGGACCGACACGTACTCGTCGTGGCTCAACTACCCCGTCTCGGCCTCGCTGAGCCTCAGCGAGCCGGGCGCCGCCAGCCCCTACTGGACGGCCGCGCTCAAGGAGGACGTGCTGCCGGGCGCCGCCGAGGGCATGCCCGTGTTCCACGGCTACTCCAAGAGCGGCTCGGCCAGCGGCCCCGTCGTGTACGCGGCGCTGTGCAGCAAGAAGGACTTTGAGCGCCTCGCCGCGCTCGGCGTCGAGGTCAAGGGCGCCGTGACGCTGTGCCGCTACGGCGGCCCGTTCCGCGGCCTCAAGGTGCGCGCCTCGGCCGACGCCGGCGCCGTCGGCACGCTCATCTACAGCGACCCGGCCGAGGACGGCGAGATGACCGAGGCCAACGGCCACGCCGCGTACCCCGACGGCCCGGCGCGCAACCCGTCGTCGGTGCAGCGCGGCTCCGTGCAGGCGCTCTCGATTGCGCCCGGCGACGCCTCGACCATCGGCTACCCGTCGTACCGCAACGCCACGCGCCCCGCGCCCGAGGACTGCGACTCGCTGCCCGCCATCCCGTCGCTGCCGATCTCCTACGCCGACGCCAAGGCGCTGCTCGTCGCGCTGCAGGGCCACGGCACGCGCGCCAAGGACGTCGGCGAGAACTGGGAGGGCAAGGTGCCGGGCGTCGACGAGTACTGGACGGGCCCGAGCGAGCACATTGCCGCGCTCGACAACCAGATGACGGACATTGCCGAGACGCACGACATCTGGAACGCGTACGCGCTCATCCCGGGCTTCCTCGAGGACGAGCTGGTCGTCATTGGCAACCATCGCGACGCGTGGACGTTCGGCGGCGCCGACCCCTCGAGCGGCACGGCGACAACGAGCGAGGTGGTCAAGGCGCTCGGGGCGCTCACCAAGATTGGCTGGCGCCCGCTGCGCACCATCCTCATCGCCTCGTGGGACGCCGAGGAGTACGGCCTCATCGCGAGCACCGAGTTCGTCGAGGACTACCCGAAGTTCCTCGAGCGCGCCGTGGCCTACCTCAACATCGACGTGGCCGTCGCCGGCTCGCAGATCGACGCGCAGGCCTCGCCCTCGCTCGCGGGTCTGATGCTCGACGCCGCCGCCGAGATCGCCGACCCCGAGACCAACGGCACGGCCAACATCAAGCTCGAGTACCCGGGCCCGCTGGGCTCCGGCTCGGACTTTACCGGCTTCCTGCAGCACCTCGGCATTGCCTCGACGAATGTCGGCTACGGCCGCAAGAAGACGGACCCCGTGTACCACTACCAGTGCGTGTGCCGAGCGACTGGCGACGGCGTGCTTACTGACATGTGCTTGGCAGCTCCAACTACGACACGTTCGAGTGGATGGAGCAGTTCGGCGACCCGACGTTCGAGCGCCATCTGGCCGTGTCCAAGCTGCTGGGCCTGACGGCGCTGCGCACGGCGTCGGCCCTGACGGTGCCGATTGACACGGCCGCCTACGCCAAGCAGCTGTCGGTGTACCTCGGCAAGGTCGACAAGCTCGTCGACGAGGCGAAGCTGCCGCACGTCGCAGACGCACGCTTGCGCAAGGACCTGCACAAGCTGGGCGGAGCCATCAAGAAGGTGCAGCAGTGAGTGCTTGTCGTGCTGCGCTCGCGAGCGTACGCTGACCTGTCGTGTCCAGCAACGCGGACAAGCTGGAGAAGCGCAAGGCGCACCTCGTCAAAGAGGTCAAGGCGCTGCTCTCTGGCCACAAGAAGGGCTACACGGAGCTGCTGGCGCAGCAGGCGCCGCTCAAGAAGCACAAGCACGGCAAGCCCGACGACTCGGAGCGCCTGCGCGCCCTGCTGCTCGCCATTCGCGATGCCAACGCGGCCAGCAAGGCGTTTGAGCGCGGCTTCATCTCGAAGCACGGCCTGCCGCTGCGCCCGTGGTACCGCCACCTCGGCGTCGCGCCCGGACGCTGGCTCGGCTACGGCGCGACGACCTTCCCGGCGCTGACCGAGGCCCTCACGCTCGACGGCGGCAAGGGCGCGAGCGAGGCCGCGCAGGAGCTGGCGGAGAAGCTCGAGCGCCTGGCCCACACGATCAAGCCGCACGGCCACCCGCACTTTGCGCACGCCCACTGAGGTGCAGTGCGGCGGCAGAACGAACTGAATCTCATGCTACGCCCTTCGTAGGGACTGGGCGGGCAGCGCAGAGCGAGGGGTCCTATACATTCATTCCAGCACCATCCGACTAGGCCTCCTCTGGCCGCTGCATCTCTTGCTGCACCGCCTTGTATGCTGAGACGTACGTGTGAGCGGGCGCCAGAGGCCTCCGGAGCAGCGCACTCACCCTTGCCAGACTTGACACGCTCGCCGCGGCCGCGCCGGCGCCACGCGCGCTGCAGCGCCTTGATCGCGTTCGTGAGAGGGCCCTTGCCGAACGAGTCGAAGGCGAAGCACGCCGCGGCGTTGCACACGACGATGAGCAGCAGCGCCCAGTGGAACGAGCGCGGGAACTCGACGAGGCCGAGCAGCTCGAACCAGAAGCCCGACGGCACGAAGAGGAAGTACAGCGAGAACGACGAGAGCACGGTGAGCGCGAGCATGAGCATCGCTGGCAAGGGGTCAGCCTGTGTCGGATGCGCGCCGGCCGGAGCACTCACGGTTCGTGTACATCGGCCGGCGGTACGGCGGGCCGACGGAGAAGATCGCCGCGACGATAATGTACTGGAAGCTCGACACGAGGAAGAGCGCCGAGTTCTCCGGGTTGACGACGTCGAGCGCGTCCGGGTTGACGACTGGCGGCCGGTACCTGGGAGAGCTGTCAGCCGTGCTCCGGCGCCTGAATCAGCGCCACTCACCACGGCTGAGCGCGCGTGAAGAAGAACACGAGCACCTGCGTCGCCGCGCAGATGAAGACCTGGCCGAGCATCGAGATGAGCACCTTCTTCGACACCAGGTTTGCCGTGGGCCGCTTCGTGTGGATCGTCGAGTACGGCAGGCCGCGCGCCATGGCGACGGCGAGGGGGATGATGAGGCCGAGGTCGATGTAGAGGAACTGGAAGTCGCCGAGCGACGAAGCAAAGCCGTACAGCAGCGTGATCGTCGTGAACTGGATGAGACTGTACAGCGCCATGAAGGAGAAGCAGCCGAAGCTACACGTGATGGCCGCCCGGCCCTCCTTGATGACCTCAATTACGCAGCTGATGTCGGGCGAGCTCGACGTGAAGGGCGCGGCGACGGACGCCTCGGCCTCGCTCAGCGAGATGCCGACGTCGGCCGCCTTGAGCGCGCCGCAGTCGTTGGCGCCGTCGCCGCACATGCCCACCGTGTAGCCGAGTGCCTGCAGGCGCTCGACGAGCTCGTGCTTTTCGTCGGGCGACATGCGCGCAAAGATGGTGCCCTTGATGAGCATGCGCCGCAGCGTCTCGATGGGCGCGTAGTCGATCATCCAGCGGAAGATGTCGCCGGTGACGGCGAGCTGGTAGTCCTGGAAGTCCAGCTCGTCGACGTCGAACACGTGCGGGTCGTCGGAGATTGGCTGTGGGAGGGTGAGCAGCGGCAGAGGAGGCGTGAGGGAGTGCACGCACCTTGAGGCGGTACGGGTCGAGCTTGATGCGCTCGTCGTCGACGCTCGACCAGTCAATGACGGCGGATGAAGTCTTGGAGTGACCTGTGGGGCGGGTGTCAGTGCGGGAGCGGCGCGACGGTAGCGAGTCGCGCACCTTCGACAAACGACGGCAGGAACACGTGCGCCGACTGGCCGACCATGCCGCACTCGCGCGCCACGCTGATCGCGGTGCGCGGGTTGTCGCCGGTCGCCATCTTGCAGATGATGTTGGCGTTGGTCAGCGTCGCAATCGCGGGGGCCGTGCCCTCCTTGATCTTGTTCTCGAAGATGATGAGGCCGAGGAAGCGCAGCCCGCTCTCGGCCTGCTCGCGCTTCATGCGCTGCGCCTTGATCCAGCTCATGTCGCTGATCGTCTTGCCCGCGCACGCGATGACGCGGTAGCCGTGCTTGGTGTAGTACGCCAGCAGGTCGTCGTAGTCGGCCGGGAACGAGTCGGCCTCGCAGATGTCCTGCATGACCTCTGGCGCGCCCTTGACGAAGACCTCCATCGACGGCGACTTGAGGCGCTTGACAATGACACTCATGCGGCGCAGCTGCGAGACAAAGTCGAAGGTGCGGAGCACGCCAACTGCGGGAGTGTCAGCTATGCGGACAATGCGGGGAGGGCACAACTCACGCTCAAGGAAGTGCGCATGCTTGCCCGGCTTCACGGCGTCCTCGACCTCGAACTGCTGGCCGCCCGGCGGGCGCACGACGGTCTGCACGAGCGCCGGCGCCCGCTCCGTCAGGCGGCTCTTGCCGTCCTTGGCCGTGCCGACCTTGGTCGTGGCGCGCGCGGCCTGCTCCTTGCCCTCGTCGAGCGTCCAGCCGGTGAACTCGAACATCTTGACGTCGAGCGGGTCGCCGATGACCTCGCCGTCGACGACCTTGAGGCTGTGGCACGTCGCCAGCGCGTAGAGCAGCGGCAGCTTGCGCGCCTCGGCGTCGCCGCGCTGCGAGTTGGGGTTGACGGGCATCTCGTCGGCCTGCTCGTGCAGCTCGCTGAAGCGGCGCGCGCGCAGGTCGATGGTGCGCGTGCCGAGCACGTCGAGGCCGTCGGCGGTGAGCGTGCCCGTCTTGTCGAAGCACACGACGTTGATCTTGCCGCCGATGTTGACGCGGTTCGGCGAGATGCAGAAGATGCCGCCCTTGCACAGGCGCGCAATCGCAAACGTCGTGCCGATGCTCATCGTCGCCGGCAGCGCCGGCGGCACGACGACGGTGATGAGGTCGAGCGCGCGCACCACGATCGTGTGCCACGCGATGCCCAGCTTGACAAAGTTGACCGAGCTCGCCAGGAAGCCGACGCCGGCGATGCCCGCGAGGAAGCCAATGAAGCGGAACGAGTCGCGGTAGAACTTGAAGCCCATCGGCTTCGGAAAGAGCATGCTGCGCACCAGCGCGCCCTTGGTTGTGTCGAAGCCGGTGCGCACGACCATGGCCTTGGCGCCCGCCTCGCCGTCCTTTTCGCCGCCCGTGGCGCGGATGCGGATGATGCGCGTGCCCGAGAAGAGAAAGTGGCGCGCCAGGTCCGGCGGCACTTCGCCGCCCGCGGCGTGCAGGCCGGCCATGGCCGCGTCCGTCAGCGGCACCTTGGACACGGGCACCGACTCGCCGGTCAGCATCGACTCGTTGACGATGGCGTCGCCGCTCAGCAGCACGCTGTCGGCAGGGAAGAGCAGCAGGCCGCTCTCGGCCACGTCGTACACGTCGCCCGGCACGAGGTCCGCGCTGTCGCGCACCGCCCACTGGCCCTCGCGCAGCACGCGCACGGCGCACGTGAAGCGGCTCATCTCGCGCATGCGCTTGATCGTGCGGCGCGTCTCGAGCAGCGTCGTGATGATGCTTGCGGCCGAGATGAGCGCGATGCATGCGGCGTAGTAGTAGTAGTCGTCGAAGGACCAGAGGATGATCGAGACGATCTGGAACATGTAGAAGGGGTGCAGGACCTGCGAGGGGTCAGCCGGGTTGCGGGCGCGTCGGCTGCGGGCCACTCACCTCGTCGATCAGCAGCTGCGGCGTCGTCTTGCCCTCAATGTCAATCACGTTGCTGCCGAACAGCGTCGTGCGGTCCTTCTCCGCGTCCCACGAGATGCCGGCGGCCGCCTGCGCCGTCGACACCCACGTCGGGTCGCGCCAGTCCTTGACCATGCGCCAGCGGCCGGTCGGCGGGTGCAGCGCGAAGCGCGTGTAGCGGTAGTCCAGGTAGGTGAGGTCCATGAGCTGCTCCGTCTCGACGCCGGCGAGGATGGGCAGCGGGTCGGGCAGCGCGCCGTTTGCGCCGCGCACGCCGTTGACCATGCTGCTGCGTGCGGATGCCGCCTTGCTGCTCGGCTTGCTCGCCGACGTGCGCAGGCCGGGCGGCATCGTCGCCGGCGGCGCGCTCTGGTGCTCCTGCTGCGTGCTCGGCGGGTCGCGCGAGGAGAGCGGAAAGACGGTGGCCAGCGGGCGCGCAAACGGCACCGTCTTGGGCTTCTCCTTGACCATGTCGCCCCACTGGTTCTCGACGATGACAAACTCGGCCGTCTCGAAGTCGGCGAGCGCGCACACCCAGCGCAGGCGCCAGCGCGGCAGCCAGCGGCCCAGCAGGTACACGACGCCCAGCGTGAGGAAGCACACGAGCGTGTAGGCAGCCTGCCGCCCGAGACGCGTCTGGTAGCCCGTGAAGCGCACGAGCGCATCGTCCTCGGCGAGGTACACCTGCTGGCGCGACTTGGACTGCTTGTCGAGGAACTGCAGCTCCTCGAGCTTGCGCGCCGCGGCCTGCTGCGCCGCCGCGGTGCCCGACTCGCCCGCAGCTGCCTCGACGTCGGCCGGGAAGGAGATGCCGCGCTCGGAGCGGCCGCGGCCGAAGCCGCTGGAGTCGCCGCCCTCGCGACGCTCGCCGGCCAGCTCCTCGTCGAGCTCGTCCTGCGGCTCATGCTCGGTGCTCACGCGCGCATCGCCAAAGACGGGGTCGACGGTGCCGCCGATGCCAAACGCCGACGGCAGCAGGCCGCCGCGCTCGTCTGCGCCGTCCTCGTCCGAGGTGCTGGAGCGCAGGCTGTCCGCGTCCATGTCGTCGTCCTCGTCGTCGTCGTCGGAGCCGAACTCCTCGTCGCTCCAGCCGCGTCCGTCGCCGCGCGAGTCCTGCGAGCGGCGCGACGTGCGGCTGACGGCGCTCGACGAGCTGCGGCGCCGGCCAAAGGACGGCCGTCCGGCATCGGACTGCGCTGCATCGCCTCCGCGCAGCGACGCCATGAAGCTGCCGAGCACGCCGCGCGGCCGCTCGTCGTCCTCGGGCGCGCGCACGGCGCTGACCCGCCGCTTGCGCCCAAACGCCGCGGAGCGCGCCACGCTGCGCACACTCACGGCCGTGCCGTCGTCTGGGCTGCCGACGCCGTCCATCTCGCCGTCGAGCCCCTCGTCGCTGCGCGCCGACGACGTGCTGATGCGGCGCGAGCGCGTCGGCGAGGCCGAGAACTCGCGCGAGATGCGGCGCCGCGAGCGCTGCGACGAGCGGCGGCCGAGCTCGGGGCGCACATTGTTGTGGCGCATGCTGCGGCAGTGTCAGTAGCGATCGTGCGAGATCAGCGGCACGGCTCACCTGCTTAGACTGCTCGGCACCGCGCCGGCCTCGGGCCCGTCGAAGATGCTCGAGCTCAGGCCGCTGTCGTTTTCGTAGCTGCCCACCTGGCTGTCGCGGCGGCGGCGCGTGCCTGCGGCGCCGATGAGCACGGCGCCGCGCTCCTCCTCGAGCTCGACGGCCTCGGCACTGCGCGACCACGCCTCGGCCTCGGCGCGCTCGGCATCGTCGAAGAACGGCGACGCCGGTGGCGGCGGTGCGCGTGCGGGGCGCGGCGGCAGCGAGAACGGCGACTGATACTCGTCGGCGGCGACGTCGAATGGCTGGGCGCCCGAGCTGGGCGGCGCCATGACGGCGGCGGCGAGGGGGTGCGCGGCAGTCGCCGGCGTGCGCGGCAGGGACGAGCGGGACGAGGACGCGGCGGCGGTGTGCGGCGGCGTGACGGGCAGCGGTGCAGGTGAGTGTGAGAAGGAGAGCGTGAGAAGGAGAGCGCGAAGTGCGGCGGCGAGGAGCAGGGCCAGCTCCGGTCGAGAGGGTGCCGCAGGTGGATGCAGATCGGAAGGAGGCGCAGCTCGCGCGATACGAAGACGGGTCCGCTTGGCGCGCCATCGTCATGCTGCATGGGCATCGGCTGCGCTTTTGTAGCCTGGCATTTCAGTCTATATGGCAAGAGTTGAAGCTGCTGAGCAGCAATACTGCTCTGGGCACAGCTCTTGCTGGTTGGTAGAGCAGGGTTCTAGGGCAGAGCACAGTGCATGTGGCAACTGGCTTGGCTAGAAGTGCAGAGGGCTGCAGACGTGATTGCCTCTCAAAGGTCTCACTCCACCTGGCGCAAGAAGGGCAAGTTGGAGCCGCTAGGTAGGCACAGTACTCAATCAACACATACGCCCAGCCATTCTTGAAGCCGCCAGGATGCTGGCAGCTCTTGTTGCTGGCCTTGTTTGCTGCCTCAAGCGCCTTGGCCTTGTCTGTGCTGCAGATGCTGTTGTTGGTCACAGCCTTGGGGTTGCAGCCAGGTGCCTTGCACAATCTGTTCTTTGCCTTCTGGCACACATGGCATACCGCTTGAGGCAATCATGCCAGCGCATTGCCTCAATGGCATGACTGGAGGCCTGCAGCTGCCATATGATATACAAGGCTTGCAAGGACAGTCTCTACATGCAGCAGCGCCGCGTCATTGCCTAGCTTGTCATGGCCTTCAACCTCAACAATGTGTTGTTGCCCTTTGTTGCCTATGTCCAGTGCAAGACATTCATGACCCTGAAGCAGCTGCAGCGCAGCTCTGACCCCTTCACCTTCTTTTCAGCAATCCAGAAGGCAGCAATGGTGTCAATTCTCTTCTTCACTGGCTGCAGGCCTGGCTTGCTTGGACCTTGGGTTTGCAGCATGGCAATCAGCACAGACAATGTTCAGCTTGGCCAGACAATGTGCAGCACCTGGTTGGTGAGCTGTACACCACCTCCACGCAGAAAGGGCACAAGCCAAGTGCAGTGCACCACTCTGACTCAACTCCTTAACCAAATTGAACTGTCTATTCCAAACCCCAAGGCGCATGGCAATGTGATGCAGCTTGCGCATTGGGTCAAGGCATTTGCAGCCTGTAAATAATGCAGTCAATATGCTCTTTGAGCCTGCCATCTGGCTTGTGCCCTTGCTTGTGCATTGCTGCCTGCTTGCGCCAAGTGCCTTGTGTCAATGTGCAAGACGCTCTTCTCTTAGGGTTTAGGGTTAGGGTTAGGGTTAGGGTTAGGGTTAGGGTTAGGGTTAGGGTTAGGGTTAGGGTTAGGGTTAGGGTTAGGGTTAGGGTTAGGGTTAGG